TCCAAGATCTCCTTGCTGTATGATTACGCCAAATGAGAGCGTGGAATTTGCATTAGCTGGGTTGAGGAACGTTGAGTCCTTGAGTTTCGCCCTTTCGCCTGGGCTCTCGCATGTATTCGAGCATTGAAGGAAATGAGAAACTCAAACCCGAACTCAAGTCTGCTCAACCCCTTTGGGGTGCATGCGGTAGCTGAGCGGTAGCTGTGGTAAACCAGCCTTTGGACCTCCAACGCGCTTTGGGTAACAGGCTTGTGCCAAACCCCAGCTGGCCGGTAGCTCGTGCCATCTGTGCGTGTGAGCAAGGAGATTTTATCCCTTGCTGCTCTGCAGTGCAACAAATAGTGTTTCACATCAAAGGTCGAGACGGCTTCGTCCTCTGAGGACCCACCGCCCAGGACAGAGGCTTCCAGTCCCACAGGAAAGGCTCCTGAGGACCAAGAGGTCTTCGACCTCAAAGAAAGACTGGGTCTGGAATACACGATCCAGCCCTTGCTCGTTAGGCACTACACGGAAAACCCTCCGAGCGAGGGGGAACTCGACCCTTACAAAAGGGCCAAATACAAGCTCATTCAATTGGCCAGAAACTGCAAAACCCGCAACGACTGGGTGTATCACGTTCAATTTCTGCTTGCGGAGCCTGACCGGTCTTGCTGGCTTGCTGAGCTTAACCGGCTACAGAAATAAACTCGAGCTGCTGCTCTCCTGATACGAGTGGGCCCAGGTTCACTTCTTATGGCAGCCCAGTGAGCGGACCAAGCCTGGCCCCCGGCGAATCACCTCATGCCCATTCCGATTGATCTCCCACCTCGTGTACATAGATCTTGGGATTGAACCCTATCAAGACAGGGCCTCCGAAGCTTTCCATGACCCGTCGGATTGTACGCTGTTTGCACACATGCTGCGAATTGTCGAACTGGCCGGCACTTGCAAAATCGCACTCACTCTCCGCAGCAATACAGGCAGGCCATTGCAGGTGGTACACGCAACGGAATGGATCCGGCAATGTGAGAGCCTGCGGATTTTCGCAATCCCCTTCGTCTTTCGCTGGTTCAGCCGGCGTATCTGTCAATACGGGAGATGGTGGCGGTGTCTAGGCCATGGCTGGGAGCAGCTTTTTGCGGCCGGGGCGTCATTCAACTCCTAACGGAACCCTGTTACCAGCACACCCAGGCCCATCGAGTCATTGCATCCATGGGGGAGTACTTCCTTTCCATTACAGGGCCCCGCGCGCTGCGTATGCTACATCTCACCAAAAGCCAATTTAGGAGCACTAAGTGCGAAGGCATGCCACCGAGAGCGCAGGGCTCTGTCAGAGATAGCATGGTAAATGAACTAAGAACTCCGCTCTTCGAGTGGCCAATTCAAATTGAGTTGCCTTTCTTTGTCAGAGCCCATCATATAGGCAGATTCTTGCCTCGTACACATCGAGCGCAAGCTCTGGAGGGCATGGAAGGCAATGGAGGGAGGGACAACTCACGAGTGGACAAGCCCTGTGTCCGGGGCGATGTAGTCACGATGGTCCTAGCTCACACTGCACTTCAGGGTAAGGTGGCTATACGCTTCTCTTGGAACTTAGCCCGGGCCCCTTATACAGCAGGATGCTGGCTGCTTCCTTTTCCCGCGCACATTGAGTATATCTTGCTCCCGCACATCGCTGCGCAATATGCATATGCTGTTCGGGTGACAAGTATGAAGGTCCTGGTCATTCAGGGGGAGAGCTTAGATGAAGTGCCACACTCACTTTGCTTAGCTGACTGGCCTATAGGCACTCCCTTCCTGGTCAGGTCTTGCCCCAGCGAATCTCTGCGACTGGCACTACCTCGCGGCTCTAAAAGCTTGTGTATCTGCAACCCCACCGATTTCCCGGGACGAGCCCTCTATGTGGAACCAAGCTTGGGTCTTCCACTGACACTCCTGCAAGTAATGGTCGTACAGGCCATGAGAGATAGGAGTGGCTATCGAGAGTGCAGATCCTTCTTGCTCACCGCAACCGTGGGTCCCATTCCGAGCCAGACTCGGCTATTGGGCGAATGTTTTGCCGATCAAACGAATATCCTCATGGCACTTCCTTGCGCCACACCTGAGGATGTCGTTACCGAATTCTTTTTCCCGCCAGAGCCTGGAATAGGCAACCGTGAGCCCGAACGGACGCCGGGTTTCAAGGCCTGCTAGCCAAGGCCCTTTGTGCATGTCAGGCTGCAAGCCTAGCCCACCGGCTGCTATAACGGCCCAAGCACCGGGGAGTCTGTCTCCCTGCTTTGTAGCGATTAACCCTGACCCGCAGGTTGGATTCGCGAAGCCTTGCGAATCGGCGCAAATCCTTGAGCACCTAGCTGAGGAGTCGGCCTGGAATGATGTGGATACTTGTGACGTGTCAGTTTCCCTTGTACTTAACAAATCAGTTCAATCGGAGATGCCTCGGCCTTTTGTTTCACAACGGCTGACCCGCAAAGCGTTGCAAAAGTTGCTGCTCGGCTGCCGTAGGGATGCATTCTCAGGCTCGCCTGCTGTGGGCCAGCTTGCTGCTTCGCTTGTTGTTGTGTATTGCGACTCGTTTCTTCGGTAAACGGCATGACACACACGCGCCCCTTTTTGGGTCATACCCTCGTTGTCCCTTTGCTGCTTATGCGGCTCCCGACGCTGCTGGCGCTGAAAGGACTCTGTGGCTTCGACTTGCACTGCCTGAACAGGCAGGCATCCCAGTTATCCCAGCAGGTCGGGTGTTGCTTAGGGTCGCCCCTGCGCACGCCCTTGATTAAGCAAAACGGCGACGTGGGAGTCTTGCGAGCTTCTCAAGGACAGGCTGCACAGTTTCTATGTTGAGCAACTCATTAGGAGGCCTAAGCCTGAAAGCAGATCACAGGCTTCCTGGGGCAAAATCCTTTACAGGTACCAAGAGGGCTTTGAGCGCCGCCTACAACAACTACACAGCGCACACAAGCCGATCTCAAGGAGGCGTTTGTGGTGTTTGGGACTGAAGATGTTGCAGGGAGTGCCATGCCTATGTGCGCGCAACACGCTTTCCTGCACGTGACTGTTGACACCCTTCGTTTGAGAGGGACCTTGAGGCGGCAGATGTGGATTTGCGGCATCTGCTGCACAGCTCAGACAGCGAAGCTGGAAGTGCTTCTGCAATTCCTGCAGCTTTGCAGGCCAGGCCGGCCCTTCAGCCTAGCCCAAGCTCTCAGAGTGGACAAAGAACCTTCCGCCGAGCATTGAGGCGCTCTTATGAGGTGATCAATTTGGAACAGGCGCCACCTACCCTCGACTGGGTAGGTGGTCAGATTACCCCATTGATCTTGACTGATGAAAAGAAGCTGATGGCGCTGGTTGCTCCGCGTTCCCCATACACCACCGTCGCATACTCGCATAGGTAGGGCTGTGGGGCTTGAGGCGGTTTGTAGGCTTTTGGTGAGGCTACGCTGCCTCTCTCTTGGGGTATGCAACACATGATATCCCTAAGCCCAAGCTTCATGCCTGGTCCAAGCCTGGACCACGCTTTATAACCGCCGTCACCACCACATGCCTCCACCCGTCTGCTCAAGGTAGAGCGACTCGCAAAGCCACGCGAATCGCTTAGGCAGCCCGTGCCCCATGAGTCTCAGGAGCGAGTTGCGTGGCATTGCAATAGTGGTAGCGCACAGACCCACCTATACCTTAAATGCAACGGTAGCAGGCAGGAGGATGCAACCTTGTGGACCCACTGAAAAATTCGGAGGTGGCTCCCGGGTCCGGGAAGCCATAGGCTTCAGGTTCGCGATTTTACTCCCTGCTGCGCCCGTGGGTATAGGCTTCAGGTTCGCGATTTCTCTCCCTGGTGCTTCCGGGTCAGGGGAGCCCATAAGCGTCAGGATTCGCGCCTCTTCCCCCAGTTGTTTGCTCTCTGCTGCTCCCGTGGTGAAGCAGTCTCTCTTGAGCCTACCAGGCACAGCAGGGACAGGATTGTCCCTGCCGGTGTTCCAGGCACTTCTCCAGCAGGAACAGCACCGTCCGTAAATGCGCAGCCAAAGAAAGGGCAAGAAGTTGAAGTGGAAAGAGTGAAAAGGTGTAGAATCGACAGATGTCGGGCAAAAAAAAAGGTCGATCCGTGCAAGAGGCTTCTTGCAAGGCAGCCTGAATGGGACGCAAGAATGACGAGGGAGAAGATGGAGCCGTGCAAGAGTCGCGCAAGAGGCTTCTTGCAGGATCACCACCTAGTGGAAGAGGATGGAGCCGTGCAAAAGGCTTCTTGCAAGACCACCACGTAGAGGCAGCTGCACTAAAAGCTAAATCCTTGCAAGGGCTTCTTGCGAGGTGGAAGCTTAAATCACCACTAAGAGCAGCGGCAAGAAACGCAACGAAAGTGCGATATCCTTGCAAGAGGCTTCTTGCGAGGTTCAAGCTTTTCATGGGCAACAAAACAGCAGAAAAGCTGTCGCGTTTTATGCACTCGCGAAGAGAAGAGGTTTTCTTGGACTTGCAAGAGGCTTCTTGCGAGGAGCCAAGCAGCAGTTCCTTTCCACATGCAAACTCTGGGCAGGAAAAGCTAACCCCGCTCAGAGCTTCAAACTGACCAGCTGTCTGGCAGGGGCGACTTGCCTACTTAAAGGTCCACGGAGCCTCTTCCTACGGGCCTCCCGACTCCTGACTGGGCATGCTGCAGCTTGGATGCCACAGAGCCTGCAAGTAGGCTTCCTTGCAACTGGGCCTGCGCTTAGCGTGTCTAGTCTCCAGGTTCTCAAGCGTACGGAGGTGGGTTGTTGCTAAGTGGGAATGGTGGGTGTAATGTCAGTAATGGTGGTGTTGGGGAACAGTGGGTGATGGTGGGTCTTGGTGGGTGGTGGTGGGTAACGGTGTGTGGGTAAATGGTGAGTCATGGTGTTTCAGAGTGGGCAATGCTGGGAGCGGCGCTTGATTGTGGTGGTGGGAAATCGTAGGTCGCACAATGGTGGGTGCTGGGGACCCCTTAAGCAAAAAAACCCTTCAGCCCTTCATTCTGGCTCCAGCCAGACGGGGCAAGGTCAAAAGGAAGACTGGAAAAAAGGGCGAGGTTCACTTAGATGATGAGGTTGAAATAAAGACACAAGGTCGGAGCCCGAAGACGACGCCATGTCATCCTCGGAGTGAGGTGGATCCTCCTCATCGGACCTCTCACATTCCTCTGCCAGCTGTTGCCCTCTTGGGTTGTCAGGCATGAACTTCCCAGAGCGGACCTCACGCAGCATCGACGCCATGGCCCTGAGGGGGGCCGACTGAGCATCGACTTCATAGATGAGCTCCGTGCCCACACCGGCAGACTTCGAAGTATGATAGCCTAAGATGGCCCTTTGGTCCCTTGGCAGACCACGTTTGCTGGCCCATGAGAGGATTGTTCTTTTGCACGAATGCGTACCCACATTGTTCAAGTACTCATCGGGGCCCACTCCCTGGGCAAGCAGGCTCCTGAGCCACACACAAGCCTGGTCGCACGGCAGAGGCACATTCCTCCAGGTCCCGTTGGAACCCGGACACGGCAGGAGGGGCAAATCCTCGTGGATACGAATCCCACATGCTTCCATGACATCGATCCAAGCATCGGCCCACCTGAGACCCGACAGACCCAAAGCACAAGCTGCCATCGGCAAGAACCTAACCTTCCTCTCGAGGGAGAAGCTGGTCTTGCTCCTCGAAACGTGGACCTCGAGATACGCTGATATCAGGCGCACAAAAAGGAGCTTGCACACACGCTGGGCATCGGAGAACCTGGCTCTCGCGTGCACTAGGAAAAGGAAAAAGCCCGCTGCCATCCTATCCTGCAGGGACCTCCCTTCAAGACCACAGCAAATTCTCTCAAGCAGCGCAACATGTTCGACTTTCAAGGGGGTTTCGTTGAAGGAGCTTCCTCTTCTGCAAGAAAAGCCGAGCTGCCAGGCCCCGAACACGACCCGACTCCAAAATCTCGTCAACACCCTTCAAGCCCACAACATACTTTGCGAAGGCAAAAGCGGAGAGAACACTCTTCAAGGAAGTCGGTGCAGCTTTGTCCTTCGCATCATCGAAGTAAGCATACACAAGAGGCTCAGCGGCAGGAAAAACTATCGCAGTCTTGCCCGAAGCCCAGGCAACATACCTCATAAGAGCATTCGCACGCGAGTGCAAAGTAGACGTTGCTTTCACTGCCAAGGCATCTGCCACGCTGTTAAGAAAAGGACCAGTACCCAACCCTGCTGCCTTCGAAGCATGGAAATCACGTGCAAGTCCAAAGGCAAGGGGCTCAACAAGAATGATGCGCTGCCACTTCGCAACAGCAAGGCTGCGTTCCTCACTCTGGAGATCAATCCAAGCCTTGGGGTTCGAGTCGTACTTGCTGAAACGAGCCATCTTTTCAGCAATCTTAACAAGTCCAGAAGACTTAGAAAAAGGCTCGGAACCCTCATCTGATTCAGGCTTCTCAAGTTCACACAAAGGCAAGGGACCTCTAGGAACCAGCTTTCTCTTTGCCGGCTGACTCACAAGGCCAATCTCCCAGGGTTGCTGCCACACGCTAGCATGATCCCTCAGGCATGACTGCAAGTGCAGGGAATACTCAGTGTGATTATCAAAAGCCATGAATGCCCAAAACCGGGACACACCCCCCTTTCACTCACGGAATTTGGGCAGGCAAGAGGCAACGCACTGAGGGCCGAGCAGGGCTCAAGAAGTCAGTGTCAAATGAAGGCTCAAACAAGTATGCGGCCAGCGCGCAACAGCCACGAGGGAAGCCCAAGAGCCTTGAGGGAGAAAGAGGAGCAAGCGAGCTCCGTCGGAGCGGCTGAGTAAAACGCCGCGAAGGTTACCCTCCAAGATGTACGTATACAAATTGGGGCTTTCTTGGGAGTACTCAAGAAGGCGGTCGAAGTAGAACGAACGCGGGCGCAAACGAAGTACAAGGAAAGTTGCAGGCTCAGGATGCTGAAGAGGCTCGGAAGCCTCGGACTCGCTGCTCCCACTGGGGGAAGAAAGCATCCGCCACCCCCGCGGGGTGGCTTGCACGGGCCCTAACGGCACTGGTTGAAAGGGGGCCCGTTTGGAAAAGAAGAACCTGTTGAGGACCCGCAGAGTTACTCAAGAACTGGGCCCAAAGAAATTTCCTTGCTTTGCTGACTGCTGAGCCAAGCTTGAGCCAAAATGGCGTGGCCTGCACCATGGCACATGTAGTGCCATCGGCCCTCTGACACAACTGATGTGTCGGCCCCGTTTATCTCCCCGGGTTGGGAGGGTGGGAAAGAAATTTCCTTGCTTTGCTGACTGCTGAGCCAAGCTTTGGAATGCAAGCGAAATTTCAATCACAAATTTAAACAATCCTGAAAAACACATGTCCCAAGAATGTGTCATGCATGCATAAGCAAAATGCTGGTGAATATTAAAATTCCAAACTTTTTGTTCTGGCCCAAAATTGCTTAAAGATACTCTCCGACAAACAATTTTGGTTTTGGTGCAACTATAAGGCAACGTCATGCAAGCATGAAGTATAGCGAGAACCAGACTTGGCGACCAGGGGGCCAGCAGACATGGCCTCCGAGGCCACACCCTTTCTCCGACGCACATGCGTCTGCCTCAGCCAGAACCGAAAGGTGGATGGGCTGACGTATCACGAACGAAAGGGGGGAAGCCTCGAGAATCGCACGCCAAGCCGCAAGAGCATCCCGAGCGGGACTGGAGATCTCCCGGAACGGATGGTCCGTGGACTGAACGGTGACCCAAAGGCGACGGTGTTGGAAGACCATGCGAACCAAATGGGCCTTGGTATGCGTGGCGGTATTGGCCACACGAATCACACGGCTCCCAATCGGGAAAGAAGCATGACTCACGTCACTGCGGATCACACAGTGATCATCCACAGCATCCAAGATTGCCTGCCAGAGCGCCGGTGACACAGCGACGCAAGATGCCGGTATGGCCTGCAGCGCAGCATAGAGCGGTGAAAGCAACGGGCGAAGGCACTTCCACAAGCCGGAAACCCATAGCAGTCGACCGATCAGGGACTCCAGCGTCTTGAGCTTGGTCTTCGGAGCACTCAACACCTCATCCAAGCCCTGCTTGTCCGCAGGGAGCGAGACTGTCCAAGAGGAAACGCAGATGTCCCAGCCTATCCATTTTACCCGGGAATTCCAAGCACACTTGCGCCAGCTGATGGGCACTCGAAGCACAAGGAACAGGACGACCCATAAACCCACCTGCAGTGGCGCGGTAGCCTTGCGAAAAGCACCTAAAAAATCGTCCACATAATCCCAAAGAAAATGGGGCAAGAAAATCAGGCTATGTGTGATTCTCATCAGAGCTCCAGCCAAACGACCCCACCAAAAGGCTGAAGCGCGGGCACCGAAGTTCAGAGTCTTGGAGACGAAAAAACGGCCCTCAAAGGAAAAGCAAAGGAGCCCTTGATCATCCGGGTGGATGAGCACCAATCGATGAGCTTTACGAACATCGAGGGACACCAGAACCCAATCCTCCTGCACACACTGCACCGGAGCACACAGAGCAATGTCTGCAACGCGCGGGAGAAGCATGCGATTAGGGATGAAGCAGGCTTCGGTAACACCGCTGATGCTGGAGTCAACGACAAGGCGAGGGGAACGCCCTTCGGCAAGCACCAGGCCAAGACGACCACATGCAACTGTGGGGTACCGCGTGCGGATGTCTTCGAGGGAGGAAAATTCCTCGATCCAACCTGCAGCGAGCTCTTCCGCGAGCAACTCGTTCACCTGACTCGGATGAGACGATGCAGACAGCCAAGATCCCTCGCAGACTTGCAAATCAGGGATGACAGGAGCCCAGTCACGGGAGGGCCAATGATCAGAAGGTGTGATATCCACACCGACACCGACGCGTACCCCTGTCCGCAAGTCCTCACACATGGCAGCTTCAGAATCGCCAAGGCACTCAAGCAAGGCTTGCAACAGATGCAATCGCAAGGGTTGGCCAGGAGTGATGGAAAGAACTGCTGAGCGGTCGCTGGTCGAAACCCCCAGCACGTCCAGAGCATCTTGCACAAAAGGATCAAGATCCGACTCAGACAGGGGAGGCTGATCGGGTGAACTCTGCAGAGAGTATGCCAAGCGCAAGCACAACTTGTCCTCAAACAGTCGTCGCGACCATCTTTCCCGGAGCTGGGCGAGACGATCAGGGGCTTGCGGCTGCAACCAGGCCGCAGTGCTGTGCAAACCGGCACCGTCCTCGACCCGAACAGCCGGAAGATGCCAGCATGGAGACGGGTGAAGCAAACAGCGCCAATCCTGCAAGCGCATGAATCTATCATGGCACGAAATGAACTTTTTCACTACATGCGCAATTTTGCAAGCCAGACCTTTAGGATACTCAGCCGAAAGTCGACTGACGTACTGTCCAGACGAGTCCCGCAATCCAAGAAGCGAATAATGCGCAGCGGGACCATGTTGGCAACAGGAGGCAAGTTCAAGAACCTCAGCACGGTTCGACACAAAAAGCCACCTTTTGTACCAGGAGAGACCGAACTGGCATGCCGCCACCTGAGCAGCAAAGGGGGCCTCCGCAAGCATCCAGCTTTGCATCAAGGGGTCTTGGAAAGTCATCGAAGTGACTGGGTTTTCCAGCAACACCAAGCCATGCCCGGCACTGACCCGAGAGAGAATTTCCCTCGTGCGATCGTGCAAAAGAGCACTGTTTTGAGCTCGCACCGCTTGATCCCAGTTATTGGTCGGGAGACCGTCCAAAAATTTGGGTGTGCGGACCGCAGGAGGTCCTCCAGGACGGAGCTTCAAAATAGTATGCTCACCGCAAATCGGTGCTGCCATCGCGGCTCCAATCACCCCATGATCAGCCATGGCACACAAGAGTGCGAACGTGTCATCATTCAGAAGGTCAAATTGCGGACCATGAATCAAGTCAACAGCTTCGAATCGATCCCCAGAGATGGCCGCCACCGCTGAGGACACAGGATGCGCAGCACCAGCAAAGAGGTCAAGGAAGAAACGCGGTTGGCTTGATGCCTGGGGCGGGAAATCCGACGGGACAGAGAGTTCGACCGATGGGCCCTGAGCAGATAGCAGGGTGTTGCAGCCATCGGGAACTTCTCCGAGACCATAGGGAACAGAACCATCAGCCGAGGCATTCCGAGCAACGACGGGCTGGGGCGAATCCTGGAATGCGGGCGGCAGTGACGGGAGAGAACCAGGTGTGGGAGCTTGAACACGAGCTCGCAGATCAACAAGAGGTCCCAAGGGGGGGCCCAAACTCCTTCTTGCTTGATCGGAGAGAGTCAGGATCTGGGTCCGACATGCAGGGCCGGAAGGATCAGAATGCAGGCGGGGGAGTCTGAATCCAAGTTCGGACAACCGCAGAGAGAGCTGCTTCGACAACGAATGCGCCAGCCGGAGGCAGTAGGCAGCCAACACCACCCGACGCCCCTCTGCAGGACGGACAGCGTGCAGGTGACGAGATGCACAAAACAAAATTGGGTGGTCAGCCACAGGCATGGCAACCGCAGGAATCTGACACCCCTCATCCTCAAGGAACTGAGCGCCCAGGTCATCTGCAATCAGAAGCTCACCTCCAGAGAAGCAAGAGAGGGTATGACCAGATTCGGGAGAAAAGAGTTTCGGAGGTCACGATGAGCCGGTGATTCAACACCATCTATAATGACAAAACTGGAGAAAACATGATCGGGGGCCACATGGGAGACAAACTGATTGATCAGACGCACGGATGTGGGATGGGAGGAAGAAACTTTGCGCAGGCCGCCAGAGCCTTTCTGGTGGAGGCCAGCCGAGACAGATTTGCCAGAAGCGAACCTGTCGTCCAGGTCAGGAGCCTCAGAAAGCAAGCGGTCCGCAAGACGCAAAATCATGGCACAAGTCGGGGCAACACCCGAGTTGATACACGCATCGGCAAAATCTTCAGCAAGCAAGTCCTGACAAGAGGGCCCAAAATCGGGTTCAGCAGCATCCTCACCTGACAAAGGAGAGGCTTCGGAAAAACCAGCTGAGGCCAAGAGATCTGCAGACGCCGAACCAATCTGCAAACCCTGGCCGGACCCTCAATGGGGAGCTTTTGCGTGGTCCTGAGCAGAATGGTTCTGGCCACAGGGAACGCCGGCTGCATTCAAGATAGGGCACCGATGGCTGAAACGACACTTGGCATTCCGACACTTGCCAGTGTGAAAACGGATGCAGGGGCCGACACCGTCAATGGTCTTAGCCCACGACTCAGGCCAAGATGCAACCGAGACCTTCGAAGGAGATCCTTGTCCCGAAGATTTACTCGGACTAGAAGCAGAGGATTTCTTGCCGGAGCCCTTGGACTTCGCCTGCGAGCACGACCAGCGGCATCGGAGGACTGATGATTTTTCTCTTTGCATTCTCGGAGGAAGAGGCACGCACGCGAGGGGCCAACGCGGCAAAGAGGTCAGGTCGGATGTATGTCATTTCGGCGACCGAATCAGCCAGAGACCAGCCGTGTTCGGTCTGCAAGAGAGCAACTCCTGACCAGAACGTGCGGTCAGCTTCGATAGCCTCATTCAAAAGCGGACCTCGCAACGAGCGGTCTTCCGGCACCGCCGTCGCGGTGGAGACGAAACGTTCCAGCATCTTGCGAAGGGGCAGCAAATGCATCCCGTCCAACAGCGCAATCGAGGTGCACAAGAGGCCGATGAACCGGCGCAGCGTGGGTTCAAGTGGCCCCCCCGAAGGGACGGATGTCTCAAGAGGATCCGGATCCTGGGCAGCAAGGAGAGAAGTCAGCAAAGCCACATCAGTGCGAGGCTTACGACGAACAACCACAGCCTCCTCATGCTCCGTCGTGCGGAACCTCCAGGGAATCCAACCCAAGTTCCGAGCATCGAGGCCCTCCTTGACACGAATCAGCAGAGACAAGCTGGGCATGGTCTCTGGACGAAGAAATTCGGAGGGATACTTGGCGGTGAAGTCAGTAACCATTTTGGTGACATCCCCGGCACACAGCTTGGGTTTCGGAACAGTGAGGGCAGAGGAAGGGATGCCCGACAGAGAGGACGTGCCGGAGACCACAGCAGAACATTCCTTCACGACCCGGCGCAGAGCGGAGGCTTCTGGAGAAAGCAAGGGCTAACCCCTCTGGGCGACCAAGAACCAAGTCGACAAAGCTCTCCAGATGATCGGAGCTAGGCAATGCATGAGCAATCAAAGACATGGTAGTGAACCCCTTTGCAGCAAGGGCCTGACGTACCGTCTCGGGGACGCCCCAGGCCACCAGTGATGAGTCCAAGAAAACCGTGTCATCCACGCGCACTGCCATGATACTCCGTCTACGAAGCCCCTACTTCCCGCCTGAAGCGACCAAAAACTAGGCGGAGAAGAAACCAAATGGTAGCCGGCATGCAAGAACTGACCAAGCGAAGCCCTGTTCAGCATGGGCAAGTCCTATCAGCAAGCTGACAAGAGAAAGCCCTGTACAGCATCTTTTCTGGCCACAGCGGCAGGCTCAGAACGAATACCAGCAAAGAAAGATGCGAGGACGGCGCGTCCACGTCACATCAAAAAGGACGCCGGCAACCCCTCGAGAACCAACAAGGGTTCCACACCCATGCTAGTCAGGCGGAGAGCAGCGGTCCCCCCGAGGCATGAACCCAAGCGTGGGCCCCGAGCACAGGAGGCTGGCGAGAAAACCTCAGACAATGGACGATCCAAGGCCAGCGGGCACATCGGCCTCCCCAGCGAGATCAAGCGTGATCTGCTCGAAGAGAGGATCCTTAGCGCAGCCATACTTCAAACACAGGCGAAAGCCTGTTGGTATCTCAGGGCTTCTTTGAAGCGTACCAACAGAGGAGCATCCTCTGATGCCGCAGGCTGCACGCAAGGGTCGATCAAAGTCTGAAGGCAGTACGGGCCTGTACTGGCAAGCTGGATGAGATGCCGAACAAACACGAGCAATATGGACCACTTTAGTTTGGGTATTGAGGAGAAACTCAAACTCTTCAGCTTCCGAGTCGATGACACCCGGGGCAAAGCATGACGGCTCGCAGCGTGGATCCAGCAAGGCTGGATTTTCAGCCTGAAAGTCGCCAGAATCCAGCTGACTCGAAGACACCACGGGACTCGAAAAATCGGAGCCACCAGCCCGAGCGACCGGCAGAGGTTGCAAGGATCCCTTCATTGCAAAGCCAGAGTCATCGGAATCCGCGGCGTCGGAGCACTTCTGAGAAACCACCATACGAGCTGCCTCTGGATCAGAGTCACTGGATGAGTCATCTTCCATCGTAGGTTCTGGGCGAGAAGCCAAAGGCGGGACCTCACAATCACTATTCTCAGCAGACGGAAGCGAAAGAATGGGAATGTCCGGCGAAGAGGGACACGCACCACGTAGATGCGGTCTCAGTGGTCGAAAACCCGCCAGGACTGCCTTGATAATCTTCTCCTGGACTTGAAGCGGAGCGGCCACATCATCCCGCCCATACAACTCACCCATCGAGCGAAGAGACCCTCTGTGATGTCCCTGGAGAAGCCTCAGGGGCTCCTCAATCAAGAGCTGTTTGGAGAAGCTCAGGAAAGTGACCTTCAAGGAATGGACCCCGATCAAGGAGAGATCCGGGCGTTTCTCTGCCGGCGTACCCGAGTAGCAGCGCAGCAGCAGACGCCGAAGCAAGATCAATCCCTCATTGCGAGACAAGGGGGCCAGCAGCAGAGGGGAAGACTCATCTGGCCCGAGGTCCGCCAGCAGAAAATCTGGCTCAAATTCGGGATGAGCACATTTCGTTGCTTCGAGTGCCCTTTGGAGCAGAGCAAAAAACACGGAACCCCAGGAAGTCGATGAGCAACCTTTCGAAAGAAAGCCAGCAGCCCGCGCTGCCCAAGGCATGGATCTCCGTGTAGTTTTGGTCCTAGCAGCGGAGCCAAGCAAGGCTCCCATAGAGATGTATATCTCAGAAGGCGAGCTCCAAAGTGCATCACTCCAGCGTAATGAGGCGAAGACGCAAGCCAAGATTGCCCCACAACGAAGGCGATGGGCAGCAGAAGCCAGCACGTCCAAGACCTGACCTTCAAGCCAGATAACAAAGGAAAGTGGCAACGGAGCCGATTCACGTCGTGGAACAGTCTCAGTAGCGAGGGCATAGGCAGAAACCGCTGGGGTGAACAGAAGTTGCCGCAGGACTTCGAGCACCAGCTTGTTCGCCACAAAACGCAATGCTTTTATCCATCCCTGTGCTGAGCAAAGTCGACCCCGAGCGTGTAGTGAGAAGAAGTCCAGCAGCAGAAACTCGGGTGGTTCGAATGGACATGTGGAATTCGCCTCCGCAAACTTCTCCCATTGAACCCACATCCGCAGGTAAGAGCAAAGGGTCGACGGTGCGTTCATGCGTACCAAACGAGCAAGATGGGCATTTGCCTGAGTGCTCAGCAGAAGTCCAGCAACAAGTTTGCTGTGTGATGAAGCTCGGCGTGAAAGTACCAGCCAGGCACTGACCTGCTCATTCATCGCATTGGTCAAGGCGTCTTTCATGCTGCAGGCAGCTTTAGCAGTCGATGATGTCAACAGTCGAGGAACCGGGAAAGCTGAACCCTCCGGAGGATGAGCCACCAATGTAGCTTCCAGAGAAAGCCTGGCCGCTGGTTCAGCTGGCTTGTACGGCATCACTCGGGGGCGTAGTAACGGAGCACGTAGTGGAGCTTGAGATGGCAAACCAGCTGGACCCAGACGAGGTCGAGAAGCTCTGTCTCTCCCAGAAGCCATCGGAGCAGCTGCAATAGTTGCAGAAGGTGGACCGTAGAAGCTGCTAAGCTTCCCGTCGTTCCAGCGCGATGGCCGCGGCGAAGCCATGGGACAACCCAGCCCTTGACTACAGTGCAGTAAGACCCACAGACAAAGCCCCTGCAGAAGGAACACGCAAGTGTCACAAGAGAGCTCACTGCAGACAGCATGAGGAGCAAGTGCAAACCGAGCGACAATTTTTAGCGCATCTGGCAACTTCAGATCCTGAGGGTGCTGGATGCCGGGAGGCATGCTGACAGCAGAGGAAACCAAAACCTAGGGAAAGGAAAGGGAGCCGGGAAACACAGGGGGTCATCCGGCAGCTAACCTAAGCCCAGAACCCAAGACTAGGGTCAGCAACCCTCAAAGAGTCCCCTCCGAGGCAGTAGGTGCACAAGAAGGAACGGCTTCCCAAGGGACGGTGGGGTCCAGACTAGGGTCGACGGCTGATGCAGTTGCATGTGACGCATGGCTGGTGTCAGTGCTAGCCGGACGAGGTCCAACGAGAGAAGCCCAGGATGGGTTCCCAGCAAGTGCAGCAGAAGAGGAGACGGTCCGCTCCTGTAGTGCTTCGAGCGATGAACTCAAAGAAGCAATGACAGTTTCCAGCTGACGAAGGCGTTGAGCCTGCGAAAGTGAGCGGAACTCCAAAGCCTCAAGGCGAGCCTGCAAACGAGGGAAATCAAATGCCTCCAAAGCCACGACACGATCGTAGAGAGCAGCGGCGCCCACACTGCCTATGCTTTCAAGAGGCACCGTCGAGCCCACCGTCGAAGAGAAGCGGGCGAGGCCGGAGTCCACCGCCTCAATCGTGCGTGATAGAGCATCTTGCTGTACAGACAGATCGCGAAGCACGCGAATGAATGCCATGTCCAAGCAGGAAAACCCTGTGCGCAGAAGGTCATCAAAGGGGACGTCAAGAATGACCGATCGCAAGGATGAATGAAAACGATGCACCGAAGATACATCCACCTGACGACTCAGGGCATGCAAGGCAACCCAGGATTCAAGCATGTCCACACGAGCCCTCAGAGCAGCCAGTTCGGGATGAACTTGACCAGGGATACTGCTAGGGGAAGGCAATGGCGGGGCGGTACCATCAGCAGGAGCAACTGGGGGCATTGCATACGGCATCGGCCTGTGGGCGGGCGCACGGTGGCCAGCGGTCGGTATGAGATCCTCAAGATCGCTGTCTGAGAAGGCAACAATGGGATCATGAGGCAGCGCACTGCGACGGAAGCGAAAACCAGAATTGGAATGAGCAGCCATCGCCCAGGCACTATTAACCCTGAAAGCGGAAACTCAAACCAAGACAACCCCTCACAAGAAACCCACATGCGTGCGGGTTGAGCCAAGCAAGCAATCAGGAGCAAAAGCTCACGCACTCACTTTCAGGGAGGGAAAGGAGGGAAGGGAAATGGGGATTCAGGAAACACTGCCCAATGAATCCCTCAAGCACAGCGGTGCCAAAAACTGCGAGAACAACAGCTCAAGAAAAAAGGAAAGGGCCCGCTATAAGCAGACGCAAAGACCCTGAACAAAGCCCCAGCAACACCGGAACTCAAAGGAAATTCCTGAACAGGAACTCCGAGAACAGGACTGAAAACCCAATCCAGCGGGACCGGGTAACCTGCAAAGAGCATGAAGACCCCCAGAAGACACTCTACGCGGTAGAGCGGGGATTTTCCGAATGCTCAGAGTGAGAAAAATGCGATGCTCACGACAAAATTCAGCACTCAAAAAACATGCTCTGTACAAGCGTGAGACCAAAGGACCTCCTGGAAAGAACTACAGGCACCGAGCTGCCGCCTCAAGAGAAATCGTCGCTGCCCGACTACGGAATCGGGGGAGTGTCAGGAGCAAAACTCTGCGGAACATGATCCTGAGCAGCCCAATACTGAATCTCAGATGGCTCGTTTTGCAGACGGCCCTCAGCCCACAAGATCCACAAAATGCAAAAAAGACGTGGCGGCGGCAACCTCACCAGTTCAGCATTGGTCCAGGATGTCAGGCGAAGAATCACCCAGCGCACACTGCTCAAAGCAATAGGGTGCTCGGCGTCCTCGTTAGCCACAGGCAACGCAGAAGAAGCGTTCGTCGCAAGAGCAGCAGAGGTGTCCGTTTCCGGAAGAAGAGCTGGCGGCGCAGGTACAGGACCCAGCGAATCTGGAACATGTTGCAGAGGACCAATGGACACGCCAACCACATTTTCCAGATGATCGACTCGCGCAACCAGAGCCTGCCAAGCCGGATGCGAGCAGAACTGAGGCAAAAGCCGACTTGCCGAACCACAAGGTGGGGACCGGCTGCGAGCCGGAGCACTTGGCCTTGCAGCAGAGCGACGAGCTCCCAGAGGTGGCAGAACAGGAGAACGTCCACGATCTTGCCGAGCCTGACGAAGTGCCAGAGGCGTAGGCGGTGCAGAGAGCGAAGCATCACTCGGGATATCAGCAAGAGGAGACCCAGGAGTAATCGCCACATCAACCAACTCATCAGAAGAGCTCGAGGCACCCCCAGAACCATGCAGCGCAGCAGCCAAAAACCGGCGCCTTCTGTGATCTGGAAGATCCGCATGCCCATCATGATCATCCAGGTTCATACACGAACCCACTAGGAAGCCGAGGGCCACCAGGCGCAGGAGCATCGAAACCATCTGTCCCAGCGAGAGCCGGAACGTGCACGGGGGAACGTCGAAGGGTTCCGAGGCCTGAACCTGTTGAAGAGTTCGGCAAGCGAGGCCCCCAGCCCAAGATCAAAATCTGCTTGTCTGATGGCAGGTCCCGTGCCAACAAGTGCTGCAGGAAAAACGGAAAATCGGCAAGAATACCAAGCAGCACAAAGTAAGCATGCGACAAGCAACGAAAAATCAATTGGAGATTCAACCGAAAGGTCTTCTGGGGCTGCCTCGGGAGCCTCGGGCACAGGAGCCTCGCCTGGCGGACTCGCAGGCGCGGGTGCTTCGCACACACTGAGGAAGTCCTCGAGCACCTCCTCCGGAATTGAATCCTTTAACGACGTAGCATGATTTTCTTTCTCACGGTGTTGGTCCTGCCAAAACTTTATCTGATCAAGCAAATCCGCAAAGGGATCCACTTGGCGTGCTGAACAGCTTGCAGTCCACAAAAACTCTGACAGAAGACCGCCGTAGCTGTCTCGACTCACCTTCTTGGCGCCTTTGGCTCGCAAAAAGGCCTTCAAGCGGCCGAAAAGCCCTTCAGCTGCGTTCGTTGACACCACAACTTCCTTTCCAAAAATTGTTTCTGTTTTGGAAAACTCACGGCGTTTGTGATTCACGCAGCGATGCACAAAGCCAGAGTCTGGCTTCGACAACCAAGCATAACTCTTGAAGCTGTCTGTAAAAATCAAACTGCCAGCAACAACATGTCTTCGAATGAAAAGCTTCAAGGTGCGAGCACTCCTGTCCGGAATCTCCAAAAGAAGGCAATGCCCTGTGGCTCGTCGAGTTTCAAAGTCCAACTCGAGCATGCCAAGCACACACTTTTTGGTTCCAGCCGTTGGGCGGCCTCGGAAACCACCTTTGCAACGCTTCTTCTTCGTGAGAAACGTCTCGTCAATGCACACGATTTTGCCTTCGCCGCCGAGCTGAGCAGGATTCAAACGAGCGACACACAGCCACAAAATGCTTCTAACACGTGCTAAAAACCCAGCCCAGTTCTTCGAACTGACCTTTGCCTGCTTTCGAGCAGTTCTGTAGGGTGCGTCTGACGCGAACCAGTACAAAGAAGCAAGATATTGCGCAGGTGTGTAGTTGTTCGCTAGGTACTTTGGAAGCGTTCCTGGACGACGCCAGGTGAGCTTCTTGTTGCACAGCTTCTTCGCTGGAACCTCCTCGTCCTCATCCTCACTGTCGTAGTCTGGATTCGGAACGCGCACTGTGCAGTGCAAGTAAGAATTGCCCTTCTCCGAGTTGCTGTTGAAGGACTTCCACTCATGCCCTGCTGGGCAATGCAACGGCAAGACAAGCAAATGCCACCAAACTAAGAACCACAACGCCTGGCGGCTAGAAGGCCACAACTTGTTTGACGCCTCATCCGCCGTCAGGAACTCGCCGTCCATGGCACGTGGAAGATGCTGGAAGTCTGGATGCGAAGCCCCCGAACTTTCAAAAAGACTCTGAGCCGAGTGACACGTAGCAGTTCCCTCCTCCGCGCGAAACGCTGCAATTGCTGTTCCGTTGTTTCCTGCGCAAGTCCAACAAGCTTTCAAGGGTCGCTTTCTTGACTGGATTCAACCAGCTTCCAGTGTTGTCCAGTTTCCAACCGAATCTTTGAGAAATTTCCATTCACAACAATAATAAATCTTGGTTTCCACCACGGTGCAGATCCAGAACTGTGGTCATTCCACATCTAAGTCATTCCAGCGATGGGGTGTTTCCAGTTGTCGGAACAACACCCCAGGCATTTCTTGCCTCTTTGAGCTTCGCCCTGAGCTTCTCTCATTTTCTGATTTCATTGGCCCTTCTTCTCGGCTGCTGCTCGGCTCCATCGTCTTCGACTTGCTCCAATAGCACCTCTGAACCCCTTCAGTCGACAGTGCCTTAGATGTTCTTCCCTGAGCCCTCCAGCTTCCCTCCTCCATCACCAACTCCTGCTTGCTGTCGGAACGGTGCCAGTTGCCTTGCTTTTTGGCAAATTCTTGCCTCTCCTTGAGCTTCTCTTCTTTTCTTTTGATTCCATTGACCCTCTTCTCGACTGCTGGCTCGACTCCATCGTCTTGCTTCTTGATTATTTCGCTGCCCCAAAAGCACCCTTTGAGCCCCTCGATCGCTCTCGCAGTTGCCAGAATGGTGACGGCTTGCTTTCTTTTCGCAACCCTCGTTTCCCTGAGCTGCTCTCTCTTTTTTTCTGACTCCAACGGTCCTCTTCTCGACTGCTCGACTTCATCGTTGCAAAAACACTCAAAAACACAACCCAGATTCCACCGAGAGGGCTGAACCCAAGTCTCACCGTGGAGAAACAAATTTCACCCGCGTCTGTGGAGCAGGCAGGAGAAGAAGGCCTGAAGCAAGTCAAGTGAAGGCACAGTTTGGGCACACAGACCGGCACAGATTTGGAAGACAGCGACAGAAACTTAACAACAGAATTTGAGGCACAGCGACAGAAACTTGCAGTTGCCAGAATGGTGACGGCTTGCTTTCTTTTTTGCAACCCTTGTTTCCCTAAGCTCTCTCTGTTTTCTAACTCCAACGCTTCTCTTCTTGACTGCTCGACTTTATCGTTGCAAAAACACTTAAAAACACAACCCAGATTCCACCTCCTCCACCAAGTCAAGGTTTGGACAAGCAGCAGCCGAGTTGCTTGCTGGTGAATCTGTGGCCAAAGCGACAACAATCTGACATATCGACTTGAGTTGATACCGGCCCGGGCGAGCACTAGCCGTGACCATTGATGTGACCTGCTTCCAGTGGGTAGAGTGGTGAGCCACTTCAGTTCTCTCTCTCTCTTTCTTTTTCTCTTTCTCGCTCACTTTCTCTTTGTTTTTTCTCTTTATCTTTCTCTCTCTCTCTCTCTCTTTCTCTCTCTCTCTCTCTCTCTCTCTCTCTCTCGCTCTCTATCTCTGTGTCACATTCATGCATGTGCCAGTGACCTGCTCTCGTGTAGGGGCACAAACCTATTGTGCTTGGTTTCTGTTGTTACTGTTATCGTTACATTTTACTACGGTTCTGCTTCTTCTTCTTCTTCTTCTTCTCATTTTTCTTTTTTATTCTTATAATAATAATAGTAATAATTTTTTATTTTTATTATTATTGCTAGATAACGGTCTTCGAGGAATATACGGGGATCCCCCCCCCAATCCCCGAAAGGAACACTATTACTACTACTGTTTTTATTGTTGTTATGATTGTTGCTGTTATTCTCAAGCTCTCCTTGGTTCATGGAAAGGGCCTGAAGGGTGTTTTGGCACTGGAAGGCCCAACGAGCCTGCGAGCGGCGACGGTGCGGGGTGTGCAGCTGAGCCTGGCGGTATGATGATGATTCTTCTTCTTATGTTCATTTTTGTTCTAGTGCAAATTTTGCAAGAGTAACAATACTATAATTATGACAATGGCATTATAATACCAGATATACTACCGCAGTATTGATAATACTCTTATAGTGTGGTCGTTTTGGAAAGATTCGACCTCTTTGGAAGAGTGATGTTCAGCTCCTATCGCGTTTTGCGGCTTGGGCACCTTCAGCTCGTAGTGGAGATGCAGTTCATGTCGCCGCTGTAGGGATGGATTCGTGACCCCGCGCCGCTTTTCAGTGCCCCCTGCAGCAGATCAGTCGAAGCCTCAGCTTGGAGCTGCGTTTGAGTCGGATCTGATTTGCAATAGTAGCCAAATTTTTCATGGAACTGACAACTGGATCCATCTGGAATTGGTAATACATGTTGGCCTCCTCGTTGGATTTCGGCGCAAGCTACTTTGAAGGACGTGTTGAAGCCTTGGTGCTGAGGCCTACTCCCTGGAGGCTTGGTGCTGGATACCTGTGTGGGACTTGCCAAGATCGTCTCTAAGTTGTGTCAGTACTAGCAGCAAATCTGAGAATCCGAGAGATCAAGGACAACAGTGGCAGTAGAATGAGTGTTGCTGATTGTTGAAGAAAAAGAGGGCTCAGTTGCTAAGGGCCGCAATCCACGTCGTCGTTTTTTCGGTGTGGTGTTGACGGGCGTGACGGACACCCTCTCCGTTTCGGCAACTGGCCCGTCTTTGCAACACGAAGCTGTGAAGTTTGCCTTGCCCACCAAGGGTATTCGAGAATGCTCCACTGCAGGGTTCCTGGCTTTCTGCCAAGGCTTGTGTGTTCAGAACATGTGGTCGTGCTTGTATTTAAGCGTTGGTAGCAGGGATGAGGGTCAAAAAAAATAAAAGGATCAAAAGCAAAAAAAAGGGATCAACAAAAAAAACTAGGCCCGAAACCCTAAACCCTAAACCCTAAGCCCTAAACTGTAAACCCTAAACCGTCAGCCCTAAACTGTAAACCCTAAACCCCAAACCCTAAACCTCAAACCCTCAACCCTGAACCCTGACCCTTGAACGCTAAACCTTAAACAAAAAACCATAAGCCCTAAGCCCTAAGCCCTAAGCCCTAAACCCTGAACCCTAAATCCTAAACCCTGCCTTAAACCCTAAACCCTCGGCTGTTCATTTTTGGATCCTTTTTCATTTTTTGGATCCGGCAGCCTTTTGGCAGCATGCCAGAATTAGGTGCCAATCTTTCGTCGCGATGCTGCGTGACTTTGGTGCTAGCACCCACATATCTTCGTTCCTTTATTCTTGCAATTCTTGTGTTGTAATAAAATCTTGCGTTGACTATTGTTCTTGTTCTTACTGTTGTGATTCTGACTCTAGTTATTGATACTGTCACACACTGTCGTTGTTATTGTCATTGTATCTGTTATGTAGTACCACTGTTCTTGTAATTAGGATGTCGGACGTGCGTTGGGCATTTGAGGCCAAGTTTTTGCGTGAACCGCGTCAAGCCGACGGATGAGCACTGAGCTCAGTCTTCGGCTGCCAGTTTGAGCTCTTCCCGGAAGCCAAGACATCTGAGTGAAAGTCCACACCCATCAAAGTGAGTATGTAAGCATTATAGAGGAATGTTATTGTCGGGCTTGTTGAGGGTCACGAAGGAGTTTTGAGATGCGGCCAAGGACGTTTGAAAATTCTCCGCAGCAGGGTGCCAAGGGTGGTTCGCGCTTCTTTGCTTCAGCATAGCCAATGAGATCCTTTGCGCGATGAACTGGACAGTGCCGAAACTTGTTGCCCCAAGGCCGTCACTTGTACTCCCCCCACCGGAAGCCAAAGACGAGTGCCGGTCTCATGTGCTTGCAGCGCTGATCTGCAGAAGTTACGGAGCATCTGTCCTCAGGTCGTCCTGTCGTGAGCCATGCCCTTCAACAGCGGATGTTGTGGCGCAACCTCATGTGCGTTGGACGTTGCTTGCGCAGGGGGGAATGTGAATGAGGGAGATACTTCGCCGAAACTACTTGTAGCAAAACGGTGGGGCCCCTGTCTCACTGTCACTCATTGTCATCCCAACAGCGGCACTGAACTCAGTCATCGGGCGCCCGGATCGCTTGGCATTTCTCAGAAGCAGAACTTTACTAGAATCCTGAACATCCTAAACGCAAGCTGCAGTGCTTCGAATGTCTTATAAGGCCAACTCAAGGGCCGGACGTTCTTGCCGCCGTATGCGGCGTTTCGTAGGCCCACTGCGGCTGCAAGCCGCTTTGGGGCAGCAAAGCTGCATTTGCCACAGATGCGAAGCCAATGACGCTTCAGCAGCACATGCCGGCCCGAGAGCCTGAAGTGACGTAGTGGTACTTCAGAGGTTTTTGGAAAGGGTTTGTTGATGTGCTTACACGCCGCATCCCACCCAATGCTCGAAGGTATTGAGGCTGTGGAGCTTGAGGTTCTGAGGCCGGGCTCTTCCAACATCGCTGATATATTCCAAGAAGTTTCGAGAAGCATCGAGATCTTCTTGGCTGAGTTTCGACCAATGTCAAGAAAAGGTTTCGGCCCTTACTGTTGTTACCTTGTCTGGTTGCATGCATAGATAGCTGCACGCTGAAGACCACAAGCGCTTCCGCTGATAGCTGTTTGGGTACGCGCCTTCTGCGATCACTTCTTCGAGTACTGCACTGCTACTGCTACTGCTGCTCCTCCTGCTACTCGCTACTCCTGCTACTCCTGCTACTCCTGCTACTCGCTACTCCTGCTACTGCTGCCACTGCTGCTACTCCTGCTGCTCCTGCTACTGCTGCTACTGCTGCTACTGCTGCTACTGCTGCTACTGCTGCTACTGCTGCTGCGGCTACTGCGGCTACTGGTGCTACTGGTGCTACTGCTGCTACTGCTGCTACTGCTGCTACTGCTGCTACTGCTGTAACTCCTCCTACTACTACTACTACTCCTCCTCCTCCTCCTACTACTAGTACTAGTGCTAGGGTAGCTTCGCCTAGCAAGGTACCCAGAATGTCTCGTGTTGTTTTCAAAGTGTTTGAAAAGGTTTCAAAAAGTGTTTTCATCGTATTCTAATTTATTGGAAAGACGAGGGATGTGAAGGCGAAAGGTCTTGGAAGCAAAAAGAAATTTTTCGAAGCGATGTTAAAGGGTTTGAGCCGGTTTCAGGAGGGTGTTCAAGGGTTTCACAACAGATGTGGTTTAGAATATCAGATCGTTTTCGAACCGGTTTTAGTGGTTGCAGAAAGCTTTCCAGCTGAAAGGTTTGAGGGGGTTTTAGTGTGGCTTCGCAAGGGCAGGTCAGATTTTGCTTGGGGTTTTCATGTGTTGGGAAAGAAGGTAAAAAAGGGTCTTGAAAGATTTTATAGGGGTCGTAGAGGGTGTTGTGAATGGTCAAGAAAGCTTAAAGCAGGGCATGGGGGGTTTAAGAGGTGCGTTGAAAAAGGTTTCGAAGGTGTTGACACGACGGGTTGTTGGAGTGCAGTGGGGTGTGCTCCCTGCCTCCCCTGTGGAACGCGTGTGCAGACGACCGGAATTTGAATTCAGTTCGCACGTTTTTGTTGGGAAGCATTTGGACGCCACGAATGTGGGCACTTGTACGTGTGTTGACTGAAAGGATTTGGCCAGTATACTCTTGGGACCATTCTGGATAGAAAAAAACCCGGCTGGCTTCAAACACGGCGGCGTGAAAGCACATATATGCCCAAGGGCCGATGTTTAGCCCGCAGATCAGCCCGAGAGGGGTGGCCCTTCTCGAGCCATTGCCAACTTGGGTCGGAGGAGCACTTGAAACTTGAAAGCCCTAGCTTCCATGGGCGTGCTGTTTAGTGCACCGTCAGGGCCATGGCCATGGCTAAGCCCGTTCAAAACGTGATAGGCCATGTGAGTCAAAAAGCGACGACGGTGGTGGATTTCGCGACCCCAGGATTCCAAAAGCGATGACAGTTTTGAGGAAGACGAGCACGGCCACGCCTGGTCCAAGATGCGAACACAGCTCGAAAAACCCATGGCTCGCAGTGGGGTGCGACGCCCGTGTGTGTGTGTGTGTGTGTGTGTGTGTGTGTGTGTGTGTGTGCGTTTGTGTGTGTGTGTGTGTGCGTGCCGCATGCTATAGCCGGTCAAGCCCCCGTTACCCCTCACGGTGGAACCCCTTGAGTGTCGACACGCTCACGTTGTTGGGCAGAATAGTATGCTGGAAAGTCGTGGTGCTGAGTGTCTTGGTTTGCGTGTGCAGCTGCATGAGTTGGCTTGCCTACCCACCACCTACCGCTTTAATGAGCTGTTGCCCCGAGCGCGTTTGGTGCCGTGTGGCAGTGTGGCATTCGTTTTGCACCTACTCCTTAGTATTGAAGGCCGAACGCGGGAATACCTTTGAGCAATTGTTCGCTTCAACCGCATCTCTTAACGAGAGGAGATTTGAGTTCAGTGATTTTGTTTTGATGTGAGATTGGATTAGTCGAGTTTTCCGTTTTCCGAGGACGATGAGTGTGTAATGCTGTTCCATGCACTGCTGAGCCACATGCCTATCATTGTGATGTTTGCACCCGAACATGGGATTCAACCGATTCGTGGTCGCTTCTGCTTTGTTCGAGTCGCGTGATGCGACATAGTAGTTGTGTTTGGAGATCCTGGTTGCTATCAGCCGCGGCCTCGGTGAATGGGTGTTTCGATGATGAGCAGTTTTGATGTTTTCGTGATCTCTGCAAATTCTGCTTGTAAGGTCGAATGAAGCCCTTACAGGCTCTAGGTTTGCGTGGCGCGCGGGCAGCCGAATTGGTTGCATTGGGAAATCGATTTCCCAAGCAGCTGCCATGCAGAACCTTCAACATAAGACATATCAACAAGATGGCCACAGAGAGCACAATGGCAGGTGCCGATACGTGCAGGGTTGTTTCTGTGTGCATTTGGATCGAGGACATGCTGAAACTTCAAAGCAGTGTACTTGCGCAGGTGAATCCAGAAAGCCTGCAGTGCCACTACAAGAAGTCGTGCCGCGCGATGGTTCTCGTGATGATGTCAAAGTGCTGCCAAACGACCCAGACACACTTCGGCGAATTGGGATGTTTCAGCATTTGTGGCGGTTTTATGTTGTTCGGTCATGCCTTAGTCTCGTACTCCAGTGGTCGGGTTGCTTGGTTTCCAGCAAATGGCAAGGTTGCGAGTGAAATCCATCGCAAACATCACGCCAGAAGAACAGCAAGAGTTCGTGTTCATGATGAACCGCTACGGTGCTGCTGTTCTTGTTCAAGAAGAGTTTGACGATGGCCTGCAGGCTTACAAAACATTGGACCGATGGTTTGGTCGTTGTATACCTCATGATGCCATGAATGAACATGGCATTGTCGAGATCAACCCCGCCAAGCCAACCAGCATCAACACGGCGAACCCCAAGAAGGAACACCTGCCGCACACGGACGACGCCTACACCGACAGCCCCTCAGCGCTCCTTGGCTGAGTTTCAATTTGCCATCTCTGTCCGTGCATGTTAGACTCTCTCTCAAGTCTGTGTTTTCTTCGAAAGCTGAAGGGCGGTCCTGTGCAGAGCGCGCAAAAGCTTTTTGAGGTTTCTCACCTTGCAGTGCCGCCAATCTGCACCCTCCGGTGGTGGTGAGTCGGTTCTCGTGTCTGGTGCCGATCTTGTGACGGCTCTTTCGAACGAGGAGCTTCGAACGTTGATGCAGCCGGGCATGGTTTCCATGGGCCGAAGACCTGCCGGAGATGGATCCTGGATGAAGGTCAGCTCCATTCCCCTGTTCTGGGTGGACAAGTCCTCTGGGTGGTTGCAGGTGCGATGGCGCTGCAACGATGGCTGTTTGGGGGATGTGGCCGAGGAGGTGAAGCCTTCTTATGAGCAGATGGACGCCGTCGCCCGGAAGGAGGCAAAGGTTGTTAGTTCTCATAACTTCCTTCACACTCGTCTTCGTCTTAGTTTTCGAATTTGCTTTTATTTGTTTTTATTTGGAGGTGCACCAGCTTGTCGTGCCCCTGGTGCCGGGGGAGGTCCTTGTCATGGACAATCGGGCTGTCGCACATGGTCGAAGGCCGTATGAGTCCGACGAGCCAAGAGTGATGTGGCGGAAGAACTACGTCGGTAACGGTGAGCTGGCAGCGCAGCTCACTAGCGGAACATGTGCTGCGTTCTCGAGTATGTTTGATGGGCTTCACAGCATGTTCGACCCGTCTTCTTGGGATCCATCCAAGATAAAGCTTTAAGATGGCTACGATCCGTTTGGATATGTACAGAGGCCTCTGGCAGCCTGACGTCGTCCAGCCTGTCCAGCGTTGTGCTAAGTTTCGTTGACTTTGGAGCGGCCTGGTTGAGATCCGAAGGACTCTTTTCTCCGGCCCCGGCCCACAAGGCATGGCAAAAAATTTGGTTGACACGGGTTCCGAAGGCGACTGCCCCCTTCGTATTTTTCATAGCCTGGTGCAGTTGCCTTCAAGGGGAGCGGTACTAACAGTCCAGACTCCATCTAAAAGCATGGAAACACCGCAACTGTGAAAGGTCCGCAAAGCGTGTACTGCTCCCTGGGCCATCGCAGAGTCTGTGCGCCAATGACAATGTGCACAGGGCGCTCTGACCTCGTATCTCGTAGGGGAACCAAAGGGAACCCAGGGCATGGTCCGTCTGTGCTCTCAGCCGTGAAGAGTCCCCAGGCTGCAAGCATTTAGACTTGCTGAGCCTGGCCTCAGCAATGATTTCGAAACTGGTGAGTGCTTTTGACCAACTGGTGCGATCAATCATGTGGAAAACTATGGCTGTGCCGTTGTGCCATGGTCACGTCCAGAGCGCAGCTACTACATCTATTGCAAGTGTCAAGAACTGTACCTTGCGCGTGCATTTTGCAGCTTCGAAGCATTTTTGCTCACTTCTTTGCTTTTAGCATAGTCATAGGCCTCGTCATGGCGACGAGGAAGAAGAAAGCGAAGTCAGACGCAACCTGTCCCAACATGCTACTCCCCCCCCATCCCCCCCCCATCACAAATCTGACCAGCGACTTGCAGTAGATATCACATCACGGCAGTCCTTGTTTTTTTTTCAGCCCAGGCAAGTTCTGACGCCGAGGAGGCATGTGTGGAGCACGCTCCGACAAGGTTGTGTGGCAGGGTTCTTTGTCGTAACTTGGACAGGAGGAGAGCGGTTCTCCCAGAGAGAAGAAATCTGCAGACGAAAAACGTCCTGTTACTTGTGCTGCAAGAGAAGCGACAGGAACAATTCTGCAGCGGCTGGTGTGAAATCACGCTTTATGCACACTCCCAAGGCCAAATCCAAAAACGAGGAGGAGCCTCGAGGCAGGCGACAGAGGCCTGGGCTTAGTTGGGATGCTTGCAGGCTTTGCTTTGTCTTTGTGTCTCGTATCTTCTCTCAATGGCCCAGCCTGAGCCACCAAGGTCGCGAACTAGGTCTCGAAGGCGGTCACGTTCGCGCAGCTTGACTGCGTTCATGTGACAATGTCCGAGGGCCTGTCAGATGCAATGTTGACTGAAGGGACCTCCAAGATGTCCAAGCAACCAAACATGCGGAATAGGTGATCGGCGAGACGATAGGCGCCGAGGCGGAGCACGCCACGGCGACCGAAGACGAGGAGGTAGATATAGCCGCAGAGACGAGACACGGCGTCACTTGGACTTGCCAAGATCTGCTGTGTGTTACGTTGTTTTTGAATGTTCCTTCACTTTACACAAAAATGCATTTCCTTTAGTATGCTGCCGTGGCATTCTGAAGTCCTCAGGCGATGACCGTGATCGTCGCGACGACCGAGATCGCCGGGATGACCGGGATCGTCGTGATGACCGCCGCCGTGATGAACGCGGACGCAGAGGCCGTGGAGATCGCCGGGATGACAGGAGCTGTGTTGAGAGTCTAGAGTGCTCAGTCTTGCTCAGGGCCCGGAAGTCACAAAGGTTTGAAGCATCTCAGGACTGGCGATCAAGATGATAGTACCTCGGCATGACCTAATCATCGCCATGCACCATGCAGGTTTGTGCGGAGATGCAGCGATGTGCGATGTGCTTCCAATGTTGAGGCCAAGAATCCTCTGAACCCGAAAAGAGGACGCCAGCTTGCAGCACTTTTTTTGCCTGCATCCCTGTTCCAAGGGGTCTGCATTGCGGGTGCAGGAAAAGACCCCGGCAGGGAGACAAGAAAACCCGAAAAAAGGGTGACGAGAAGTCTACGCGGGGGAAGAGAAAAGGACTTCTTTTTGGGCAACGGCATCAGCACTCTTACCATTGCATGTTTGTGCATCTTCTAGGAAAGAGAGACTCAGACGACGATGACGACGAGGAGGATGAAGACGAGGAAGAGGAGGTGCAACAAACAGACGGCTACGTTGAGTCACGTTGAGTAGGTTACCGTCATGGCTGAGCGCAGGAAGAGGAGGAGGAGGACGACAAGAAGGAGGCAGGGTCTTGTTTTCTTTTCAGGTTAATGCAGACAGAGATAGCATGTTAGAAGGACGAGGATGACGAAGAAGAAAAGGAGGATTGACACACCGTGTCTGTTGGCTAGCGAAGAGCATCTCAATTTCTGATTCAAGCTCGAAGGATGAGGAGGAAGAGGACGAGGAAGACACCAAGAAGACTCCGCCCAAGAAGGTTGGCTCAACCTTCCGTTCTGTGCCAGTCCTCTCAGAGATCAGACAGTGCTGTCAACCTTCGAACTCCATCACCATACAACCCATGCATTCGATGCAAAACACAGGGTTCACCTCACATGTTAGCATGCTTTGTACCCCGTCAAGGGCACGGCTGCATGTGGGTTTTGAACTTGTAAAGGCCCCCAATAGGACTTAGGAATGTTCTCCGCCAGGCAGCTGGGGAGCCAGCTGGAAAATCGGAGAAGGCATATGCATGTACATTCATGCTTGCTCGCGCTCATTGAATTGTGACCGTTTTTGATTTGCCTCCCGCCTCCCAGGAGATCGTAGAAAAACTGAGAAGAGACCGGCATGCGCCCTACTGTTGTCCATTGGCATCGTGGCACCTGCGTTGACAAATTGAGCTCAGAAGGGAGCGAGAGAGAGAGAGAGAGAGAGATAGGTGCCTATCAGACTGTATACAGGCGAGCGAGGAGGCAGCTGCTAAAGGCTGAAATCAAAGCTTTGAGCTGCTTGGTTCGAATATGTTGTGTGCTGCTCTATGCTGCAGTTGATGTGTATGATTTCTGGTAGCCCACCCTCAAAGGGACCATCACTCTACACATATAGATATATATATATATATGTATACAGATAGATAGGCCTACGTCTATCTATCTATCTATATATATATATATGCACATATATCTATATACATCTATATATATATATATATAGGATATCTTGCGCACGTGCGTGGCACAGTGCAGTGGATGGTCCATGTACCTGTTGCCAAGGTCTGCAGGCAGGGTTGGTGTTTTTGGTCAATTCCAGCTTTTGCAACTGGCCGTTTCTCCCGCGGGCAGGTGCAAATCGCCGCTCTTGAAACTGAATCTGCGGAAATGAGCAGACAGAAAGAGGCAGTGTGTGCATCTCCGTCTCCCTTGCTGCCTTGCTTTGTTGCTGGCGGTTTCCACGAGTTTCGAATGAAGCCTTTTTTGCAGTCCCCCATCTTGGTTCTGTAAATACACACCGAAATACAGAAAGAGACAGACATGAACACATAAATAAAGAACGCTAGCAAAATGGATAATGAAATCTGAGGGACAAAGAAAAAGTGCAGCTGTGCCCTTCCAACCCTAAGCCCTAAACCATCCCTAACCGAAAGCCTTGACTCAGACGCCCAAACCTTACAGCCGACGGATCTGCATCCCGAAACCCCCCCTCCCCGCATGTCTTCCAAGGTTGCTGTGACGGACCACCTGCCATCAAAAGGAGTTGCTTCAACGCCCATTTCCAAACCAACCTCCCCAACTCCCTGCGCCCCGTTCTTAAGCCTTGCACTCCTTGCTCTGTGAAGGACCCCTCCCCCCTGCCCCTGCCCCCAAAACCCATGAGTCCACGCTCTCCGCAAAACACATGAGAGATATCGCGCTCTGCCCCTTTGGATCCCAGCCAGCTGGACAGGCTTTGGCACAGAAGTCTTCTGACCTCCCTGCTCGTGCTGAGCAGGAGGAGGAAGATCGCAACCGTCCAAGGGGATGCGAGTTGCAGCAACAGCTCCAGCTCTGTTGTCCGATTGCCCCGAGAATCACGCACAATTGAGGTCAGCGACGATTGACAGAACTCCAAGCGGAGGTTGAGGAATTACAAAGCGAAGAAGCAGCATCTCAAGCCAAGCCTTTTGTTTGCATACTTGGTTCCGTAGCTGCTGATGCTGCAAGTGGGCGATTTCTCTCCGCAAGTCTCCATGTGAATAATCGAGAGGTGGAACGACCAAGAAGAGACACGTCGACAAGAGGCGGCTGCTTGGACAGCCTTGATGAGCTGCTCCAGGAGCATGAATGAATATGAATGAGTTCGTGGGTGCTCGATCCGAGGAGAGCCGAGAAACAAAAGCGCAAGAGCTCAAGGCTGAGCTGGAAGAGACACGGAAAGCCATGGCTGAGGCGGACCATTGCCATTCCTCACGGAAACCGCGTGCAGCTCACCAATCTCCAGCCCTGTCTTGCAGGAGCAGAGGCGTTACAAGGCGCAGTCGGTGCAGATTGTTGAAGCCTCTTTAACTATTTTTCAAAATTCTCCAACCTACCGTCGGTACACTGAGACCTGGCGCGCTGTGACCTTTTGAACTCAGGAGAAGATGTCGGAGCTTCGCCGAATCGAGGCGGACAGACAAGGCCAGGGCGGCTAGGAAAAACGGCACGCGTCTCTACTGCATGGGCTTGCCATGACTTTGAAGCAGCAGGCAAGTTGGACAAAGTCCAAAAAGACATTGACGAGTTTGATCGTCAGTTTGGCGAAGAGCAGGACAACATGGAACAGCTGTGCAATCATGAAACGTGCAGCTTGTTGTTGCCAGACTCAGACTGTTTTAGGGGAGAGGTCCCTGTTCGTTGGCCAAGGCTTAGTTACACGGAACGTACGACCCTATGCGCCTCGAGTCAGGAGTCGTTGTCCAGCCGCCGTCGCCTGATGCAAGTAGCTCCATTGTTGTACCCTTGCTTTGCTTTCCTCCAGTGGTCTTCTGGAGTTGACCTGGAAGGAGGCGAGACAGCCTATGGTCCTATGGTTCTTCTCCCACACATTCCTGCTATAGCTATCGCTCCACTGTTCTTTGCAACCTGCGCAGTATCTGGCCCCGCTGTCCGATTCTATTTTAGGTGCTGGCCTTCGACAGAAGAGCCAAGAGCTCCACTCCCAGGCTGGCTAGTCAGCGTATGTCAGCGTTTCGTGAGCGGCTAGTGAGCAGCTAGTGAACGGCTGGTGGGAGGCTGGTGTGGTTAGTGTGGTTCAGAAGCCATGTAGCCATTCAGAAGCCATGTAGCCACTCTTAAGCAAAAACTATGATTGAGGTTCTTGCAGTCCCTTACGCGCTTTGCTTCTTGAAGTCTTGCCCTCCTGTGTGACTTGTTGTGTCGCCTGCCGGGAGCGGCTGAAGGTGGAAGCCCTGCAGGAGGAGAGCAGATCAGCCAAAGCCGTGATAGAAGAGGCCGCGGTGGTCTTCGACCATTTTTGCTGCGGGCTCTGTCTTTGGTTCCTTCTTGCACCGGAGGACCAGCGGAAGCAAGAGGAAGAGATTGCTGAGCTGGAGCGTCGGGTGCTTATCTCACCGTCTCAGTTCTCGATCACGAAGAGGGTGAAGCAGAATCGAAAATCTCGCACTTTGGATTTAGGGGACTGTAACAAGTGCACGTTGCACTGAGAGGCAAGATCGAGGAATGCGCCTCGCAGCAGCCTGGCCGCACCTTGCAATGCGTAAAGTATGAGCATGTGTGAGCATGTCCTTGCCCCAAGCACCTCGAGGAGCCGGACCTTCACCGAAGACCTCAAAAAAGTTTCTGCAGACAGAACCGTTGAGGCTTATGGAGCCCTATTGCAGGAAGTTGTCTTACGCCTTGAGTCCTGGAAGTTGGCAGGAGCCGGATGGCGAGGCCATTGAAGTCAAGCTCGACGAAATGAGTGATGAAGAGAAGGAGCAGGCCTGCCAGCTCCAACCGCCTTCAAGCTCCATTCGCCGCACTCTGCTGCTGCTGCTGCTGCCCAAACCTACCATGCAAAATCGCCTGTGCCAGGTAAGTCAGAAAGCATCTCTAAAGGCCGCGCTCACAGCATCCATGCTGAATCCCGTAGCTGGGCATGCAGCAGGCTGTTGTGCAGTTCTGGCTTCAGGTCCTCAGAGCTGTCAAGGGCATGAAGAGCTGCGATGCTGAAACCATCATAGAGGCAATGCGGCAGTGATAGATGCGATAGCCTAGTGCCTGGTCTTCCGACTCCTTGCCTTGTTGGGAACCTTTGGGCGTTGTGCAGGCTCTGCAGGCCTTGGAAGCGGCACTCAATGAGCACTTCCCGCTCACAGGCTCGACTTGAAGACTTGTGCGACTTGGGGGCCACTTGGAGAAGTGGTGTGAAGGGTTGGGGAGAAGATAGAGCCAGAGAGGACAGGAATTGAGAGACAAGAATTGGAGAGAATTGGGAGTCCATTGGAGAGACACAACACATTGTGAGCTCTTCTGCAACATCTCGGAGAGGTGAGCTCGAAGCGGAGCTCCAAGAGGAGGCCGGCGCGGCCCTGGAGGCAAAAGCCAAAGAGCACGGCCTCCGCCCTTTGCACCTGGGCGAATTTTAGTCTCGACAGGATCAAGGGCACACATTCCCCCCACACCTTTCTTTCCGTTCTTTGACAAGGAGAGTTGATGCCAGGAGCTGTTGGCGTCTGGGTCTGGGGAATAGAGATTTAGTATTGGTGAAAGTTCGGTTGTGGGAAGGGCTCCCGGTGAATAGAGGTTGACTGTTGGCGATGATTCCGTTGGGGTACCATGCAAAAGTCACGCGCATCGAAAACCTTACGGCCCCGGCGAATTGCATTCCGGACAGATACGATCATCCCATGCGATGTGTTCTCGCACATTCCTACACACGAAAGTGCCTGAGCAAGAGTGCCAGTTTAACCCAAAACGCCTAGACGACAGCAAAGCTGCCGCGTGTGTATCCGCATGCACCAAGCGGATGCCTCAAGCGAGACCTTTTGAACGTTGAAACCCCAGAGTCCAAAGTGTTTGTGGAGCATTGTCGACACTCCTTGGTCAAGCTGTCAACGCTTTGGTGTGTTCCGTCCCTGCTCCACAAATGATGCTAGTTCTGCTAGTTGGACGCTCCGCCCCCCCCCAAAATCAGGGATCCTGGAGTGTCCTGGCACTAGTCCTGGCACTAGTGCGCGAAGTCGCGAGACTGAAAGACAGAAGGAGGGCATATTGTAAGCCTTGTTGCGCTTGTTGCAGTCAGGTCGCAGTGCTCCAAGGGAGAAGGTGGCCAGCTGCTTAAGATTTGTTCGTGTTGATGTGGGAGCATTGCTTCTGTTGATCATCTCAGCCGTGAGATCTCGGGGCCCTCGGCACCGCAGGTGTGCAGGCAGAAGCAGGAGAGGATGCCGTCATGGAGGCTCGGGTGAAGCCCCGACACATTTGAAGAAGTGCCAGACATTCTCAGATGTGAGAAGTAAACATCTTGCATGCTGTCATTATGAGTTGTGGAAACAAAGTCGGGCAGGAGAAGCCGGAAGAGGAAGAGGAGGCAAGTTCGTGTCACTAGCTGTGTTGACACCTTCTTCGGGGCCTGGGCAGTCTGGACATCTGTCGGCATTCCCATCGTTAAAAAAGGAGAAGGACGACGAGAAGGACGAAAAGGACGAGGAGCCATCAAACTTGACATGTGAGGTGTTGATATGTATTGATGTGCTCCCATGAGCACCCCACGTGCTCCCAGGTGCTCCCAACTTTTGTTTTAAAGAGCCCGCCCTTCACATCCTGAGACCACAGACCATCTCTCATGAAGGATGCAGATGCATCAATGGAGAAGGAGAAGGAGGCGGAAGATGACGAGGCTTGGCCTGGAGTCCAGGAGCCGCTTCATGGGAGCCTTCTGCGCGCGAGGAGCCTGAGAAAGACTCACCAAAGCCACCTCCTCCTGAGGAGAGCGCTTGTTGTTCTCGGTGTGTTTATGTGTTTTTCGGTTGTTGTCATTTCTGTCTCCGCCCCCTTGCTGACCGTTTGAACGTGACTCTGAGGAGCCGCGGCCAGCACCGAGCAACGAAGCCCCAAAGGAGGAGACACGAGCAGCCGATCTGCCTTGCACTTGCTTATCTTGTGCAAAACTCTTGTGCTCTGTCTCGTTTCTTCTGTATCGCTCTGTGTTTTCTCTTGCCTTCCTACAGCAGGAAAGCCAGGAGAACCGCGAGCTCTTGCAGCAGCGGGCGGAGCTGAGAATCCTTCGTGCAATCAATGCTGCCGCCCAGAAGCACTAGTCCAATGGTCACTTCACGCCTGAGCAATCATTGACCCAGTGCATGTCAGTGCATGTTGAGATTCAGGTTCGGAAAGCCAACTCCAAGACATTCGCAGAGGCGCGTGGCATGCTTGGTGCAGGCGTCTGTACAAGCTTCGTTGCGTTCTCCCATGCTCTCCTGCAGGCGAAAGCCCAGCTGGAGAGTCTTGGCTGAAAGAGAGTGAACGAGAGCAACACGAGCCCAAGCCGAACCCGAACCCAAACCTCCTCACCTGGACAAAAATGAGCCCGAACCCAAACCCGAACCTCATCCCCCCCCCTGCCCCCCAACTAACCTGAAATCCGAACCTCCGCAGCGAACTGAGAACTCGAGCTTGAATTTGTATGAGACTCCACCCCCCGAACTTGGACCCTGCAAAACCTTCCAGTTTAGGGATTGGGGTTCAGGGTTTAGGGTTAGGGTTTAGGGTTTTAGGCTTTAGGGTTTTTGGGTTGAGAGCTTAGAGTTTAGGGTTGTTGTGGGGGTTTAGTGCTTACGGTTTGGGTTTGGGGCCCAGGGGTAGGTTTTAGGCTGAGGGCTTCCGGCCTCGGGCTTAGGGCCTGTAGGTCAGGGTTATCCAGGGTTTAGGGCTGGCGCTAGGGCGATTTAAGGTGTTTCGGCTTTGGCCTTTTGAAGGTGCAGGGATTTCAGGGTTTAGGGCGTTCTAGGGTTTAGGGCTTTAAGGGTTGAGGGAGGCTTCTAGGGCTTAAGGTTTTTTAAAGGGTGTGCAGTTTGGTGTTGTTGGCGTGTTTGGGGTTTAGGGGTTGAAGGGCTCCGGGTTGTAAGTGGTTTAGGGCTGAAAGGGTTTAATTGGGGGTTGGGAGTTTTCGGGTTGGAGGATTCCGGGTTGTTAGGATTTAGGGTGTTGGGCTCTAGGCTTGGTTGGGTGCAGGGTTTCAGGTCTTGCGGCATTTAGGGTTTGGGTTTTAGGGGTTGAGGGCATTTGAGGGTTAGGGCTTTCCGGGTTTTGGGCGTTGCTAGGGTTTCGGGTTGCAAGGTTTAGGGCTCATAACTGCTTGTATGCGCAAGCAGTCACGGAGACACGCCCAGTGGCAGATAGCTGAGGAAGTTCATGGCAGATGAGCTACCACACGCAGGACAGTGTCGAACGGCATGTTAAGCGATGCTGCAGAGTTTTATGCTGTAACTCGCAGCATTGAAAGTACAGACGCGCGCTGTTGTTATAGGTGTTTCGGGGTGTTCTGCTTGGCCCATCCAAGATCAGAGATTCGTGTTGGGAAAGGCCCCCCCGGAATCAGAGGATGGTTGGAATTTTGGGTTTTGGTTGGGGGTGGTGGCCAAAGCATTGAGAGACACTGCACACTCAGCTTTGTCTTTTCTGGCAGCATTCAGGGTTCAATTCGTACAACGCCTGGAACCCATGTTCTGGGTAGGTTCTGGGGGGTTGTCCAAGCCAACAGGCACTGTTGCTGAAGAACTTCGCAGAACTCTTAGTTGCCGCTGCTGGACGGTCGAACCAACTGCATCTCGTGACGTCCCATGTTTGCATCAGGTGCCGAGGCAGAGAATGCCATCGAGGAAATGTCCGAGGAGCTCGGAGTTTCACGCCCGAATCTTAAAAACTTTCGCGTCCAAGAGCCGTGCCTCGCGACACACTCTTGCGCTCAGCTTGCATCAGGCCAGCCGGCGCGAGACGAGAAGCCCCGAAAAGAGGCATATGTGATGGCTACATCACAGCATGTCGTAGCCACCAGCGGGAGTCAGGTGGCAGTCTTGCTCCTACAGGAACCTCGACACAGGGACAACGGCAATCGAAGATCGACCAGCGACAGGAGGTCACGTAGCAAGGTGCCGTTGAGAGCAACTGGTACTCGTAGAGTGCGACAGCTTGCTGCATTGTGTTATTTCGATTTATTCCGCTTTGTCATGTGCAGGGGAGGTCACCCACAAAGGATCGGAAAAAGGCAAGGTCTCCAAGTGCCTTGGTTTGAGTGGCTTTGACACACGAAGCTGTCAATTCTGAACAAAAATGTCTTAAGAATGGAGACGTGAATGGTGTGGCAAGGTCGCAGGGCTGCAAGCAAGGCAGATCCCAGCGACAGCTCAGATGAGCCACCAGTGCTTGACTCAGGAAGTCTGTGTGTCAACAGCTTTGCTTCGTGCTTATCGTCGCTGCCAGGCTAGACCGCAAGCCGAGGCTGACCAGGACAGGGTTCATCGTTGAAGAAATTGATGGGTTCAGATCATGGTGGAAGGTGTCAGGGCACGGGGTGATGGCAGGAGGAGGCCAGAAATCGGCGTCCTCCCCGGCGTGAGGATGCTTCTCGGCTGTCTGACCTCGAGATCCTTTGTCAGACAGTTTGCGCATGGGAGTACACCTGAGCACACCTGAGCACACTTGAGTACTGCAACGCTGGACCCCACCACGCGCACTTATGCATGTTTGCGAAAGGGACGGCCGGGGTGGGGAGTTTGGTTGGCTTTGCAGTAATTGTCGTGGACGAAGGACTCGCGTGCTGGGTTGGCTTTTGGGGTTTTGGGCTTGGCTTCTGCCGAGTCCAAGTCCCAATTGTGCCACTTTGCCCTTGTCGGGAGATAGCTGGGCTTTGGCATGGCTGGGCCTAAGCCTCCTATGCCGAACGAACCACAGTCGTCAAGAGAGGCTACAGCCTGTGCTCAAGTACTCGATATATATTCTGTCCTCCACGGGTGCAGGGGTCGGCTTTGCAGGAAGTTTTGCATGTCGCGTGTTCTGACAGGCTGCAAGGACAGCTCTTGGTTTGTGGGAGGGAAACGAAGCCCCAAAACTTGCTTTAGCTTTGTCGGAGATGGCAGGATTCCTCTAGTGCCCTGCTGATCTGAGGATCGGCCGCTGGTGGGCTTCGTCCTCGGAGCAAAGAAAGAGGAGGTGCGCGTGCACAAATTCGCACAAAGCTTCAATGCCTTTGCAGCAAGTGGTTGAGCTTCCCATGATCCAGGATCGAAAGGACAGATCCGAATCGAGACAAGAGGAAAGAAGAGTCGAGGACTGGCTCACTTCATGTGCTGTTTCATACCGTGCGCACTCTGTGCGCCATAGGCTCCAGAGCCTCCGACACCAGCGCCGCCACCTGAGCCTGCGCCAGCGCCGGCGCCGATGATGGCGGCCCCCATGCGACCTGCAACGGTGACGCGGATGGATTTGATAGTAGTGAGGAGTTTGAAAATGTGTGTATGATGCTCTCAGATCTCACCTTTCAAGCAGTGGCGAAGAGGTCTTCAACTGGACCCATCGCAACCACGCCGACAAGATTGCCGAGCAGGATCGCAAGGCTCGAGAGGCCAGGACGTGAGTACAGACGCAAACCTTCGGCACATGTTGTGATTCATGACCTTGCCCCCGAAAAAGGAGAAGGAAGCTGCTTTGAAAAGAGAGAGGGAAGAGGCTCTTAAGAAAGCCGAGAATCAGATGACGGATCTAGAGAGGCTGGAGACGCTCTGCCAGTCTGCTGGAGTCTACCCGGTCGTGTTGAGCTTTCAAGAGGGGCCTCACTTCTGCTGCTTTATGTTGCAGGCAGCAGGCCGAACAAGTAGCACGCTTTCGAGTGAAGAAGGCTCATGGCCGAACATGTGAGCAGGAATGGACGTGGCGCCTTGTTGGATGCGAACATGCATGAACAAGCATGAACAAGCATGAACATGCATGAACATGCATGCATTTGCATCAGCATGCATGAACACATGAGCTTCTGTGTTGCCCAGTGCTATTTTTGGCACCAGGCGATCGAGACTGTTCGAAATGCCATGCTTGGACCACCAAAAGAACTGGCTGCTGAAGAGATGCGGCAGGTCATGACGGAGTGCTCCGGCAGAGACATCGGGAGACAGATCTTGCTTGGATAGTGCAAGGTGGAGTTACAGAATCCCAAGAATTTCCAGCACGTTGCCAAGGTGGCTGCCCAAGGTCGCTCCCGAGGCGCAGCAGGACAGCAGTGCACGAGAATCGCAGTGCCTAGGGTGCCATTTGCCAGTTGCGTTTTTGTCTTTGCCAGGAGTTTCTTGAACAGGCCACGGCAGCCCTTGCTGCCAAGCCTCCGCCACAGCCAGCACCAGAGCCGGCGGGCGGTTGTGGCGCTGCCCCCTGCGGTGGTTGTCCTGGTGCAGAGCCTTGCCTTAGCTGCTGCAACATTTGTAGGCGAAGCCATCGAAGCCATGCAAAAGTCGGGGGCATGCCAAGCTGCCCTGAGCTGCCTGTTCTGCTTTAAGGAAGCCCTGCCCAAGATGATGAGCGTGCCTGTACTGGCAGCTTGGGCCCGAATCTGTTCGTTTGATGCGTGGCAGACTTCTGTGGTGTGCTGAGGAAGGCCCTCCAAAGATGCAGGTGGGGACTTTGAGCCACGTGTCCCCGAAAATCTTGGCCTGACGTTTGACAAGCCTTCAGGCCATTCCCACCAAAGAGGAGATGCAAAACAAGACTTTCACCAAAGCTGCAGGCACTGTTTCAGCAGCTGGGTGTTCATGGCCAGATGTAGAGGACGTACTTTGCAGGTCCACCCAAGCCACTCAGCGCCATGCCTCCTCCTAGCGGCATGTTGATGGGCGACATGAAAGGAGATTCGGTGACAAGTGTCACAAGTATGCGGCTTCGCTTCTGTGATTCGGGCTCATCCTACGCCGATGATGCTTGCGGGAAGACATGCTCCAGGGCAGGGTATGCCATCATCTTTTTCTCATTTTGCTGCCCTTGCAGGAGGTAAAGGCGGTTGTGGATGTGGAGGCTGGCAGTTTCTTGGTAGCAGGCTGCGTCCTCTGGACTGGATTCCCTGTTCCCGTCCAGGATGTCCGTGTGGTGGATGCGGTCCTTGCGGAAGCAAGGGTGGCTGCAAGGGAGGCTGCTGTGGGGGCTGCTGTTTCGGCGAGCTCACTGGCTGCGGTGGTCCCCCGAGTGGCCCACCAGGGGGCTATGGCGGTGAGTGTGGCGGCTGTGGATTTGGCGAATGTGGTGGAGGTGGTGGTGGCTCTTTCGGGCCCTGTGGCCCTGGCCCATGTGGGGGTAAAGGTGGTTGTGGCTGCATGGGCAAGGGGGTCGCAGCCTGAGTGAGTTGCTGCAATAACGCTGTGGCAGATTTTTTGCGTTTGTCTGAGGGCTGTGGGAAGGGCCCATGTGGAGGCTCAAGTACCTTTGGTGCTTCTTCGCTTTTGCCTGACGTAGGCTATCGTAGGCTACTTCAGTATGAACAAAACCACACATTGTCGTTGCACAGGAAAGGGGCCCATGATGGGCATGAGGCTCGTTGCCAAGAGAGACTTTCTCCTCAGAGTAAGCTTGGTCGATGTATATTCTTCAGCGCAGGCCAATGATGGGTGGAAAATCATTTGGCAAAGGTGGCCATGTTAGAATTTTCGCACTTGTGAGCGAGTGCATGTGCGTGCGCGCGTGCGCTCGATAGAGCTGAGAAGACTTTGCAGGCTAGATCCAGATCGGCCCAGTGAGCCCAGCAGGCTGCCTTACCTCCTCCCGCCCTCGTTGCAACGCTCTCAAAGCCTCGACGATGCTCATCGTGTGCTCTGAAGACTTCGGCTGGTCTCTTCAGATTGAGCTACTAGTACATATTGCAATATGCAGCTGCTCCCGCCTGAAGTCTTCATGGTCGTTGATTCGTGGTTTCACCAAGACGTGCAGCCGAGAGTTAGACATTTCTGCGAGATGCTATCGCTGAAAGTTCTCTTGCTGCGAAAAACAAAGCAATCAGCTCTGACTAGCCGCAGCAGGTTTGCTTTATGTATGCGTCCACCTCATCACTTGAGTTGATGGACGCTCTGTAGTCAGGATCAGAAACAGCTCACGGTGCCCCTCGGCATTTTATGAAGCTTAGTCTTGACACAAGCTCAGAGCAAAGAAGCGACAAAGAGGCGTCAATCCGGTCAGCAACGCAGCGGGCGCAGCCTCCGATCTTCCCTTGAGTGCCGTAAACGCTTTTCTGACCTTCCTGTCAACGGAGAGCAGCACTCTGGCAAGGTTTTTCGGGTCAAATCCATGCCGTCGAATGGAAGTTCAGAAAGCAGATGTTAAACAGCGACACGTAAATCTTTTTCAAGCCTGTGCACTCAATGTTTGCCTCATCTACCATGTTTGTGGTGACGAGTAGCTTCTGAATGAAGGGCATCGTCATACTCTGTCGGGTGAGCCTCCCTGCGAACTGCAGGCCAGTCTCTCTTTGAAGGTCTCCATGCCCTTCTGCCCTGTATGATCCTTTACGCGTTTTTTCATTTTAGTGGCAAGTTTAGTGTTATGTTGATGCCGACGGGTGTGGTGGCAAAGAGTGTTTTCCTCGCATCTGCCCCAGCAGGTGCTCTGGATGGCTGTGACAGGAAACGGGGATGTTTCAGCATTCGAGGTGGGGTTCCGCTTCATCGAAGTGTTTGAAGTCTTTGAAGCGTCGTCGTGTGCCGCCATGTCATCGTGGGCTCGGTCCAGGAGTATCAGGACGGAGACCTGGAAAAGGCTCTTGAGGAGTTTTGCGCTGTTGGAGTTGGCTTTGAGCCGTCGTGTGTGTGTGTGTGTGCATGGGATTGCATGGGGCTCTGTAATCTGCAGGAGTCAGGGGTGGTCGAGGAAGTGGTCGAGGAAGTCCAGATCGTTGAAGATGGTAATGCCGTAGACGAGATGCTGCTCGCAGAAGCAGCTCTTGCCGAGGACAGGATGGGCAGCAGGGCCCAGAGAAGGGGGGCAAGTAGGGTGTTGCACATTTTTTCGAGGGAAGTGTGTGGAATGCGCTGAGAGAATGCTGAAGAAGAAGAAGAAGAAGAAGAAGAAGAAGAAGAAGAAGAAGAAGAAGAAGAAGAAGAAGAAGAAGAAGAAGAAGAAGAAGAAGAAGAAGAAGAAGAAGAAGAAGCAGAAGAAGAAGAAGACGAAGAAGTCTCTCTCTGTTACTTTTGTGAGAGGATGCCGGCGAGGAGCTCCCAGAGGATCTCCCGGAGCTGTTGGAGGCCGCCTCCCTCACCCCGCTCTCCCCGCACAGTCGGACAACTCTGGAAACTCTGGCTCTGGTCTCGAAATAGAATGAGAGGGATGGGGGCAACACGTTGGTCTTTTCGGGCCCATGATTTTCTGGAGTATGGACTTTGTTTTGATGCCGACTGTTCTTTTTGTTATGCCGCTCCCTCATACCGCTCGTGTGTGTGTGTGTGTGTGGTGACTTTAAAAAAATGTCACGGAGTGGGGGGGATAAGAGAATAGGTGCAGATGACGAGGATGTGTGTGTGGCATTGGGAGTTGAGGCTGCTTGCTGCTTAGGAAGTTGAATGTTCAGTGCCGTGGGAGGCGCTCCCGGAGGAGCTGCCAGAAGATCTTCCGGAGGAACCGGAGCTCTGCCCCAGCCAAGCACAGTGAGAGGAGCTGATGGGTATCTTTTCTTTTTAGGAGCTGGAGCTCCAAGAGGAGGTCTTTGCCGAACTCGGCGTGGAGGATTCCCAAGAGGAGCGGCTCCTGACGGCAGGCATTTTGCCAGGTTTGCCAAGCAGAAGGCAGCAACGCACAGCAACGCAGGAGCTAAAGCTGGAAGAGGAGGTCCTCGCCGAACTGGGTGTGGAGGATTCCCAGGAGGAGCGTGCTGTTTGCCACGCGGGCTTTGCGGCAGAGTTGGCGTTTTCTGTTAGGCCATCGTTTTGGGGGACGATGAGGATGAGGTGCAATGGGCTTGCCGGAAAGAAGCATGTGTCTTCGCGCATGCTGCCGTTGCAGTTTCCGAGGACAACGAAGGAGTTCAAGATCATCTTATGGATGCAGTCGAAGGCTTGTTTGACACAAAGTTCTCTACATCGCTGCATTATTTCGGCGTTTAGGACAAGCCGTGGTTCCCTGAACTTGCTCACAGATTCCATAGCTGTGCATGTACTTGTGAGGATTATGGTGTACTTAGTTTTTTTTCCAGTGCTTCTACGGTGTAGTCCGTTATGTTTTCCTCTCAACACTGCCCGCTAGAAGTTTTCTGCGTGGACCACGTCCAGTGTTGGACAGCTCTGCACTAAAGCTTCGCATGAAAACCATGTGGAGCTCAATTCCAGCGCAGGCACTTTACGCTTGAAGCGATTGCTATCTCAAGATGACGAGGTGCGACATCTTGCTATGGACAAGCAACATCAAGACATCTAAGACCAACAACACGCTTGTTCACTTGCAGACCTTGCGGAGCACTCTCCTGAGTGTTCGTGTAGGCTCCAGAAGAAGCTCTCGCTGGCAAGAAACGCCGCACAAAGAAGGAGAGGTATTGCCACGGCATTGCAAACATACTTGCCTTCTTTCATGGCGGCAACAGTTCCTTTCGCCACATTGAGGACGATGCAAGCCCTGCAGCTGATGAGGCATGGGCTGAGTTGCCGCGGATTTGGTGGGTTTGGTGGCATGGACAAGCAGCTGCAGGTCAGAATCCAGCAGCTGCTCACGCGATGGGGATTGCTGCAGGTCACGGTGTGCCAATTCAACTTCTGCTTCTTGCTGCTCTCAGCAGCCTTCGTGCTCAGATGCATAGCTGCGCAGCCTCACCAGGACAAGGTGACCAGATATGTTCTGGAGAGCCTGACGCCGGCCGAACTTCAGGCAATGCCTGTGCCCGACATTGAACATCATTGAACTGTTTCAATGGTGATGACGATGCAGATGTTGGGCGACACCTACGTACCCGACAAGTTCAATCAGTGGCCTGTCGGGCAGTAGAACTTTGTGGAAACCGAAGTTTAGTATTCATTACCAGATGCACATGCCACGGAAGCAGCCTTCCCAGGTGGCGAGGTCCTGGAGAGCTGATTGTTTGCCAGATTGCAGCAATGAAAGAGCGTGACTTTGCATCAATATCCAGGGTTTCAGAGTAGCTTCGACCAGCAGGTTGAGGTCCGGTCGAACTGGGGGTGTGTTTGCAAATTTGTGCATCGTTGTGCATTGAAACATTGTAGTGGCTAAGGAGTAGGAGCGGGTGGTGGAGCTGCTGATTCCATCGTGGCTTTCAGACACAGATGGAAGATGAACGCGGACGAAGAGGCCAGAGACATGTGTTGTGAGGCTTGCCACATGCCTGTGCCATGTTTTGCCAATGCACCCCCCCGCCACCCCACCCCCCCTCCAGTCCAGTCACTCCAAGCATTCCAATCGCTCTTCCGCAAAACAGGCCATGCTGCGAGGGTTGTCTCACAAGGATCTGCGGTATGTCATGCAGGACGCTCAAGAGGGTGAGTGCAGGGTTGAAAGCACGTCAATGTTAGCACTGGAGCAGGAGTTCGATGGTGAGACCTCACTTGAGGACTTTGGTGCCAGCTTGTGGGGGGTGTGTCCTGTGTGTCACCGCATCTTGGAACGCCGGAGAAGATCCTTAGCTTGGGAGTGTGCAGAAGTTCAGGACTTTCTTCCACAGGCCAGTAGCTCTGTGGCCGATGAGTCCATTGCGGAGGGCACTCTGCCAGACGAGCCAGGCCAGCCTGTGGTCTCACGGCCGCTTGCATGACAGCGTATGAAAAGATTTGTAAGGTCTTGTAGGCTTGGGAGTTGGCTTCGGAGTGAGTTTGGGGGGTCAAGTTGAGAAGAGACCAAGTAGACCAAGTAGACCAAGTAGACCAAGTAGAGCAAGTAGAGCAACTAGAGCAAGTAGACCAAGTCGTTCGTTGAAGTGCCGATGTTCGATGTCACTGAGCCCAGGTTCAACCGTCTCGATCTCATCGATCCCTTGGCGGACTGCGCTGTGTTCGGGGACGCCAACCTTAGCTTCGTGCCTTGGCTACCTGGCAACTGAGTGATTGAGAGTGTGTAGCTCCAGCGCAGCTTCATCTTTGACTTCTGTTGAGGCCCTGAAGCTGGCAAAGCACAGAGAGGTCAGAGTCTGAGAGCGTCATTTCGTGAACAGTCGGCCTGGACCTATCTGGACCCTGCATGCCTTCATGTGACTTCTCACCTGCCACAGGCTCTGGGAGATGTGGGAAGAGTTATTGCGACAACCTTTGAGACACTCGAATGTCTTCGCGAGCGTTACCAGGCAGCGTCGAACCCTGGACACATCCTCTAAGGAAACTGCATCCGTTTCAGCAGAGCGTAAGAGTTTTTTTTGTCTCATTGGATTGTCTCAGTTGTCTCTGATTCAGCACTTTTACCGCTGATCTGACGTCTGACGTCCTTCGGGACGCTTTGCAGATGAACGTGATGACATACACTCCACACACGTCGATCCTCCCTTCTTTCTCCTTCCCCCCACCCTTCTGAAGGGCTTCTGGGAAACTAGGGGCATGTTCCGCAGCCCTGCCAGGAAATTGATGCAACAATCAAGACTCTGGAAGGTCTGTATTCTGAGGCCAGAGGAACAGCGTGTTCTTTCATGGAATGTGCTCATGTGTCTTGGAGAGCCATAGGTCTACCACGGTGTGGACTGCACTCGAATTGCAGTGGACAGCCGGTTTCACGGCATGGAGGCCGCACAACGAGACATAGACATGCTGCGTGTTGAAAGGCTTCCAGTGAGTAGCAGCTTTCGTGGTCATCCTGTTCAGGGCAGCCTGGGAGCAGTGTACTACAACTTTCCGCATGCCGGTGCTGTCAGCGGTTTTTTCGATGGTCCGCTGCTCAGTTGTGCTGCCACATTCGTCTGCGTTGAGATTTTCGGAGCCCCATCACATGAGGCCATCCCTGCGTCAACTGGCGCCACGAGAACCTGATGAGACTCTTTTTTCGAGCTCTTCGCTCCTTCATGAAGCCCGGAGGCCTGGTCAAGGCCAGAAGCCCAGAAGAGTGTTTTTGTCAATGTTTCTCACTGTTTTCTCATCCTCGTTTTCGAGTTCTAAGCTGCAGCGGAGCTGTGCTCTGCTAGGCTCTGCTAGGCTCTGCTAGGCTCTGCTGGGCTCTGCTACGCTCTGCTTCGGCCCAGGTTTCATCAAGCAAAGGTGCGGTTGGAGCCACTTGCCTGCATCTTTGGTGTGTTTTTTCTGCTGTTTTTGGGCTTCTTCATGCTTCGTCTGTCAACTGCCTCCTGGCAAGGTGAGATGTTACTACATCACGGAAGCAGCTCAGGAGAACGAGTTCGTTCACATTGAGACGCCACCTGGCGAGTAACTCCGCACAATGCCTCCTTCAACTCGACCCCACACACAACGAATCTCAGATTTGCGCGAGACCTCGGCCACTTCTCCAAGCTGCTTTTCCCCAGGATGCCATTCCAGGATTGGCACCTTCATCGGTATGGCCGCTCATACGGAGACAAGCGAGATGTGCAGCTTGGTGTTGCATTCTTAATCCAGCTAGCTGTTCGCCGAATATGCTTGCTTTGTGTGTGTGTGTGTGTGTGTGTGTGTGTGTGTGTGTGTGTTGTGTGTGTGTGTGTGTGTGTGTGTGTGTATGTGTGCGCGGGTGAGAGGGCGTTCTGCGCACTGTGGTAAGAACCTTCGGGGACGTCACGGAAGGGCAAGGTGGGTGACTGAGCGTGCCAGAGGCCTCGCGACCACCGCGCGTTCCTACTCCCTCCCACGTGGGCTCCATTTTGAATTTGGCATCAGCTCCGGTGCCAAACTCCTCATCATGGGGTGTAAACCTAATTGTCAACGCATGCGCTCCGCCTCTATGCTTGGAACTATGGGCCCTCAGTGTGGTCCCTTACCCCTGTCTATATTAGGGGGTCCGAAGTATGGGGTCTTTATTGTATGTCGCCGAGCCTCGGCAGCCGGGGCTGGCCGTGGGCGGAGCCTGCAGCTAAGAAAACCCAACAGCATCGGATTACGGCTCCTCCAGGCGGTTTGGGCAGTTCCTGGTCTGCTTGTTCTAGACGCCTCTAAGCCAGCTTTCCACTCCAAGTAGTTCCTTGTGCGATCTTCCGGCAACCGGGGGCTCGTGATCTACTGAAGAAAGCATGAGGAAACACGAGGAGAGAGACAATCCGTAGAGAAGAAGAAGCCCGAGACTAGACTGCAGTAACGGTGTGCGAGAGAGCTGTCCAGGTATCGCAGGCCCGGTCAAGGCGAGGGCTACAACGTGCAACGCGCGGAAGCAGACATGGCCGCGAACTCAGTGCCAAACATATTGACAGGACGTGAGTTTCGAATAGTTTCGCTTTCAGCCACCTGTGTTGTGCATCTGCCGCTCGTGACACTTTCAGGTGTACACTTTCAAGTATGTGGCTCGGACAAGCACTGGTGCGAGGGTTTCCAAGCATGGCGTGACCGCTAGCAGCGAAGCGATAGCTGCGGATGCTTGTACGCGTGAGCTGCAAGTTCCCCATGTGTAAGCCGGCTTAGCCAAGTAACCCTAAGTCACCCTACTGAAGTTGCCACTTGTACCAGGCACCGTCGGGTGAGACGTGCTGGCCCTGGATGGCTTATTGCTTGTTGGCACAAATGTTGCTCACCGATGCGATGCCTCTTTGAGCAAGCTGAGAGGCTTCCGCCACAAAGTATCCGCATGCCACCGAAGTTTGGTGTGCTGAAGTCGTGCCCAGATGGCCCGTTCAGGAGCCCTTGCTACCAAGATCAGCAAGCATAGCAAGCCACAGCCTCTCGCTTTGTGTCTCCCTGTTCTTCCAGGACGCTCTTCGGAGAGGCGCGGGAACGGCATGCCACTGCGAGCCCTGGCGACACAAAGCTGTCTAGGACATCGAGGGTCCGCATGTCCACACGTTGTGAAGTGAATGCCATCTCGGTTTGTTCATGTTTTCAGTGTTTTCGCTGCGCTGGGGCGGAGGGAGGCGGCCGGCCTGCCGAAGCCGAAGAGGCAAAATGTGGCAAAAACACATTCCGAAGATGCCTCCGGTGGCACGCACGCAGCGTCGGCGTCACATGCGGCCTTCACAATGTGTCATCACGAGGTTAAGTTATGTGGTTTTGTGATGCGGAGTGACCTGGTAACGCGGGGCTGTGGCAATGCAAATTCAGCTCGGAATGTGGCATTAACGTGCGTTAGCAATGCGACGTCATGTGGTGTGATGCGGCGTGAGAAACGGACGTCGGATTTGGCAGATTGGTCTTCTCCCTTGCGCCAGCACCATATGCGATTTCATGGTTTCTGAATGTCGATGTTTTTTGCAGCCAAGGCTTTACAAGCGGTTTGTCACGGAGTGTTCAGGCACCCATGTTGGCTAGCCCGCTTGACGACGCGCCGGCGAAAAAGTCTGCTCTGACATAATCCGGATTGAAAGTTGTTTGTAGAGACTGGGCAGCCGGTATGGCCAGGTCCAGGATCTAGGGGTGCTATGTCTTGTTCACGGCACGTGCTGTTGTTTGCTGGTGTATCCTCCCTGCTGCACGGCATCCATGCACAGTGCAATGTGACGTCCCGCATGTGAGCTGGCTCGCTTGCTGTACGTTCCACGGCACCGGTTGCGCGAAGCTTGTCTCTCAGATACCCTTGTGTGCTTGTGGCTGCTTGTGTCTGGAAAGGTTGAAATGAAAGCTTGGTCGAAATTGACGGGTGATAGGCTGCCTCAGGATCCACAGCACAATGGCCCGCCGAAGCGGCTCCGTTCTCCTTGCCGCCGCCCTGATGGCGGCAGTGGCCGGAGCCTTTGGGCGATTCGGTGTGGCAGCTGGTAAGATTTGCGGGTCGTGTCTCATTGATGCGAGGCCTTCTGGGGCTTCTCCTGCTTCGTGGCACCCAAGGGCGAGCCCGCGACTTTGTTGATGGATGTCGCCGTCAAGAGGCACACACCGTGCCTCACACCACCCGCACTTTTTCAGATGTTTCTATCATGGCCTAAGGCCCGTCGTGGAGCAGCCGCAGTTGCGAGGGCAGGTGCTCCGAGCATGGCGCTGTGCACTTCCATGCGCTTCCATACGCGACTCGGTGCGATAATCACATGCTGGTGTTGTTGTGCTCCCACGGCACAGGCGCCCGTGGAAGCAGCACTGCTTGGAGCCGCCGCCGCGGTCGAAGACCTGGAACAATGGATGGGGGCGGGCAGACCGCACTCTTCGTCGGAGATGCACTTGGTGAAATGTGGTGTGCCGAGGCCGTGCCGCAGGTTGCTCTGGCGGGCAACTCCGGCTATGCTCTGCTCCAGCTTGGATGGGTCCGCGACTCAGAGCCGATGGGCGCCGCATGGGGGGCCTGGCGTCGGATAGCAGTAGCACCTAGGCCGTCTTCATCATCAGCTTGGGGCCGGCGGTGCTGTTCTGGATCTACTTCAACAAGTGCGGGCGCCCGGAGTCTGGCAGTCTTGCTGCTTTTGCCGGGTTGCTACAGCACCAGCGGTCGTTTTTTTAGCCCTTGTGCTAGGCCCGAGCTGCTGTGAGAGGTCACTTGGCCGAAAACATCAAAGGATTGGTTTGACTCGTTTTGACTCGCCGAATGCTCAGGTACACAAGCCGACAGTGCCTGCTTTTTCAAGGCCTGAATGTGCCCATGTTGTCAGCGCGTAAAGAAAACAAGCAAAGAACGGCCGTTTGCCCCAACCTAATGCGGACGGCTTGACGGCCCCTTTCGCAGAAACTCCGCGGAAGCAAAGACTGATACTAACTCCGCAGAAGGGTCTGCGGAAGCGAAGTCTTCTTGGAATGAAACATGTCTTCGCGGAAGCTTTGTGGAAGCCCGACAACTTCAGGCATACGCCGAACGGATGCCTTGCATCAAAACCCTTTTGGTATTGGGGCTGGCTGAGGGCTTGCGGCTTGCAATCGGTTTGCAGCACAACTTAGCTTCTGCACCTGAGATATCTGCACTTGCAGCCTGGAGCCAGCTGATGACACAGAACCAATCTGCAAGCACGCAATGTATCTCCCAAGCCAAGGCCCTTGTCGAGGGAATGGTACCATGTGCTTCTGTTCCAGGATTGCGGCACCACGTGGTCACCAATTGAGGTTAGCGTGGCTCTCCGGAAGGAGAATCATGAAGGTGGCCTCGTGCGCAAGGTCAAAAAATGCAAGATTCGCCTTGCTGATGGTTCATGCTGATGCTGCCAAAGCCCGGCGTGGCGACATCATGCATGCGCATGCCTGAAGACAGCGTTGCGCAGCGTTGGCTCGCCGCACACTTTTTGAGAGCTGCACTTGTCCAGCAAAGGGCCGGAGCCTCATTGCTCTTTGGGGGCTAGGATCCTTGTGTCAGGACAGATGTTGGGCATGCTGATTTGCAGCTGGCAAGTTGTTGCTCAGGCTGCTTGCTACCAGCACAATGGCCCGCCGAAGCAGCTCCGTTCTCCTTGCCGCCGCTCTGATGGCGGCAGTGGCCGGAGCCTTTGGGCGATTCGGTGTGGCAGCTGGTAAGATTTGCGGCTCGTGGCTCATTGATGCGAGGCCTTCTGGGGCTTCTCCTGCTTCGTGGCACCCAAGGGCGAGCCCGCGACTTTGTTGATGGATGTCGCCGTCAAGAGGCACACACCGTGCCTCACACCACCCGCACTTTTTCAGATGTTTCTATCATGGCCTAAGGCCCGTCGTGGAGCAGCCGCAGTTGCGAGGGCAGGTGCTCCGAGCATGGCGCTGTGCACTTCCATGCGCTTCCATACGCGACTCGGTGCGATAATCACATGCTGGTGTTGTTGTGCTCCCACGGCACAGGCGCCCGTGGAAGCAGCACTGCTTGGAGCCGCCGCCGCGGTCGAAGACCTGGAACAATGGATGGGGGCGGGCAGACCGCACTCTTCGTCGGAGATGCACTTGGTGAAATGTGGTGTGCCGAGGCCGTGCCGCAGGTTGCTCTGGCGGGCAACTCCGGCTATGCTCTGCTCCAGCTTGGATGGGTCCGCGACTCAGAGCCGATGGGCGCCGCATGGGGGGCCTGGCGACGGATAGCAGTAGCACCTAGGCCGTCTTCATCATCAGCCTGGGGCCGGCGGTGCTGTTCTGGATCTACTTCAACAAGTGCGGGCGCCCGGAATTCACCCCCCGCTCTTTTTTTTGGAGTTCTGCCGTGCCAGCAGTCGGAGAGCCCACAAGGCCCGAGCTGCTGTGAGCGACACTCGGCCGCACATCCACCCTGAAGCTTCCGTGATCGGTCTCTGGCAGTTGTGCCTGTTCAGGGTGTGAAGAGCCAGACGGTGATCGCTTCATCGCCTCACTGCAGTGTGCAGCGGTGCAGCTTCCCGGAGAAAAATGCGAAAGCGCTTCCACAGATTTCCCCAGCTTCGAACGCAACATGATGCTCCAACATGGTACGCTCGTGCTACGCTTCTGCCTCACGCACCCTCGAGGCATCGGATGTCCACATGTCTGGCTGCGCAGCGTTGGCTCGCCCGCACACTTTTTGAGAGCTGCACTTGTCCAGCAAGGGCCGGAGCCTCATTGCTCTTTGGGGGCTAGGATCCTTGTGTCCAGGACAGATGGCAGCTGGCAAGTTGTTGCTCAGGCTGCTTGCTACCAGCACAATGGCCCGCCGAAGCAGCTCCGTTCTCCTTGCCGCCGCTCTGATGGCGGCAGTGGCCGGAGCCTTTGGGCGATTCGGTGTGGCAGCTGGTAAGATTTGCGGCTCGTGGCTCATTGATGCGAGGCCTTCTGGGGCTTCTCCTGCTTCGTGGCACCCAAGGGCGAGCCCGCGACTTTGTTGATGGATGTCGCCGTCAAGAGGCACACACCGTGCCTCACACCACCCGCACTTTTTCAGATGTTTCTATCATGGCCTAAGGCCCGTCGTGGAGCAGCCGCAGTTGCGAGGGCAGGTGCTCCGAGCATGGCGCTGTGCACTTCCATGCGCTTCCATACGCGACTCGGTGCGATAATCACATGCTGGTGTTGTTGTGCTCCCACGGCACAGGCGCCCGTGGAAGCAGCACTGCTTGGAGCCGCCGCCGCGGTCGAAGACCTGGAACAATGGATGGGGGCGGGCAGACCGCACTCTTCGTCGGAGATGCACTTGGTGAAATGTGGTGTGCCGAGGCCGTGCCGCAGGTTGCTCTGGCGGGCAACTCCGGCTATGCTCTGCTCCAGCTTGGATGGGTCCGCGACTCAGAGCCGATGGGCGCCGCATGGGGGGCCTGGCGACGGATAGCAGTAGCACCTAGGCCGTCTTCATCATCAGCCTGGGGCCGGCGGTGCTGTTCTGGATCTACTTCAACAAGTGCGGGCGCCCGGAATTCACCCCCCGCTCTTTTTTTTGGAGTTCTGCCGTGCCAGCAGTCGGAGAGCCCACAAGGCCCGAGCTGCTGTGAGCGACACTCGGCCGCACATCCACCCTGAAGCTTCCGTGATCGGTCTCTGGCAGTTGTGCCTGTTCAGGGTGTGAAGAGCCAGACGGTGATCGCTTCATCGCCTCACTGCAGTGTGCAGCGGTGCAGCTTCCCGGAGAAAAATGCGAAAGCGCTTCCACAGATTTCCCCAGCTTCGAACGCAACATGATGCTCCAACATGGTACGCTCGTGCTACGCTTCTGCCTCACGCACCCTCGAGGCATCGGATGTCCACATGTCTGGCTGCGCAGCGTTGGCTCGCCCGCACACTTTTTGAGAGCTGCACTTGTCCAGCAAGGGCCGGAGCCTCATTGCTCTTTGGGGGCTAGGATCCTTGTGTCCAGGACAGATGGCAGCTGGCAAGTTGTTGCTCAGGCTGCTTGCTACCAGCACAATGGCCCGCCGAAGCAGCTCCGTTCTCCTTGCCGCCGCTCTGATGGCGGCAGTGGCCGGAGCCTTTGGGCGATTCGGTGTGGTAGCTGGTAAGATTTGCGGGTCGTGTCTCATTGATGCGAGGCCTTCTGGGGCTTCTCCTGCTTCGTGGCACCCAAGGGCGAGCCCGCGACTTTGTTGATGGATGTCGCCGTCAAGAGGCACACACCGTGCCTCACACCACCCGCACTTTTTCAGATGCTTCTATCATGGCCTAAGGCCCGTCGTGGAGCAGCCGCAGTTGCGAGGGCAGGTGCTCCGAGCATGGCGCTGTGCACTTCCATGCGCTTCCATACGCGACTCGGTGCGATAATCACATGCTGGTGTTGTTGTGCTCCCACGGCACAGGCGCCCGTGGAAGCAGCACTGCTTGGAGCCGCCGCCGCGGTCGAAGACCTGGAACAATGGATGGGGGCGGGCAGACCGCACTCTTCGTCGGAGATGCACTTGGTGAAATGTGGTGTGCCGAGGCCGTGCCGCAGGTTGCTCTGGCGGGCAACTCCGGCTATGCTCTGCTCCAGCTTGGATGGGTCCGCGACTCAGAGCCGATGGGCGCCGCATGGGGGGCCTGGCGTCGGATAGCAGTAGCACCTAGGCCGTCTTCATCATCAGCTTGGGGCCGGCGGTGCTGTTCTGGATCTACTTCAACAAGTGCGGGCGCCCGGAATTCACCCCCCGCTCTTTTTTTTGGAGTTCTGCCGTGCCAGCAGTCGGAGAGCCCACAAGGCCCGAGCTGCTGTGAGCGACACTCGGCCGCACATCCACCCTGAAGCTTCCGTGATCGGTCTCTGGCAGTTGTGCCTGTTCAGGGTGTGAAGAGCCAGACGGTGATCGCTTCATCGCCTCACTGCAGTGTGCAGCGGTGCAGCTTCCCGGAGAAAAATGCGAAAGCGCTTCCACAGATTTCCCCAGCTTCGAACGCAACATGATGCTCCAACATGGTACGCTCGTGCTACGCTTCTGCCTCACGCACCCTCGAGGCATCGGATGTCCACATGTCTGGCTGCGCAGCGTTGGCTCGCCCGCACACTTTTTGAGAGCTGCACTTGTCCAGCAAGGGCCGGAGCCTCATTGCTCTTTGGGGGCTAGGATCCTTGTGTCCAGGACAGATGGCAGCTGGCAAGTTGTTGCTCAGGCTGCTTGCTACCAGCACAATGGCCCGCCGAAGCAGCTCCGTTCTCCTTGCCGCCGCTCTGATGGCGGCAGTGGCCGGAGCCTTTGGGCGATTCGGTGTGGTAGCTGGTAAGATTTGCGGGTCGTGTCTCATTGATGCGAGGCCTTCTGGGGCTTCTCCTGCTTCGTGGCACCCAAGGGCGAGCCCGCGACTTTGTTGATGGATGTCGCCGTCAAGAGGCACACACCGTGCCTCACACCACCCGCACTTTTTCAGATGTTTCTATCATGGCCTAAGGCCCGTCGTGGAGCAGCCGCAGTTGCGAGGGCAGGTGCTCCGAGCATGGCGCTGTGCACTTCCATGCGCTTCCATACGCGACTCGGTGTGATAATCACATGCTGGTGTTGTTGTGCTCCCACGGCACAGGCGCCCGTGGAAGCAGCACTGCTTGGAGCCGCCGCCGCGGTCGAAGACCTGGAACAATGGATGGGGGCGGGCAGACCGCACTCTTCGTCGGAGATGCACTTGGTGAAATGTGGTGTGCCGAGGCCGTGCCGCAGGTTGCTCTGGCGGGCAACTCCGGCTATGCTCTGCTCCAGCTTGGATGGGTCCGCGACTCAGAGCCGATGGGCGCCGCATGGGGGGCCTGGCGACGGATAGCAGTAGCACCTAGGCCGTCTTCATCATCAGCCTGGGGCCGGCGGTGCTGTTCTGGATCTACTTCAACAAGTGCGGGCGCCCGGTGCTCTCGCATGCTGCCTCCTCTGGCGTCTGCCTTCGTATCTTCGCAATTCTTCGCACATTGTGTGACAGGCCGGAGCTTCTATGAACCAAGTGCAGCCCAGCTCTCGGCCAATAGGCTTGGGAGCCCAATGCCGAAAGTTAGGCCTAAAGGCATGCGCCCAGTTCGCAGTTCAACTGTGACTTTTTCCTTGAGGCGCCTGTGCCATGTAGAAGGTTGCAACTTGCTGCTCAAATCTGAAGCTGCGACGAGTTGCTTTGACTGGGCACGAGCAGGTTTTATTTGGACACCCAGTGCCTTACTGGGCATGTGACCAGTGAAACCCGAGAGAATGAACGTCCTCGAGGAATTTCCAATCAGATGAAACACTCAGCGGCAAGGGTCAAAACAGCGGGAGCAGTGAGGAGAGCAGTGAGGAGAGCAGTGAGGAGAGCAGTGAGGAGAGCTGAGGGAGAGCTGAGGAGAGCGGTGAGAAGAGTCGTGAGGAGAGCTGTGCTGGGTGCTCAAAAGCGAAGGGAGTACGTGTGCTGTTGAGTCTTGGCTCGAATCGTGGAGAGCCCCCGCAAGGCGCTAGGGCCGGGCAGATGAGATGACTTTGAGATGACCTTGCATTGAGCTGAGAGTGCGAGGGGCGCAAGGAGCCCTTGGGAGCTGCAGGCGCCGCATCTGCCTGTCCTAACCCTGTGGACTTGCGGAGCTGACCGTGGCGGAGCTTTCAGCTTCGGCATGGTCATTGGCATCGCAAAGGTAGCCAAGCGCCAGCTTGCTGAATAACACCGGGGAAGCTGCTCTGCCGAGAATCCAAGCTGGAGAGCTTGCGCCAAAGCACCTGGCGATCACTGCGCAAGCGCCTGCCCGCCTGGACCAGAAGCGCAGACCTCTGGCTGGGGCCCCGGGCTCCAAGAGTTCCCATTGCAACTCCAAGTCGCTAAGAGCCGTCCATGGCCGCTCTCTGCATGGCACACATCGCGGTGCTGTGGGGAGGCCGGTGCTGCCACAGCTGCAGTCGCTTTGAAGGCTCCTGATTCCAGCACGAGACTTGAGCTCAGCTTGCAGTGTGCTTGAGGAAGAGACTGCACTCAGAGATGCTCGGAGAAAGAGACTTTTTCTGACTATATTGACTATGCATACCATACCCATAGCGAGTCAAAGCTCAGGGGATCTCTCAAACATCCTGCGAGCACGCGCGCGGCCAGAAGCTTGAGGATGAGTTGAATGATGAATGCAGCAGCTTGGGCTAGCAATGTTCTAAGGCTCCTGTTTCGGAATGAAGACGTGCAGGAGCACAGGCGTGGTGTCTGTTCTGCTCTGAACTAGCATGACGCTGGTCAGGAAGCAATTGCTCGAGAAGTTGTCCTCCAAGGCTGCAGCGGACAGGTCATCCAGAGCTTGATTGAAGCCACTTCCGTGACCCCGTCGAGCAGCCCATCTCGGGCCCCTGATGCTCGGTAGCTTGGTAGCTTGCACAGCACGTTGAATTGCATGAACGTGCTTGGCATTGCTTTGGCCACATTAGCAAGCTGCAAGGCTCTGCTGCAGCCTCATGGCCATAACTATTTAGCCGATCCAGGGTGAATAGATGGCCAGTCATACAGCCGGCTGAAGGGTTGCACTTGGAAGATCGACCGATCTTGACCGCATCTCTTGAGTCAGACAACTGTAGCTTTTCTCCGCAATATGTGAAATGGTAGCTGCGCTGGGAGCGCACGCTCATGAGCCGGCGGACCAGGCTGGCAAAGCCAGGACGGAGGCAAGGCCCTCCCCGACAAACCTTCAAAGTACGGTCTATGATGCCTTAAAGCACACATCTTTGAATGTGAAGCGCAAGCCACGCTGCTGAAACTCACTTGCGAGGACGCACAAGGAAACCGAGGTCGAGGCTGGACTTCGAACCATCATTTAGACAAGCTGCTGCGATTCTGTCACCAGCCCGGCAGGCTGATGGACAAGAAGAGACTGCGCGAGACGGACCTGTTCTCAGTACAGACCCGCACGTGCAAGGCAATGTACTGCTCAGACTCATGTGTAGCAAACCTGACGGCGCAAGTCCAAGGCGATGCCACCAGCGTTTTTGTCCGAGGGCTTCCCGAGGGAACAACGGACCGTAAAGCAAGCAAAACCAATTTGATGTGCAACTCGACACTTGCAATCACAAGCCACCGTCGAGGACAGAGATCTCCGAGTCTTCTTAGAGGCTGACAGTGGCGCCAAGTGTAGCATGCCAAGTGTAGCATGCCGAGTGCGCGTGACTTGATGACGTGCAGCCGCTACCACTGACAGGCCCGAGTGGGAGCTGTTCACACATGCTTCATCATTCGAGATGCTCGATGCTGAGTGTGCTGGCGGTTCTTGCATTTCACAATATTACTTTTTCGTTGCTTGCTCTCCATCGCTCCCTCAAGATGTGCATCGTTGAAGGAAGACGCTAACATCAGGTCCTGTCAATGTGGAACTTGCGTTCAACAAAAACTGTAAGGCTCTGGTGGGGGTCCTGTGCTAAAGCAAATGCTTTCTCAGAAGGCGCCAGTCGAGGGGCAACCTGTGCTTGGCAGGGAATGAAGTGGCTCGCAAAATGGCAGTGTAAAGGGTGCGGTGTTGCCCAGTCCCCCCCCACCGCTGTGGGTGGGTTGGTTAGGGTGTTAAGAATTGAGGGTTTAGGGTTTTCAAGGTTTTGTGCGTGTTGCGTAGGCGACTGAAGGGGGGGTACCATGTGGGGGGGGGGGGATACCATGAGGGGGTCAAGAAAGGCGGACACGGGAGCCCAGCCTTGTCTTCAACTGACCAAGAGCCCAGAATAGAAGAAAGGAGACATGAAAGGAGCCCAACGTCAGCCCGGCCGACCCAAGCGTAAGTCGTCTCGTTTGCTGGAACTGTGTTTGTTTATAGAACGCTTCGCGTGTGGTAGTACCTTTGCTGTATGTGCTCCGCCACAGCTAGCTTCCTACTCGAGGGACCGGGGGAAGCAAGCTTTGCGAAACCCTCCACAAGCTGAACCATTTTCGCTTGGTGCCAGGTGCAACGTGCAAAAGCAAAATTGTCCGATCTGTTTCGCCTGGTTTCGATCCAGTTCGCTCCCTGCTCCAGTTCCAGTCGCATGATCCCCACGTGATGCGTGGAGGTAGAAGTTCTGGGTCTTGTGTCTTGTCATGTTTGTCTCGGGTGGGCTAGGCACGGCTCGAAATAGCACGGCCGCTCGAAATAGCACGGCCTCTCTGTCAAGATGGTGTGAAGGTGGGGTGACCAGCCAAGGGCTTCGAACGGTGGCTTAGAATGATGTCGGTGGTCTGCTGAGACGGGAAGGGATGATACCTTTGGGCATCAGAGCCCCAACCCTGCGTGTTTACCATCACGTGCCATCCACTTCCCAATCCCTTTCGATGCAAACATCATGCGTTCTCAGCCGCTACTCCAGCGCCAGCGGCAGTGTTCTCGTGCGTGTTGAACAGTGTGCTGACCCATAACCAACATAACCAGCAACCAGCAAAGGACTATGGCATTGCGAAGTTCCACAAGGAGGAGGAGACCGACCTGGGAAGCAAGTTCTGTATATGGCGTGCCGGCAAACCATGTTTGCCTTAACCAGGATGCCCGCCGATGCCTGCAGGAACAGCTGAGCACTTGTTTCGGTTTTTGTCATGTTTTTGTCTTGGTGACCCTGCGGGAGCTTTGAAGCAATGACGTGGTTCGGGAGCTTTGGAAGATCGCATGGTGCAGGAATTGCACGGTTCCGACTTCAATGGCTCCACATTGAAAATCCAAGCTGGGAAGCCGAAGCGGTGCGCTGTCAGAGAACAAGTACGCGTGCACACGTGTAGTAGTATGTGCTTGCAGTATCTCGTGGTGCTGCTCCGAGCGCAGGGGCGGATCTACCAAAGGCAAACAGACAGATGCCATATCGGACATGAATCAGGACTCGGCCGTAGAACGCGGAGCGTTGCGATTTTGTGAGATGAGTTCTTGGCAGGAAGCCAAGGGTTTGTTGCATTTGCGCAGCATCCAGCTGAGTGGCGTACCGCAGGGAGCCTCAGAAAGCCTCAGGGAGAGCTTTTGGATGAAGCGTTGTGTTACTCGCAGTTCGCTGCAAGTGCTGCTTTCTGTGATGCTCCATGTCATGCTGTTCTCAGCCCTAGGCCAAAAACCACAAAGGAGGATCTTCACAAGTGGGTGGAGGAGTGCGGGAGTTTTCTGCCTGTGAGCTCTCTTATGCTTTTCCCCCCCGGTCACCCCAATGCAAGGAAAAGCTTCCCGGTGGGTGTGGCATCGAGGCGGGGAAGTTGTTCGGCACACTCCACGTGTATCACCACAGTAGCATGCCATGCTACGAGTGCCATGAGTGCTGTGCGGATGGCAGAAGAAGCGGACGGAGTGAGTTGTTTGCAATGCTTCCGGATATCCGAGGCTGTTCGCCGGATCATGGGCAAGACTGGCCACTTTACCATCTCCTTTCGGAAGGATGCCAGCAGCCAACAACGCAAAGACTGTTCAGTCGCTTCTCGTTGGCAGCTGCAGTCTGGACTGCACCCTTTTGCCCATAGCCGGCCTTCGCGTGAGTACATCGGACACTCGCACACGATGCTCACCTCCGTGCTGGTATGCACTTCCCCCCAACTCTTCCCCGCCGGTTTGATTGCCATCGATGGCTGTCGATGGCCATGAGATAACGTCCTGACCTTCTAGCACCTCACAATGATGCATGCAGAAGGCAGCACACGACACGGAGCGCACGGAGCGCACGCGCGCATGCAAAGGAAGACACGTGTCGTGAGCAGCTTTGATGCTCGTTACATCATAGCTTGTCCAACGATGTGAAGGATCAGAATGCCCGGCGAGCGCCCTTGACTCAGCTTCAGTCGACTTGTTTGTTAGCCGCACGGCCAAACATCAAAGGCGAGGAGTTTCAAGAAGGAGCGACACTGCACACGGTGCTTCAGACTGCAGGCTTGAAAGCCTCAGCGGGGCCGACATGAACGGTGCCTCTGGCTCAAGTCTTGAGGAATCCGGTACTCCTGTTGTGTTCATGTGCCGTGAAGTCAGGACACACCGTTACTGCCTCTTTGCGAGCCTTAGAGCTGAGTCGTCAGAGCAGCAAGGCACCTAAGTCAGGGTTTCCTTAGGGGGCTTACGAGGGCTTCAAGGGCGCTTAGAGTCCTCGTTTTTGTTGCTTTCGGTGTTTCCAGCAACTCTCGGGCCTCTGACTTCGGACTCGCAGGCTGGGCGACTGATCGTGCGCAACTTGTCCTTCGATGCCAGGGAGTTCCTTGGAGAAAAAGAACCGTAAACATCCGTAAACACAGTGCAGTAAGCACTCTCTGTTCAACTGTTCTGACGAAGTGCAGCCCGGATGAACCAAGGAAACACCTTCGAAAGGCGCTTCGGTTGACACAGCTGATCGGTTGTCTTTAAAGACTTTGCCAATGTTTGGAATCGTGCTCCTGTCCTGATTCACATGTAGCTGTAGAAGGTTTTCGAGCAGTTGGGCGAGTTGGCAGACGTCCATTTGCCTGCCAAGGACCATGATACGCTTGTTATCAGCAGTTGTCAGCTTTCATGTGAAGAGCCCTGCGGTATCCATGGAGCAGATGCGTAGCAAGGAGTTGTTCCTTGCGAGCTCATTTCCCGGTTCTTGTCAGGTTTATTGGCTCCCTCAGGAAGCTAGGATGACTCTCCGCCTGTCCTAGCTGCGCATGGTGGGAGATGCCCTTGCAGATCTGCAGAGGCGGAGGCCCGGGCTGCTTACATGGAGTTCGCGCGGAAACTGTTCAAATTCCCGCGCCCTGGAATCGCAGAATCGCAGGAGACTACCTCTCCGAGAAGTACCAGGAGTTGGCCAGTGGATCTTCGAAAGAGGCATGTGACCTCTTCGTCGAAGCAGAGGACCTCCTCGGCCAGGAGCAGTATGCTTCGTGCCTCCCAAAGCATCCTTTTCACACACAATGCTTGAAAGCCTCGGCTTCGAGGGCTTTGGGTCCTTAGCCCTTAGCTAGTTACACACACGATCCACGTGGGGCCAATGTTGGCCGAGGCTGAAGCGGCTGAAAAGGGCCGGGCAGCTCTGAAGGCCTTCCGGGCCGCAGGCAGTGCTGGCGCCGCTGATGCAGCCCGACTGGTGGAGCCCTTAGTACTACATAGACATGCTGGTAAGAGACTCCTTTGGACCGCTTGCACACGTTTGCACACATGTGCGCGCATGTGCACAGCAATCCACAGACAATTCGCACTTGGATGTTCCGAGAGGTGGTGAAGGCCTTGGTCGGAGATGGGGACCATGCCAGCGCACAAGAGCTGGCGAAAGAGGAACTTGCCAGATACAGGGAGGCCCAATCCGCATGTTATCTCTTCTTACACGCTGTCTTTGCCATTCTCCTTGAGCCCCAGCTCATGTGCCCAGACTGGAGACAAGATTGGCGAAGCCAAGATGCTGACTTCCTGTGGCGAAGCCAACTCCGGAAAGGAAGGGAAGGCGAAGGCACGCTGGTAATGAAGCCTGCTTAGGTCACAAGTTCTTGCAGCTGCCGGATTGCGCAAGATCATGTCTTCGGCTGTCAGACCATGTCAGACGTGTAATGGCTTCGGTGTTCATGGCACAATGTCCAAGCCCAGGCAGAGGCCATTGGATCCGTTAAAGAAGCGAGGTCCATCTTCAGGAACCAAAAGTCCAAGGAGTGGGAGGTGGCCGGCTTTGCACGCTGCACTCTACCATCTCAATCACTCTGTCAGCAGTGGTATGGCATCGGTTTCCAGGCAAAAGCACTGCTCACCCTGGCCGGTATCAACATGGGGAAGGACTCGGATCTGGGAGCTGTTGAGACAGCCCTCAAAAATGCGACTGAAGCGCACCTCTGCCGGAGCAGGTGATATGAGAGATTCGGAGACAGCTGCTTTCTTACTTGACAGCCAAGGCGGGACATATGCCAAGAGTTCGATGACAAGCGCATCGAGGACTGGTCACAGCAGTCTCCATGGACAGAGCTGGCTGTAGCATGGCAGTTGCCGGCGGCCGAGAAGTACACCTACCTATACTCCTACCTCTGCACAGTTCATCTACCATGCAGCGTGCACATCCCGGTTCATTGCTAAGAGAAGAGTGCGGTAGAATCATGTCATGTTCGGGGCATGCTATAGGCCCACAAGAGGGCACGCTGTGATGTAGTGACCAGTGTAGTGAAGAGAGACTGTGGCGCCTCTGCCAGGCCGAATGCCTCTTTGCGATGGCAGAGGCTCGTGGTATCGTATCGTCACCCGATGATGCGCTCGATGCAGCAGACGAAGCGATGGACCTCTATTTGGAGTTGAGAGAGACTTGGAGCCAACATGACCTTTGGAAGTGGCAAAGTTGTTCTTGTTTTTCAGAAGATTGCAACAATGATTGACAAAAAGTACTGACAATGTCTGCAGCAAAGGATAAGCGCATGGAAGCTCGCGTGCTCATGCAGCCGGGAATGCGAACCATAGCAACCTTTGTAATTGCTTTGCCAACCCGATTCGACAGAGCGAAACTCTTTCGAAACGAGATTTTAGGGAGAGGATGTGAGTGCATGCCGCAAGGAGAATGTCGGAGTGGAACATCAAGCTCGGAGATCACGCCCGAGCTCTCTCCGATGCAGAAGATGCCCTTGAGATCTATCAAATGCTGCAGTCTTCGCAGGAGGTCAAGGCTGAAGCCTGTTTTATCCTGTTTCTGTGCAGTGCGTGAAGTCACGACTCGGTCGGAGAGTGCTGTACTCTTTTTTGTCTTGTCACGCTTTTTCAGCTTCTGTTGCCTGCCAGGCACTGCGAAGAGTCTTTGATGCCCACGTGGCCCGGAGTGACTTGCGAAAGGCTCGTCTCGTGGCCGCGGAAGCCTTGCGTCGCTTCCGCGAGCAGAACAACAAGTTGGCGCAGGTCGATGCTGTCCGCATGCTCGTAGAGCTTTATGTGAAGGCCAACCGGGTGGAGGAAGCATTGACGGCCGCCAAGCGTGGCATCACCGTATGCAAAGAGCTCGGAGATGTCGCAGCACAGGCTTCGTTGATGCTTGTGGTGGGGCGTGCGCGTCTGAGAATGGGCCAGCTGGACAAGGGCATTGCCATTGCACAGGATGCTTTCGCAATGTTGAAGAAGCTGTCCGTCACTCCGAAGATTTCGGAGGACAAAGTCGAAGCTATGCACATATTAGTGGAAGCCAACTACCACAGGGGCCACAAAGACGAAGCTTTAGACCTATCTCTTGAGTTTAAAGAGACCTTCGAGCAGCAAGAAGACATGGCCGCATTTGCGCATGCCCTGCTCATCTGCGCAACCCTGGAGTTCAAAAAAGGCAATGTTGAGCAGGCTGCAAGCTACAACTCCAAAGCTCAGAGCATTTTTAACGATGAAGGGCTCATGCCAGGCGAGGCGGACTCCATGAAGATGCAAGCGGAGATTGCGTGGAAGAAGAACGATTTTAAAAGTGCTATCAGATTTGCTGAGAAGGGGCGCGCGTTATACAGGGAACTAGGAAAGACGGAGGGCGAGATCGCATGCATGTATATGATCTCGGAGAATGCGGTGCGGCTCTCTGTCAAGGAAGGGGCGAAAATCTTCGGTGAGGAGCCGATCCCGCGGCAAGCGCGCGATGCTCTGGAGAAGGGCATCAAGCTTGCTGAAGCCGGCATCAAGCTCGCCAAGAATACCGCGCTCGCAACAGCACCGGAGTTAATGGGATCGCTCCTGTGCGCCAGAGCTCAAGGCCTGACACTAAAAGCCCGATTTGAGGAGGCTTTGGCCTGTGCGGATGAGGCAGTGTTGATCTACAGAGATCTTCTGTGCTACCAGCTAGAGGCGAATGCCCTGATGCTCTCTTGTGACAACTTAAGGGCTCTCCAGCAAATAAGGGAGGCTGCCGAAGCTGCGGACGAAGCACTGGCGCTGTATCGTCACGTCCAGGATGATGCCGGTGAGAACCTGGCTATGGAAGTGATAGCAACGTTCCAGGAGTACATGCAGCAACAGGCACCACAGTTCATGCCACCGCCTCCAACGCAAGCTGGTGCAGCTCCTGGGCAAGTGCCTGTCTGGCTACAGCAGCAAGGCACTGATGGCCCACACGTGTGGGAAACAGGGTACGGGTACACCGTACATCACTGTGCTACGATACATCTAGTGTTGTTGAAGCTTTTTCAGTGCTCGTTTGTTCGGAGGCCTGCATTAATCTTCTATTCTTAAACGGGGCTTTCTTGGAGTTGCAGTTGGATACAGTTTTTATTAGTGGAAATGGAATGTTGGGGAAATGAATTTATGAATGAATGCACCATAAGACTCATGAATTTAGTGTTAACCGTTGATTGATCGCAGGCCCGGACATTAGCATTGCTACAAAGTTTACCAGATGAAAGAGATGTGTGCGGCTGTGCGCCCTAAAGGCTATGTATCATTGAGGCTTTTTGCGCACGCATGGCATGACGTTGTAGTTCTGTTCGTTTATTCGTACATTCGCTTGTCTTCTATATCTTCATTCTGGTGTATTCTTGCTACGGGAAAGGGCCTTACTGACTTCCCGAATAAAAGGTTGGGTTTTGCGAAGACACTACTTTGATGACATCATGCTCCTTCTACGTTCAATTGCTGAGTCATGAAGTCACTCTTTGTGACCACAGCGTGAGTTTCTTCGACAGACGCTCGCCAGGGTTTCGGGACTCGATACATTTTTCCCTGCTCATTTGCCGTGTGCAGGCCAAGATGGCCCTCCAGAAGCTGTGTCGCCAACATGTGTTGTTGCTTTGTGAAAGCATTGCCCGAGCACCGGCTACTGAGTTCGCAAGTAGAGCAGTCAAGAGCACAGGTTGTTGTGGACATGCCAGGCTGTTGCAAAGACAGCTCCTGCTCGAGGGCCAGCAGGACCCGCCCTTGACGTCAAGTCAGGTCTAAGCGTGGATGTGATCACCAACAAGGCAGGGCGCTCTGGTCAAGCATTCCCTCGGCCCCCCTTCGGTGAGCAGCTCCGTTCCCCAGGTGAAGGAGATCGCATTAAGAATCACTGGTGCAGATGATGGAGAGATCGAAGCGGACACGCCGCTCATGGAAGCAGGGCTCACCAGCAACTCCGTCCTTGCCTCAAATCTCAGCAGCAGCTTCATTGGCTGTCGCTGTCTTGTTCTGTTGTGGGAGGGTGTAAAGAAGTCCTTGCCTGCATGTTGATGAGGCTATTCTGATGCGTGATGCTGCTTGGACCGACACAAGGGATGAGTTCAAGGGCAAGTCTAGAGCATTTTGGCAGGTGTAGCTTCAGGGAATGCTGCCGTGATTCTGGCATCCAAGGAGATTTCCCAAGCCCTACCTGGTGTGCAGCTGCCTGTTACTCTCGTTTTTGATTACCCCTCTGTTTCTGCAATGACCGAGCTCATCATGCAGAGCACCGGAGGTGCAGCCATTGGTAACTGAGGATCTCCACACTTAGGGGTAGAGGGGTTGCTGTCAAGTACTAGACTCTTCCGTGACGCGATCGTAGCAGCGTGGCTTGAAGCCCGCTTGGCTTGGCTTGGAGCTCGAGGACTAGATGTGGATTTGCAACGAAGCGCATTTCCAGCTTGATACTGTGGCTCGGGAAAAAGCGCCCACTGGCCTTGGACATTCACAAGATTTCACAAGACACAAGCTCATGTGCCATGGTTTGGCCACTTGATGGTGAAGTCCTGCAGGACGGCAAGGTTGGCACCCATCGAGGATTCGCATTCGTGCAGTACATCGAGGCGGGCTTCGCAAGCTTCGCAAGCAGCTATCACCTGATCTTGTGTCCGGCTGGGTTTCAGGCCTCAGCAGCTGAGAAAGCGGTTGCGGACCTGAATGGCACGAAGACTGCCTGTGATGCTCGCATGTTGCTGCACCAAGGGACCAAAAGGGTCCCTCAAAAGTACTTCTTCACAAGCAACTTTACAAGAAGCCCCTTCCCCCACGGTTCTTGTCGCGTCTGCAGAGGATATGCGGACGTGCTGTGGCCGTGGACTGGGCGGTTGATGCCTCCGTGCCTGGCCCTCCGATGTTGTTCTTTGCACCTGCTCTCTTTTTTTTAAACCCCCCAAAGAAGAATGAAGCACAATTGAAAAAACTCAGTTGAAACTTCTTGAGGTTCACCAAGCTTCAAAGTGGCTTCCTCGACCTCCGCTTTGGGGGGCATTCTGCTATGTTTTGGCGAGATTCTGCTGTTGCGCTGTGGGTCATTGCGGATCACTGCGACACGGCAGCCAAGGTGAGGAGCAGCCCGAGTCCAACCCTGAGAATCCGACATGGTTCGCCATGAACAAGTTGCCAATTCAGCCCAGTCACATGTCGATTCAAGCCCAGACCGCCCGCGGAGCCCAAGCGGGCGAAGGAGGGCCTGCGCTTTGGCTCGGTTGTTTCATCGCCACCTTCGTGGCAGATCAGTTTGTAAGCCAAGGGCTGCATCACGAGAGTATCTCATCCAGGCTTACGGATCAACAAGTCTTAGCGTTGCTGTATCCAAATCCAGTTCGACTGATCTCAAGGACTTCTTTCGAAGTAGGCGTCCGCAGTTTTGTAGACCAACTGTAACTACTTCTCTTCTCTCACTTAGGAGGCTTCAAAGGCTCTTTAAAAAAGACTCTGAGGCATCTCCAAGCCCGCAGAGCTGTTTTTGTTGCTGGCAGGAGCAGAAGCCGAAGGCGGCTGCGAAGGCTGCGAAGGTCTCAGAGGAGGAAGAGGAGGAGGAAGACGAGGTGCTGTGCTGCGGTATCGAACATCCATTCGCCTGAGCTCCGGGGCCATTTTTTCGCCGCTTGTTAAGATGCTGCTCAGGATCCTGATCCCAACAAAGAGCTGAAGCGAATGAAGGAGCTGCTGGGTGATGAGATCGAGGCCTTGGGCGTTCTGTGAATGGGGTCCATAGTCGAAGTGTGTCCTATGGAACATTGGAAGAGTTTTGAGAGTTTTGAGAGGTTTGAGAGTTTTGAGAGCTTTGAGAGTTTTGAGATTCTGAGAGTCAGGAGGACGATCAAGAGGAGGAGGGGGAGGACGAGGAGGATGAGGCGGACGAAGACGAAGCATCAAAGCCCAAGCCGAAGAAGGGCAAGGAGAAGGCCGATGCTCGCTAGGCCAGCATGATCTCTTCGTCGGACTGCTGACCGGCCATCCGTACAAGGCATCCAAAGCAAGAAAGCCTGGATTTGATGTCGAGCAAGGGCGCAGCTGTCATGTTTCCTTCTCCCTTTCATGGCAGTGGACGGCGCGCAGAGACACAGAGAAGCACGGAGAGACTACACTGGCAGTCGCTGGCAGGCTGTCCATCTTTGTGAGAAATGTACCCTTCGATGCGGAGGAGGGCGACTTGAAGGAGGTCTGGGTTCGCCGTCCGCTAATAAGCACAGTGAACTACCATGACATACCATGACATAGTGGGATTGAAAGGAAGGAAGGACCTAAAGATGACCTGCAGGTCTTCCGCCGCTTCGGCAGGGTGAGCTCGCGACCAAGCATGTGGGATTGTTGCAGCCGCGAATCGACCGAACAGCTGCGATCCGTCGAGGCTCTGTTAAGATGGTGGCTGACAAGACAGGACGCTGTCGCAACATGAATTTTGAGTACCGTGAAGTCATCTGCTGAGTGTATCATTGTGATCATGGCTCCTCGCGTCCAGGCCAAAATTCTCACCGAGGATCTGCCTTCATCAAGTTTGCAGAGGCTTGAGCGAAGCCCCCGCAAGTGAAACTGCTCGTTGAGTATCTGCTCAGCGTTGGTGGTACCGATGCAGCCAAGTGCCCAAGCAAGTCATGGCTGAGGAACGATATGAATTCCCATTTATTCCCCATGAAGCTGAGCCTACGAGCGCCAGTTCCAAGGGCACCTTAATATAGTCACGGCATCGGACCAAGCTCGTCGTACGCCAACTCGTATACGCTCGTCCAAACATCTGTTTCAAGACTTGCCCCAGCGGTCGCCAGCATGGCGTGGGACACAGCGACTTTGCTTGAAGAGATCGGGGGAAGTGCAGTGAAGTGCAGAGATGTGGACTGGTGCTCCCTCCCTCGAAACATTGAACGCGAACGATGTGTTCTGCTGACTGCAAAGGTGGAAGACGATATCTTCGAGCCTCACGCGAGGGCTCGCTCGGCATCAGACTTCTGCGTGAAGCAGTTTGGATGCAGACTCCGTCATGCAAGGGTGCCTCCGACCCTGACTCTGCAGCAAGCCAAGGTATGAGTATCTCCGCGGCCAGCGGAAGCAATCAGATGACGACAAGGCATTCCCGACAATCCGGGACGTGTGGATCGCTGCAACGAACTCTGCTTTTGTTATTTTGTTGTGCGTAGCAGCAGCTTGGAAAGGTGACACCTTTGCCCAGCCCCCATGCTCACAGAGACGAAATCGCATTGGATCTGCAGGACCGGAGGGTTTATCGCTGCGGAATGCTGTTGTTGAATTGGGGCCGAATTGGGGCCCACAAACTGATGGGTCGGACGTACAGACAAGAAGAACACAGCAGCGCAGGCGACAGGAACAAGTTTGGGACGTAGTTGTCAGATGCAGAGCCGCTTTGGGATTCGCCTACTGTAGCCGGTTTGCCCACGTTCGGTCGCGCACCATGCCGCTTTATCTCTTGCGTCATGTGTGACAGTGCCACCGGTCACGAACAGCCCCGAAAACGAAATGGTAAATGGGAAGAAGCCCTGTACAAGGAAAACACAGTACGAGACACAAACTGCTGCGAGCATCAGGAGCAGCAATGGCGAGAACAAACGATGAAAGCTATCTATTTAGGGTTTTCGGCAGCGCTTGCTTGTCTCTTTCTTGCTTGGACTGCTCTTGCGACTGAGTCGGTCATGATTCCGTCCTCCCCCCACGACGTCCTTGGACTGCACCACTCGGCATCGTCATTGCCATGGCACTACATGTCTGCGGCGTCCCATGGGAGAACAGGCAGTCCTTGAGCAGAACATGAGAAATGCATGCAAGAGACGCTTGACCGGTGAAGTTGGCTGGAGGAGCAGCTACAGCTGTTGGGCATGGGAAGTTGCAGTCAGGGAAAGTTCCTAAGCTCCTAAAGCTGCGCCCAAGTGCGATCCGAAAGCAGATAGGACTCAGGAGAAATGGCATGTAGAAGTTGGAGCAGAAACATGTGCACGTGTATTGGAAGCACCCTTGCTCGCAGAGCGGACCTTATGAAAGACATCAGCCGGTATGCAACACAGATCGATGAGCTCATGCCACCGTTGTCACTTACGCCGACACAACTTGCGTTCCAGGTGCCCGTAGCAGGTGCAGATCCAGCTCCAGATGGGCGCGCTTGGCGATGTCCCATACAGCTCCGCTCCCACTTGCACGTTGGAGTCGGTACCCTTCGAGAAATGAGCCAGGAAGAGGATGAGATGATGCGTAGGCTCTGCACGCTTTTAGGTCCAGATCGGAGCACGAAGAGCCCAAGTCCCGTCGAAGAGCCCAAGTCCCGTGGCTGCTGACCCTTCTCTGGGCCCAGCTTTCTTGCTATCGCGCAGCATCTTCAGATCGCAGTACAGAGCATAAAGTATGAGCGTGTAAGCTTCTGGATGTCAATGCAGTTCCACTGAAACTTCGACATGACAGGACTGCCAGACCCCGAGCCCGCCAGCCCATGGTGGTGAGATCAGTTTTGACAGCCAGGACATGTAGCACTGTTGATCCATTCTCGCAACGACCGCACGTTTTTTGTTTTTATGTTCTGAGCACAGCCTGTACTTTTCTGCATCTCTCTTAACTTCATCAACCATGTCGCAGACATTCTTGTCGCAAATAGCTGCGGATTGGTGAGAGGCTTCCAGCATGAAATTGGGTTATCCGCAACCACTAAGCCACTAGTTGCCTCCGGAGGATCTTGATGCAGTGACCCCGCAGCACCTCCAGCGAGTCGACACGTACGAATACGACCTCGCATCGCCCGAGCAGGTGCGGTCAACAAAGTTCTGTCCTAGATCCACCATGGCTGCACTGACTTGGCAGTATGCAGATCCCTGCAAAGCTTTAAGGCCACGTCGGAGCTGTGGCAAGGCAGCGGCTACGTCCCATGCCTTTCGGCTCTGAAAACAGCATTGTTGTATACTGTATATCTGATGTTTGGAAGAGCCTTTTCTGGACAAGGCTATCCCGGACTTGCCTGGATGCCGGCACTTTGACTGGAATTGTGGCAAAATGTTGCAAAGCTTTGCCAGTGCCCTTTGCAACCGAGGCTACTGCTGCCAGCGAGCTCCAAGTGCAGAGCACACCAAGTCTTCAATATTTGCCGCAGGCAATAGCTGCTTGGAAAGAGTCGCAGAAGATGTTGATCTTGTGGTGCAGTTTTGTGTCCGTGCAAACAGGTGCATAGCACATGCTCACAGGGGGCCTATCAGCTGTTGTTGATGTACTGTATAAGGCTTCTCCCGCCTTGGTTTATTACTGCGTCGGGTATCTGGCTCCGGAAAGCGGGGAGCAGATGATGCAGCCGGAGATCGGCTTCTCTGCCAGCCACGACTGCACCTTTGCTTGAGAGAACATCTCAGCTCTCGCACATGCATATGGTGCTTGCATATGCATTTCCTAGGTGGCAGCCAGGGCAACCCAACTAGCCAGCAGAACACTGCTCCCAGTCGGCATGGCTAATCATCCCGGAGTCTTGCAGTGGCAGTGCGCAAAGTGGCAATAGTTCAGAGCTTTCGAGAGGGCATGCTGCAGGTCAGCGATGTCCGACAGGGTCAATCTCAAAACTCTCAGAAACGGCCAGCCCGACAGAAAGAGCCACAGCCAAAGGTTCTGGAGGCAAGGACCACCTCAACTTCATCTGCGCAGCATCACTGGAAGCTGTAGTTGTGAGGCCGGCGAAGTTCGACGTGATGCCGATCCGCCAGGAGCGAGACATGGTGAAGAGCAGGAGGAAATCACTGCCGGGCATGAACAAAACCTTGGCAAGGTTCGACAGATACGCCTACAATCAAAGACGAGGAGCGCACCACAATCATGTTGCGGCCGCGTGCTTGGACCCGTTGAGCCGGCGAAGAAGCTAAGTTGCAGTCTTGCGTGGCCGGCATACTAAGGAACATCCCGAAGGACTCTTGATCACTGCTGATGCAGTGAGCCATGTGGAAGCTCTGTCTAATATCTTGCTTGGCTCGATTCAGGACACTACTCGGGAGACTCTGATGGAGTTACTGGACAGTTTAGGTGCGGAAGACAGTCTTCAGAACCATATGGCTTTTTGCTGCGTGCCCTGAGCCCTGTAGGTTATGCAAGGATGTATGACTTTCTCTATTTGCCGCGGGACTTCAAGGCCTAGCTGTGGGCTGTGATAGGTGAATGCGCAAACTTCGCGAACGTCAGGATAATTTCGCGATTTATGGCTATGCTTTCGTGAACTTTGTCAGCCACCAGGAGGCTTCGAAGGCTCTGTCGAAGGGGTAGGACCAGGCTATGGCTTCTCTGAATTTGTTTCTTCGCAGGCCAGGCAGATCCTCGATGGTTTCGCCAGCTGGCGCACGACTGATGCTTGGTGGAAAAGGTAATATGGCAGTATTATGGCAGCCTATACCTACAAGAAGTAAGAAGATGTCAGACACCATTTTCTTGCCCTTGCAATGGCCTCCACACGTCTTTTTGAAAGGAGAGCGAAACAGCACCCTGTGAGGCTGGGGTAACGTGTGTATGGCAGTTAGGCCTTGCTGAGACGCAGAAGAACAAATTGGAAGGCGCACTGGGGCCATCCTCTGCAAGGCTATGCAGCTCACGTAGAACGGTACAGGACTCTTCTGCAGAAGTTCACTTGCAATGGGCCGCACGAGCCTTCTTTCATCCCTCAAGCTCTCTGGACTGTTGCAGGAATAGCCCAGTCATGTCCAGCCAGGTCTGCAGCTCGGAGCCTCTAAAGTTGTGGCTGCCGACATAGTGCCGAGATGTAGCGACAGGTCCCAGAAATGTGCCGACCGCTGGTCTTCAAAGATGGGCAGCCGGTAAGCTTTCCTGCGCCCACGATGCTTGGAGTACCAAAGTGCTTCGCATTTGCTTCGCTGCTCATGCGGCTCCTGGATGCTCCTGGGGTGTGCTTGCCTTGCCCCACAACACACACGAATCCCTTAGGAAACCCATTCGTCTTCCACGTCGGAAAGGCGTGTCTGCAAGGGCTTGTCCACGTCAGCATGTGTTCGGCGGGGCATCCAGCTAGCTAAAGATTCCAAAGGGTTTTGCTTGTCGTAGCCTTCAGGCTGGATTCTAGCGGGCCGGCGGCCGGAGCTCAGAGAGCTGCGAGAATGAAGTGCTGCCCCCCCGGCTTCAGTGCAGACATCGCACACATCGCAGCAGTAATAGCATGTCGTAGCATGTGGCAGGTACAGACAGTACAGGCTTGCCCGTCTGGCTCCGCCTCTTCCACCGCGCCTCAGAGCCAGGTTTTAACCCAGCTGCTGCATCGTTGAGGATACAGTACAGTGACATTTTCTCACGGACGACCACAGGCTTCTTGGGCCTTGGCAATTCGTTGGCACGCATTTGAGAGTTGGCAGGAAGGCAATGGTCCAATTCATGGTCGCCTCAGCGCAGTCGAAAACGTGCATGTCCAACGCTTTCACGGACAATTGCCATACAGTGGCCCTTTGGATGGTCACAGCAGTCGAGGCAACAGAAATGTTCGCCTCGGCCCTCTGCAAGAACTCTCTTTTTGCATTCGGTGCTGCAACTGTTGCGTTTGTACACATTGTACACGTGAATACGCACGTAGCTGTATGTCTGTATCATCGCGCAACCAGCTTATCGTGTGAACAAAGTGTGAAGGAAAATAGGATCAGAAAGGAACGCAAGATGGAGCACATGCAAGCACCACTGCATGGCGAATTCCTTTTATTTCAATGCCTGCGCCGCGCGCCGCTTCGAGGGCCATGTGCGGGGCTAGGGCCCGTACTTGCCCCGCGGAGGTGCTGCGCATCCGCTGCGCATCCGCTGCGCATTCCTTCAGCATCAGTTTCTCAGCCTTTCAGAGTCAGCTTTGTCAACTTATCATTCTGATCTGAGCTGCGGGTCTGGCAAAAGCCTACCCCTGCGGGGACACCCCAGCCAGTCAAAACTGTTTAGTCAACGTTCTAGCATGTTCTAGCATTCTAACTGCACGACATTTGCCTCCATCATGGGGATGACCGGGATGATGGATGCCAAGGTACAGTATGTGAAGAAACGAGAGCACACCCACCAAGGTATCGTATGCATCATCATCATGTCATCCCTGGCGCAAGCACTGTCCCACATTAAAATCTCAGTTTGGCTGATGTGCGAGGGCGCAACAGCTCGGCACGAAGCAAGGCAAGCGTAACACAACATCAGTAGGTGGCAACAGTCTGTTACATGTCCCCAGATAGTTTCTTCAAGCTTGCCTTCGTTACCACGAATAACGCCTTTCCAACAGCAGACAGTCAGTCGTAGCAAAGTGTATGTTTCGTGTAAAGCAAGGGTGCTGAATGTGCTGCGAGGCCACCAGAAATTTGCATGAAAGTCTAGTTGTATTGTCGGATGTATCGTCGGCCTAAAGATTGACATGCAACTTTGTTGCCATGCAAGCTTACCTCGCAAGCTACTCCAGCAGCCTTTGGCATCACTTCTCATCTTTGAAGCATCGACCAGCCTGTAGACCTACAGGCAGTTGTCTGATGCAGATGAGATGTCAGTACGATGTACTGGCCTCGCGACTTGCAACGGTTTTGCGGAACCCTGTTCCACTTTCAGTCTTGCGCAGTTAACGAACTTTGTGTTTTGCAAAATGAAAGCTCAGCAAGCATGAAATAGACTTCCCTGCTGGCCTTCAGCCTAACTTTCTTATCCTAACAGGTGTCGGGGTCCCAGGCAGCGCTGGCAGCAGAAGAAGAAGCCGAGCGGAAGCTCAAGGTACTCGTAGGGTGAAGCCGATGCTGTGGAGATTCGGACCTAGATCCTAAACGTTCGTCCTAAAATGAAAGGAGCTCTCATCTGTGGTTCGCCGCAGCGACCAGCGCGAGCTCCCGGCAGCCACCTCCCCGGCACCTGAATCTCCCGCTGTGCTGCACTCCGTGCCTTCTGAGGTCGAGGGCTTCGGGGTGAGCTTGAAGGCTTGGGCTGCTGAGTGATGCTGAGAGAGCGCAGACTTTCTGTGTTCGAAGTTCGAAAAAGCACGCTGCGTGGAGGGGCGTCGGCTGGTCCTGAAGCCAGCCGTAAAGCCGCAGGAGGCATCATGATCGGCTTGGGGTGGCTTGGGGTGGCTTGGGGTCCTTTCGCGTCATGTCGCTGCCTGTGAGGCTTCGGAGCTCACAGACAAGTCCAAGACGAAGGGGCAAGCTTCCAAGGCAGGGCATGCTGCAATCTCGAGACTGTCTTTGGAGATTTGTGGTTGCTGCCAAGTTGCTGCGGTTGCTCCGGTTGCTGGTTGTTGTTGCTGGGCCTGTCCGCTCAGGAGCGGCGCACGTGGATGCACTTGTTGAATGTGGCCTGGCAGACACAAGCTGAAGCTTGACCGTTTGAGATCCAGTCAGATGCAATGGCCGCCGGACAAATTGCCCTTAAAGGCTCACAGGCCTCCGTCTGTGGTCGTTTGCTCATGGCTCCTTCTGTTGAATCCCCTTTCTCCTCCCTTCTCGGCCTTCTGCTGTCCTTTAGGCCCGTACCTTCGACCGAACTAGCACGTGTGTGCCAATGGGACAAAAGCGACAGTGCACCGTGCGTGCACAGTGATTTTTTTTATCTTAGAGGAGAGAGCCGGACTGTAGTCGGTTGAAACTTGTGCGCCACATCAACAATCCGGTCAGAATGCGCACAAAGGCATTGTCTCGCTTTTGTTTCAGTTACTCGGGTAGCATTGGGAGCACAAGGTCGGAGACATCCCAGAGCGCAGCCGCCACGTTTGCTGCGGCGAAGCATGTCGAAGTATGAAGCTGAACCCCTAAACCCCAAACCCCAAACCCCACACCCCAAACCCCAAACCCCAAACCCTAAACCCTAAACCCTAAACCCTAAACCCTAAACCCTAAACCCTAAACCCTAAACCCTAAACCCTGAATCAAAGCATCTTGCAGCTGAATGCGATGGCGTTTATCAGCACTCCGGCCAGGACTTCGCCTCGGTGGGAGAACCTCTCCAAGCCACTCGCTTTTTGAATTTAGGAAGCTTCTTAAGGGTTTAGGGTTTAGGGTTTAGGGTTGAGGGTTCTTATTAAGATCAGCTGCTCTTTTGGGCATCTCATGTGACCCTGAAGACAAGATTAATTACACAATATTCTGCTGAGACAGGGAGGCCACAGCCAGTAACAGCCGGTAACACCAAAAGACTTGGGCCAGAGAAAGAAGGCGCCAAGAGGCACCTGCCATCTTTTTTGTCCTCGCTGCTATCGCTAGTGTCGCTACTTGTAAAGAGCACATCTCAGAGCTGACAGTTGCTTCGAGGTCGGAGCAGCGCCAGCGCAGGGAAGGGCAGAAGGAGAGGAAGTGGTCCATGGCCCAGCGGGAGATTCAAGGAGATGCCCTCGCTTCTGCTCCATCCGTTGCCTTTCGCGTTGCCTTTCGAGTTTGAAGATTTTTGGACATTAGGCGGATCAACAACTCGAACTTTGCGATCCACCCGCAGCGTTTGAGTGCCGCTTAGCTCAGAAAGCACCTCGGCCCATCCTGTCCGTGACCTCGTGACACGTCGTGAGATTCGCAACTTGCCCACCTTTGTGGATACGAACAAGCTTCGAGAAGCTATTGTCAAGCATCTTGGCGGAACTAGAGGAGTTCTTGGGAAGATGTTTCAGATGAGTCTCAGACGGCAGCGAGCCCTGAAGTTGACTGAACTTCTCTCAAAAGGCACCTCTCAAAAAGCCCGAGCAGTCCGGTGATAGCCTCGGCTCACAAGCGCTTCACAGAAACACAAGTGCCGTCGTTTAATAATTTAACTCCAACGAGCTTGGGAGGAGAGTGGACGGAAAGCCCGGCTGAAGTCTGCACAAGAGGCGATCGTCAAGGCCCCGAAGGGCACCTCCCAGCAAGGATGTCTGTTGATGCAGGGCAAACATGATCCGCAACAAACCAAAGTGTGTTTGCTAGGCCGGCCTCGTGAGAGACGATGAACGCCGCACTGAAGCGGGGGAACGCCGCTCCAAGGGCTATGGCTTCGTGACCTTCAAGGCTGATCCCCAAGTGCGCAGGTTTTGGGATCCTGGCGCGTGTGCTGAGATGTGAGGACCACGATGCGGCCATGAAAGCACTGGAGTTCCTCAATGACAACCCGCCGCTTGCAGAGATCTATTGAGCCTAGTTAACATTATCTACCACTTGCCTCATCTCAGATCTGAGCTTCACAAGCATTCCGAATCTTCCCTGAGGACTGTGTTTGGAGGCAGCCGCCGACCAATAGTCGAGTTTGCCGTAGAGGACAAGAGGAAGCGCGTGGCTGAGGTACATCACTGCGATCGGCCACCGATGCGGCTGCCTTTGTCTAGTAGACGGGCTGAGGCTGCGAATGCAGGAAGAGCTGCGGCAGTTCCTGAGCGGAGATTATTCAGCTAGGCTCTTGTCGGGAAGCCTTACGATGCCCTTCGCTGCCATTTCCTTATAGGCTTAGAGGCCATGTTGAAGCCAAGCTTGCATCATGTATCCTACCAAATGCAGTGGGCTGTTGCTCAGGAGATTTGAGGAGAAGCTTAAGAAGAAAGGCGGCAGTACTGCCTGAAGCTTCTGTGATGCTGTGCAGTCTGAAGCTGGCATTTGCAGATCCACGCTGCATCATTAGCTATCGAGACTGAACCACTCCATGCTTCATGGGTCGTTCATGGGCATGGACCGTCAACTTTACGTTGGATTTCTGTTGAAGCTGACCGGGTGTGAGTGCGCTCAAGAAAATGGGGCAGGTTCGGCTGGTGAGGGCAATGCTCCGAAAGCGAAGGAAGGCGCGGCGAGCGCCGAAGCGAAGTCGGCCACCAGAAAGAGGAAGCTGCTGCCACTGCCACAATGCTGCACTGACGTCATGAGATAACGACTGAAGACTTCCTGTGAGGAGGCGCGCGCAAGAAGGAGACGCGAATGCCAAGAAGGGCCGCGGGGCTCGTCAGCGAGAGAAGCGGCGCGCCCCGATCCCAGCCTCTGACCCCACTCCATGTTACTCCATGTGGAGCTGTATCGATTGATCCTTTAAAGGCATATGCTTGCTTATGCTTTGCTTTCTTCTGCTTTATGCGACGCTCACGAATGCCTTTTTGGATCCAACTGGTCTCCCATGCAAGGCGCTCAAGGCCGCAGCAGCGGAGCGCAGCGAGGCTGGCATTCCCAGAATTCTGCGAGAGCAGCTCATTCTCCTGTACCACCTTTCTCTTTCATTCTGATTATCGTGGTTTTTATGGTTAAGCTATGCCGGCCGTGTGACGAAAGTCGGGAAGTCGGCTCGATGCAAATACCTGAAGTGTCCTGTCCTGGTAGGTCAAAGCCAAGAAGAAAGAACATCAACAGAGGATCCAGGCGCTTCGCTGTGTGTAGAACTCACTGTTTCACGACCTCAGAGCAATTGTGGTTGCGTTGCAGACGATGGCTGCCCAAGAACGGAGAGCAGCCAGAACGAGGCCTCCAAGCAAGCGCTTGCGAATGCTTGTGCGACTCAGGGAAAAAGTGCATGAACAAGTGGGAATGTCCTTGAGGAAAGAGCGGCCCAGCAGCATTCCCGATGCGAGAGAATCAAAGCGTCCTCGCAAGCAGCGTGGCCGCAGGGGGAAGAAAGAAGAAAGGGACAACACGAAGCAGTGTAAGCACAAAGCACCAGCTGAGATGTGAGATGCTTTCACATGCGAGGGGTGGCGAGCTGCAAGATGACTTCGAGCTTCGAGCTTCTGCCTCGGACAAGGAAAGAGATTCTCATGTGGGACATATCCGACATGTTGGGCCCAGGCATTGGAGCGGTTCCGTAAAGGCAGGGTAGTGCTTGGTGAAAGCTCCGTTTGTCGTATTCCTGTCGCAACCCTGGAGGTGGAAAGCTGTAAGACTCTGATGAACGAAGTCTCACCCAAGTCCCCTGACTCTGGAGAGCCAGATCGGGTCCATGGGCGGTCGATGGACAGAGGGGGGGGGGTGTAGAGGCCGGAATGAGAGCAAGATTTGCCATGCGACCTGCCCGACCATGGTTAATGCATGCTGTTCTCCTTCTAGGCTTCTCAGCGAGCCGAGGGCAACAGCCCTTATTCAGCCTCAAATCGCGCATAGTTGAAAGACATTGCGTCGACTCGATTCATGATCTGTCCAAGAAAGTTCATCCCACAAGTGTTGCACAGGCGGTGCTGCTCATGCAGTGTTGCTCACTCAGTGTTGCTCACATGCCAGGATCCTTCCAATCTTGCTTGGGGAAGCAGCGCATCGCGACTCAAGGATGTTGATATGCCAGAGGCTCTCATCGAAATGCGGAATGATTGCCTCCTGTGGGTTATGTAGATCTCACTGTGGATGCTGCAGCTTGCAGAGCGGCACAATGCATGCCTTCCTGCCGCTATTCAGAGGCAGCTGCTCATCAAGCGCAGCAAGCCGAACTGCGGGCACAGGCTTATGCCAGCATAGTCCGGATCTTAAGCTGGGCACGGATGCGTCGGCTTGTTAATGACCACGTCAACATCTTTGCGAGGCACGCGTGAAATCGCGTGAACGACAGAACGACATGTTCCTTGACTGTGCTGGGAACATAGATTCCGTACTAAGGCCTGAACCCTCACGAAGCTGCAGCACAAAGCCCCCCGGTTTCTGGAGAAGGTGCGGAGTCTTAGGCCTTAGGGCCAGGTGCACATCCTTCCTGGCAGGCGGCCGACGCCCTGTCAAACGACGACCTGACCTTCAAGTCGCAGGACATCTCCAACAGCCTGCAGGACACATGTCGGCGGCAACTCGAGTGCTCGTCCTTTAGGAATCCATGAGTTGCCAGGCTCTCACATCGGCAGCCGTCAAGGACCGGGTCTTGTTGGAGGTGGCTACGGCAAGAGGCCACTGACCACGCAAGCTGACACCTCCGCGACGACTGGCAGGGAATGGTAGCTACAGTGTATCGCGTGACACGGCCTTTGTCTTGCCCCCCCCGCCCCCCCGCAAACCCCGTACTTTTTAAAGCTTAATGCGTTGGAATCGTTTCAAAAACCTTGCGAGCATTCTGTTTGCAACTGGAACGCCCCCCGCCCCCCCCGCCCCCCCTCCCAACCCCTTTGTTTAGAACTTCATGCGCCCAGAGGAGAATTTGCATTCAGCGCATCAGAAGCTTTCCAAACCCGTCCAATAGCCCTCGAACCTTTTGCTTTCTCCCAAAGAATCGGGTTCTCGTTTTGGGACCCATGCCGGGAGGGATGGCGCAGGGATGGCACGGGAAGCTGGGAGGATTTTCGTTGAAGTACAAATTTAGTCAGTTTAGTGCTGGAATCGATGTTTCCGTGATCAAAGGGCTGGGAAGCCGGGAGGATTTCGCTGATTTGTAGTGCAGTTTTAGAACTGGAATCCATGTTTCCATGAGCCGTGAGGACGGGGCCTGGGGGACGCGATGCGGCGCAAGTAGCGCGTCAATCGCGCGGGGATGGCGTGGGGAGCCGTGAGGACTTTCGTTGAACTGTACCAAATTGAGTCTCAGGATCTTACCAAGATACAGAGGCAAGACAGTCTTTCCCAGGGTAAAACCCATCAAAATACAGAGGCAATAGAGTTTCCTAATGCAACCGAGAACATTGACCAAATTATCGTGAATCCCATGAAGATTAGTAGGAGTACTATTCAAATACAGAAGCAATAGAGTGGAAAATGCCTATTAACATACAGAGGCAGTAGAGTTTTCCTAAGGGAAGACCAAGGAAATGGACAAAACAAGCACTTGCAAAAACAGAAAGACATCACGAACAAATCTCCACCCGTTGCGGGCTCAGTGGTTTAGGGCTTCCAGGACGGTTGTCAGGTTTGAGGCTTTTAGGGCTTCAGGGTTTGGAGGGGTCCGGAATGGCGGAGCGCTTGGTGGGCGTTTGGCGGGGTCTACACAAAGAACTCTTCCGCAGTGGAAAAATAGTGTATTGCGTAAGCTGGCATGCAGGTAAGGTGGTCTAGAGTCTAGTGCTGCTACGTAGCTAGAAGATGATAGATATTGGCAGGTGCAAAGATTGACAAGCCTGCGCCACAGGCGCAGCAATAGAAATGCCAGGCATGTCCCTGCTCGTGGCACATTCTGAAGAGGCCACAGCAAATGCCGGACAGTCGGCGGCCGTGCCAGGCAAGGAGCTGACTTCAGTGCCCAATCCCGGAGTTTTGCACACTCAGTTGCTATCACAAGCGGTGCAAAGCTTGAACAGCATTCACGCATCACTTTTTTTTGTCTGTGTGCAGAGGCCTTTGCGGCCATCTTCTGCTGCATGTTCTCAGCACAAAGTCTGCCTCGAGGATATTCGAACTTTCGCCTCAGGCCTGTGTGTGAAACTGCCAATATGAAGTTGGGCTCGAAGATATCGGCGCAGGCACTTGCAAATGCAGCCCAGTGGTGGGCTTCACTGTCTGCAAGGCTGGGATGTGCGCCATGCGACCTTCGAAGTCTTGCGTGGTACGAGCTATCACGCCATGCCAGGAAGAGGAAGCCATTCGTGCCGTGCTTACGAGCAGACCGATCTTGCTGTGCACCCAAGTTAATGCCCTGTTCAAGGATGCGGTTGCCAATGTGGTCATCGTCCATGCCTTGTTATTCGGAGGGGGAGAGCTTCGGGAGCTTGATGCCGGATGCCAGTCTTGAGGCAAAGTCAACGGGGCCCACACCACGAGACCATGCGCACACGCTGCAGGCTCGCATGCAAGGCGCTGTCGATAACATCGAGTCTGTGCTCTCGAGTTGACTGCGCGGCACATTGCAGGCTTTCGCTGCAGCTGCTGCTAGGACAGTTTCAGCCGCTCTTGACGCGCAGCTGCGACAGATTTTTCACAGCGTCCTGGGTGTAGGAGCTTGACTCTGGCAAGCTCGACCGTGGCCTCTGCTATGGAAAGCCACGATCCACATCCCACACAGGCCGCAAAGATTCAGACGCAAGCTGGCAACAGATTTCAGTAGCCATCAGTAGTGACATCGCTGCTTTTCTAGACAGGAAATTGGAAGCTTGGTGCGATGCTCCGCTGTCCTTGGCGCTCTTGGCGCGCAGGCGCTTGTACTGAGCCTTCAGGACCTCGTGAGCTTTGTCTCTCTCTCTCTCTCTCTTTCTCTTTCTCTCCCTCTCTCTTCACGCTTCTGCTCGCACTCACAACAACTCTGCACTGGGACACGCTGGGCTGCTTGATCCGCACGACTCGCATGCTTTAGGCTCAAATCAGATTTGGGCCGTAGGTCTAGAATTCAGGAGAGGGCATTCAAGAAGAGCCATCCAGCCCCATCCAGCCAAGAGTTTGCAAGCACCTTCTTTGGCCAGCACTCGATCTGACCATCACTAGAGACTCGCACCAAGAATTTGTGATCAGTTCGGGGGAAGGGCAGGCCAACAGCTGAATCTGTGCGGCAAGCCATGACCCTGTCCGTCGGCTTCATCTAACGAGGCCTTCGAGGCCCGTGTTTGTTTGTCCAGAGAGAATGGAGCGGGGGGGCCCGAGAAAATGCGAGCTGAGTTGGATGTTCTACTTTGCGGTGCCGTTGCTGGGGGGCTGGGACTCCTGGGACAGCTGGGACAGGAGATGTCGAAAGATGCTAACGACGCAGGCGCCGTGCGGCGAAGCAGTCCATGCTGTGCGGTCGTGCCGATTCATGGGTTGTCTCAGTCTTGCTTGGTATCTTTGTCATAGGCACCCATTACTCTTTCTTGCTCAAGAAGTGCGTCAAGGCTGGTATGCTGCTAGTATGGAGCCTGGCGATGGTGCTTGACGTAGAACAGGGTCGCCGTGCAGGTCGTTGAAACTTATGACCCAAAGAAGACAACCGTCGATGCATACATGGAGGCGCTGCTTGGGTCATGCTGCTGAGGCTGAGTGATGTGACGGGAAAGAGACCTTTTGGATAGGACGCCCCGTTCCTCAAAGAGAAGAGCCTGGGAGACACGGAACGCAAGTTCATACACCAGGCGGCATACGGTTATGATGTCTGTGTGTGACAGGCCAGAAGTGTCATGAGTTTACCCCGCTCGCCACTGATGCCACAGAGTATCATGAGAAATCATAGGTCAGGAGTTTACCCCGCTCACACCGTGCGCGGGCCCCGGGGCCAAAGCCAAAGCATCCACACCTGGCGGAGCCACAGGTGTGGATGAGATGACCGAACAAACATGGTGTTTTTTCTACGGGATTTGCGCGGTCTTTTGGTCCTTTCGTCCTTTCGGGCCTAAGATGCTGATGCTCATAAGATGCTCATTGTTTGGCTTCCGGTGATGCCCCTTGAAAATGCTGTGTTGTACTCGCAGGTGCACTGACGCTCACCCGGTTTCTGCAGGGCAGAACCAGACCACTAGGAAGTCGTGCTCCGAACGATTCCAACCCATACTGTACCGGTTCTGGCAGTTTTCGATCGACAGCGCATCAACAGATGCACGCATCAAACTTCCAGATGGGCCCGTGCCGGTGAAACCCGACAAAGGGTGCGTGGCACCGGCGCCGCCTGTGGAGAAGCATAGCTTTAGGCCATCGTTGCTGACGGAAGAGGGAAGGCCGAATTTGGGGGTGTGAGGCCGAATTAGGGGGTGTGATGCTAGGGCTATGCAGCTAGCAGTTATGCGCGTTTACGTTTGGGGTTGTTCAGGGTGTCGATGCTTCAGTGCAGGTTTTTTATGGCTGCATGCGCTACCAAAAGTTCCTAAAGCTCTTCGTGGCAGCCTCAACTTGTTCGCAGAACGGCTCCTTGCTGGGGTGCCAGCCACGTGCATGATAAGTGTGATGCTTGCAAAATCGTGCAAATTCAGAGGTGACCAGCTTCATGTACAAGTGCCCGGCCACGGCTCTGCGTGCCGAGCAAAGCCTAGCCGGCTTGTTTCATCTCCCTTTTCTTTGCGTTGATGCTGCGCGAAAATGTTGGGCAGGCATTTACCTGGTACTTGCTTACCTGCTGTTCTTCCGGCTGGAAGAGCAGGGAGCTTACCGGTACAGCTTGAATGGATTCAGTACCTCCGAGCGCGTCCCATTGCAACACGCTTGTTCGTTGAGGCTCACGGTGCCAGAGTTTCGCCAGTTTCTCCTGTGCGGCTATGGAGCACTCCCTGCCATCAACGCTCTGATGCAGCCCCTTGGACCAGAACGACATGATAACGACCGTTGTTCTTCCGGCAATCTTTACCAGAACTTTAGATGAGCCAAACAAGGATTCAGGGTGCGCTTGAATCGCTCCAAGGTATGCCTTGAGCGTGGAGGTGCGGCACTTAGCACTGGGTGTGGGCAGGGCCTCTCCGGAATTCTGGAGCAGTCCAGCACGCGCCTTGTTCTGATGCCCACTGCAAAGCCCCAAGATGTCACAATCGATCTAGGAGCCATGTCCGAGCCCCAAAAAAGCAGCCGCCACTTTTTCGCGGCCTTTTCAGGAGCTCGAGAAATGGGTCAAGGCGCTGGCACTTGAAACCTCTTCAGTCGGGACTTGACATCGCTTCGTTCTGAAGGTCGAGTGGTGCAAGTTTTATGACGTCGACTATGTCGAACAGGCCGAGACTCCGTCTATTGACGCTCGAAGGCCGAGTTGCCGAGTGAGCCCAACCTGCACTTGGCCATCAGGAAATCATCCGGAAGTTGCAAAGCTTCAAGGAGGAGCTCCAAGCAACGGTGGATGAGGCGCTTGCCCTGATGTGGACATGGAAGTTGATTTCACCATATTTCACCTGGACATTGAGAACACAAAACGCACGCAACTCATCAAAAGAGAGGTTCTTTTCTCCGTCCTAGTTTTCCGAGGTCGAGTTCCGCGCCACCGGCACGGTCAAGGCCAGGACTTGCCCCAGTCACGCAGAGAGCCGCTGGGGAAAGGAGAAAAAAACGAAACCTGTGCCTTGTTGTGTTTTCCTCCCGTCAGGCGTCTGACAACACTGGCTTGCCTGGAAAGAGTGAGAAGAAGCTGACCGCAGCATGCCTACATGCTCATGATGCAGCATATCATGTGAGAAGGCGGGGGCGTTCCCTCCTCGCCCATGCCTGGCTTCCCATGAGGAGTTCAAGCCCTTCAATCTGACGCAGCCCAGGCTCATCGGGGCTGTGACGACCCAAAAATTCCGGTTTGGCATCATGACCCACTGAACCGTGTGCATAGTACTCTCTCAGGCTTTCAACGGGCTTCGGGACTTCTCTTAAGGGAGTGCAAGAAGAGCAAGAAGAGCAAGAAGAGCAAGAAGAGCAAGAAGAGCAAGAAGAGCAAGAAGAGCAAGAAGAGCAAGAAGAGCAAGAAGAGCAAGAAGAGCATCAGTAGCAAAGTCTGGTCTTTGGCTTGTCAGCTGGTTGCAAGTCTGTTGACCAGTGCAACTCTTTGGCTCGAGATGCAGGGGCATCCGGAAGCTGTGTGTGAGAATGCTGATGGCACCGCATATACCTCTTTCCGCAGGTCTTTGGCAGGAGCCCATACAAAATGGCAAGCAGTGGAAGCGATGCTTCTGCATGAAACGAAGCAGCGCTTTCGACCTCCGATGCCAGAGCGACCGTTGTGCAAGCGCTTTTCACTGGAAGGTGGATGTCCGTTTGGCCAAAACTGTACTCATCTTCATTCCATAGACGGGCTGTCAGATGTCCGAGATGAGCGTTTGGCGGCATCTGGACCGGCAGAAGGGGCTCCGCAGGTTTTCCTTCACAAGATGGAGGACCGCAAAGTGGGCAAGGGATCCGTCTCCCTGCTGATCCGAACTCTTGCTACTGGCGGCTTTGTAATAGCAGATCTGCCCGAGCATGCAGACCTTCTCCTGTCGAATGCTTTCCCTTCCGCAAGCCTCTTAGCAAAGCTGCGACCGGGATGCACGGTAAATCATTGGCCGGGTGAGTACGAGTTGTGCAGCAAGGACCGCATGGCCAAACTTCTTAGGGGGTTGCCATTCTGCCCTTTGACCTTCGTGTTGCCCAATGAAGGGCAGCTGTTGGCAGAAGCCTTGGCAGATGATGGCAGTGAAGCAGTTTGGATCTTGAAGCCTTGCCAGCTGGGAGAGGGACGGCACATCAGAATCCTGCGCGGAGTGGACTTAGCGGAGCTGGGCAGCTTGGGAGCATGCGTCATATCGCGATATCTGCAGAACCCACTACTGATTGAGGGCCGGAAGGTGGATCTCAGAGTCTACGCGTTGGTCACGCGCTTGCAGCCGCTTGAGGCCTTCGTGTTTCGAGAGGGCCTGGTCAGAGTTTGCGGTGCCGCCTATCAAATCAGTGGCTTCGAAGACCTGAGTGCGCACGTGAGCAACAACTCGGTGCAAACCAAGTCCAGCCGGCATGCCAGTGGCAGAAATTTGACTTTGCAGCAACTTTGGAATTCCTTGAGCGGTGGCATTTCTCCAGAGATTCTGTGGAAGCGCATCCTCAGAGTTGTCCGTGACTCCTTGACCGTGTGGCAGCCGGCAGCAGTTGCTGCAACCAGAGGCAGGCAGATCGCAGCCACCTGACAGATGAGAGAAGTTTTTCTGGTTCAGTGGGTTTCCATGTCGCGTGTCAAACAGTGGAGAGGAACTGCAAATTGAAAGAGTTTTTCACTTGAATATCGTGTGCAGCCGCAATGGCATGCTGTTGGCCCCAAGGTCCGATGCGCGGGGCTCAGTTTTGCCTAGTCCGGCGATCTCAGACCACTGCTGTGCCTTTGATCCCCAAAAAGGTTATAGCCTCTTGGCCTTCGACCTGCTGGTGGACGACTCGGGGCGGGCGTGGCTGCAACAAGCTAGGCCCTAGGCTGTTTCATGAAGTCACGAAAAAGAGAAGCGAGGCTTGAGTCAAGGTGAAAGCTGCGAGCTATTCCTTCATAGGAGGGGCAACATTGAACGGTTCACAGGCTTGCTGGCCTTTCCAATCGGGGGGGAGGAGGTCAAGATTGATTGTGTCAAGGGAATCTGCCTTTAACATATGCGTAATATCAATATGGCCTGGCGGCAGCCTCGAACCCAACGAAGTTGCATGCTTGGCGCCGGCATGCATTCAAGTCAAGCTCCTTTCTCAATGTTCCTTCGTTGTTTTCGCATCCGGCAGCCCTCGAAGCAGGTCGGGAGCCAGGTATAGGCAAGAATGGGCAAGAATGGGCAAGAATGACTAGAGAAGCACTGAATCTGCTGTGATGTTTCTGAGGCGAGTCTGGCTCCTGGAGGTGAACTCCAAGCCGGCTCTCCATGCGCAGAGCCACTCGCTCAAGGCAGGTCCGAGAGCTCCAAGAGTCCCCACCAAGAACAAAACAAGGGGGGGGAATTAATTTTTTTGACTTAGACATGACATACTCTACATGAGACATCATAGGCATTGTACGGTAAACAGTTTTCTGTATATATATATATATAATATGTATCTCATACATGATACATGATGATGATTATTATTATATCAATTATAATATCATTGTTATGATCTTTATCTTTATTATTAGTAGTATTATTAGCATTATAATTATCGTTATTATTATTACTATTATTCTTATCATGTTATTATACATATGCAATACATAATATATATATATTGTTCAACATGCATTTGTGTTACTTTGCCTAGTACACTGGGATCTTGCAGGCCATCTTCCCGGTCCATTTTGCCGTCAAGGCAAACTTGCTGTGGCTTGGCTCTAAGAGAAGTTCAGAACACGCTGGAGTTCCACAGTTTGGGCTCTGAATTTGTATCCCGGCGTTGTGCCCCAAGAACTTCCTGCGTTCTTGAAGTCTGGAGGGGGGCGCTGGGAATAGGGAAGGCTCCCCGCGAGCCCTCTAAGGGCCGACCTTTTCTCCCTGGTGGGCCTTCCTTTGGAACACCATGCTCCGCCCACCGCATGTGGAGAAGGAGAAGCGCTGGGCTTTGAGAGGCTGGAGCCCATGGCTACGAACCCCACCATTGTCCTGTGGACACATGGCATCACATGGCATATGGCGCAGCAATGGTAGTTGCACAGGAGGTGGTCTAAAAAGACGAGCAGTTTGATGTGCAGCTTTGATTGCTGCATCTGCAAGCCAAGGTTGGCTAGGCACTGGTCCTCCTGGAGTCGCTTCTTGCAGGAATCGACCATTGCCACCGCTTCGGGTGCCTGCCCCTGCTGGCGACAGGTTGCGGAGGACACTGGCAGGAGGAGAAAAGGAAGCGGTGTCTGCTGACAAGAGTTCACTCCGCTGCAAGCCCGACCTTTTGTAAGACGGTCCGTACGTCCTTCCATGACCGTGGTTGTGCAGTCATTGGGTGGCCTGGGGTGAGAAACTCTGTTGCTCATTCCTCGAAAAAGAACAGACCTCAAGCCTCGAGCTTCAACATGGGAGCTTTGCCGCGTCAGGGAGCCAAGTAGTACAGTAGCACATTCTGCGCGGAGGCCCCGGCTCATCCCGGAGCCCGACGTCATCAGTCGCCAAGTCAAGGCATCGCCAGCTCGGTGGCCTGAGATTTTCATTGGCACTTCATTGGCACTTCATTGTTCATTGGCACTTCATTGGCACTTCATTGGCACTTCATTGGCACTTTTATGGCGCTTCATGCTGCAGCTTTAGTGACTTTAGTGACTGCACGAAGACCCTGGCGGGAGGCACAGCCAGTCCCGAGCTCGATCCACAAGAACAGCCTCAACAAGGCACAGCAAAAAGCACCTTGCCTGTGTAGGTTCGTAGATTCACGAGACTCTTCCGAACGATTCTGTGTAAGAAATCTCGGCTTGCAAGAAGTGCTCTCCGTGCAGGTGGAAGAGCAAAAAAAGAAGAAGCTGCAGGAAGAAAAGGTCTGGGACACGGAGTTTAAAGGAACTTGTCAAACAAGGTGCCCAGCTGGTGGTGCTGAGAAAACTGGCAGGAGAAGGTAAATGCCAAGTACGACGAAGCTGACCATTTCAGTTAGCAGCTCAGCCCAGGTTTCCTAATCTAAGTGGCCACAGGTTGCGATTGGCTGTTCCCCGTCCTTCTTGTCGTGGCCCACGACATTCTGCTGCTTAGCTTGGCCAGATCTGGAAACGGCATCCCGTCGTGACCATGAAGCTGCCTTCGATGACCTGAAGAAGCAGGCTCTGCGGGTCCTCTGTCTTTGTCCGGAGAAATCTGGAGCAGCCTGAGGTGGAATCTGAGCGTATGGCAGAGTGCACTTTCGTCCCGAAGACGAAGAAGAGCCTTGCCAGATTCAGCCAAGCTCTGACCCTTGACCCACCTGAACCCTGCCATGCCACGATCATGGCCCTTGTATTGGTTTGTTTGTTTGTGTGTGTGTGTGTGTGTGTGTGTGTGTTCATGGTGTACTTGTTTGCAAAGCGGCGACCCACCTTCGTTCTGATGCTGCCCTTGGATCATGCTAGCTGCCTAGAATTTTGTGCTTTCGAGTTCCGCATCTCAGGAGGATCATGGCAACGGCAGAAGATGCCACAGTCAGGCCTGCGCACGGTGTTTCTCGTTGCGCTCTGTCATTGTGGCGCCTTCGAGGCACAACGTGGCGTCCGTGCTTCGGGAAGATGCCTTGGTAAAGCAGAAGCAGGCCAAGGAGCCCTTTTGAGGTATCCAGCTTTGATTAAACAAAGTTAAGTGCCCTGGCGTTTGCATGGTGTGAGGAGTACCAGGCCCTCAAACGCTACGAGGAGGACTTGCATGATGCCTCGCAGTTCTATACATGGCAAGAGAAGATGAAGGAGAAGGCAGGGTCTGACAGGGTCTGACAGGGTCTGACAGGGCGCCTCGTTTCCGTCGTCTATATACTGTCGAAGCTGTCGGCCACTCCAAGGATCACAATGAAGAGGAGATGCGAGTGCGTCAACGCATCGTCGAGTCAGAAGCCGAGAGAGAAAGCCCGCTTTCCTGCGCAGCGCGTCGCGTAGATGCACGCTGCTCCCTCAGGATGCAGCTGTCGCGCGACAGTGCCATGGAAGCCTTCGACTCTGCGGTGCGCAAGAAGCATATCCTGGCGGAGCATCAGCGCGAGGACATCGGATACGTGGGCTTGTCAAGGGCACTGTTAGACTTTTAGCTGTTAGCGCTCGCAAAATGCCAGGAGCTACAACTTGAACTGGACTTGAAGGACGCTCGCAGAAGCTTGCTAGATGCTTTCCCGTGAGATCCGTTGATACCACATGCCTTCTGGTGCAGGAAAAAATGCTGGACTACGAAATGGGCGAGAAGAAGCAGCTGGTTGAGGAGACCAAGGAGGACACCCCGTACTTGATGGATCATGATGCATTTTGGAGGTGAAGAAGCCCGCAGAAGGAAACGTCGTAGAGCCACCAGGTTCGAAACATGTGCAAAAATGTGCGCGTTCTGCAGCGGACGGGCTCGACCAGAGAAAACTAGAAAAGTGCAGGCACAAGCCAAAGATCTGAGCCTGATGCGGTTGTCGCGCCGCTCGAGCAAAGAACGGCCGAGTTTGCCTGCGCTGCCGCCATGTGGCACCCAGAGCACCAACAGCGCAAACACACAGAGCCGAAGGGCCAGGAGCCAATCTCCAGCACCACTACCAACATCCTCCCAGTCTTTGGGAACAGGCTCCCTGGAGGTGGGGCGCCTCCGCAGACCCTCCAAGTCAGTCTCCAGGCCAGTGTCGCCCATGCCACCCGTGACATCGGTGACAAAGAGCGCCGCAAAGGGCACTGGAAAGGGTTCCAAGACTTGCAGCCCCTTGGAGAAGTGGAGAAACCTGCCAAATGATGAACCTGGCTCCTGGGTACCCCCACCACCTGAGGCTCAGTTGGAGGCAATAGGCTTGCAGTACGACGAGACTGCGCTGCTGCTGATGTCTGAGGGAAAGTCAGTCCCAATCCAGCTTCATGAGCTCTATCCGGAGAGGCAGAGCAGCCCAGTGGAGATGAATAAGCTTCAACGGATCCTTCAGCCGCTCAGCCCACTGTTCTTGCCACCTCTGCCGGCCATCCCAGATACTTGGATGTTTGACTCCAAGGAAAGGCCGCAAAGTTTCAAGGATTACGTCCTAGAACAGCCGCCTCTGCCGTCTCGACTGCGTCACACGATCTACTTGCTCCCTTTGACAGAGCCCGGCAAGCCCGGAGTCTCCCAGGTCGGAAGTCTGCCTGACCTTCGCATGTTTTCCGGTTTCCTCGAGGCTTGGTTTGGACTGCCCTGCAAGATCCTGCATTACGAGCCCATGCTCAGTGGCAGGGGAATAGCAGTGCGAAGCAACGGCCACGGCAATGACGTACAGTACCATGCGAAGGACAGCCTAAGGCAACTCCGTATCCGTCTTCCTGCAGACGGCTTTTGCATTCTGGGAGTCACAATGGAAGATCTCTTTGACAATACGCAGACCTTCGTGCTGAGCAGCATCTCAGTTCGTGACCGTGCAGGCATCTTCTCGTTCTGCAGGATGGATCCAGCTTGGTATCGAGTGAGTTGCCGCATGGACTTCGATGTTTTGAGCTCAGATCGCCCATCCGTCGAGATGCAAATTCTTCGGGGCCACGGATAGGGGTGTAGGGAGATTTAGGCACACATGACGCCACCAATCGTCAGTGAGTGAGGGCATGTGAGGGCGAGGGCATGTGAGGGCGAGACGCTGAGGTCATGAAAGTGGTTGAGGAGTACCCGAAGGAACGTCGAGAAGGGGATCTGGAGGTTCTTCTACGGCGAGCCCATGGGATTCTTTCACAGGAGGTTGGCCACTTCTTGGGCATGAAGCATTGCCAGTTCTATGTGTGTCGCATGCAGGGCAGCAGTGGTCTGCACGAAAGCGACAGCAAGCAAGACAAGGTGGATTTATGCCCCGTATGCTTGCGGAAGCTCTCTTGGAACCTTGCCAGCGCTACACACGAGGGTGCGCCTGAAGACATCACAGCTTGGTGCATCCAGCGCTACAGGAAGCTCCTGACCCATGCGGAGAAGCTCGGGCAGGCCCTGCATGCCCACAAGCTCTGGCTGCGGAGCCGCCTCGCACAGCTCGACTACGACATCATGCCAGCGGCAGCCGCTGCGCCGGCCGCAACTGCAGTTGCTATTGCTGCGAAGGTCCAAGCAGGCACCCCGCGCGAAATTGAGGAGCCCGAAGAGATGGACGACCCGATCCAGCTTTCCCCAGATTCAGAATCAAGACGTGAAGCAGAGCTGCTGATGTTGTTCTCGCGGCATGATGAGGATGGTGACGGACGGATGAAGGTCAAGGACCCCAACGGGGGCAAGATTTCACATTTCACATTTCACACCACTTCTCTTCACTTCACATACTTCCCTTCAGTTCCTGCATGTTCCTCCCTCTGCTGGCGTCTTCTGTTCTTTTCTTCCACTCCCCTCCCTTCTGTTTCGGTATAGTTTCCTTAGACCCCAGGGCCTGTAGAGGCATAATCAGAGAAAACTCAAGAGAGTTTCGGAAGTGAAAGGAAATTCAATATCATTGTGATCAACAACAGCAATTCATAAGAATTATTGACAAACAAGTAATAGCATTAGCATGTAAACACCTATCAGTAGTAAGAGATTCGGCAGAAGTCGGGGTGCTCGTCAGGAGTTCTGCCAACTCATCAATGCTGTTGATGAAACCTTCTCCTCGATCTCAGCGATGAAGATGTTTCAGGCATGTGATGTCAATCGCGATGGTTCCGTTGACGTGAAAGAGTTTTTGTCCTGGCTCTTGCGACCACAAGAAGACCCGGGAATGGCGGAGTCGAGGATTCTGAGAAGACTGGCTGCTGAGACTCGCTTAGCGAAGCAGTACACTTGCAGAGCCGAGCTCGACGACGTATTCGGTGATTAGGCGGTGGCTGCGTGCACGCCCAAGGTGTGCAGGCAAGTCCACGAACCTTACACATATGTCAGACAAAAAGCATGGCCGAAGAGTTGCCTAGGGACGGTTAGGGGCCTCAAAACTCCCCCCCTCCCCCCACCCCGCAGAGCACAGCCAACAGCCTCGTCAGGACCGTGAAAGGGCCCGGCTAGCAGAGCAGGATGCTTTCAAGGCTCGTGTGGCGACCGCTCCAAGAAGCTTCTCTAAGCAGACCTCCGACCAGGACAGGCTGCAGAAGGCGGACCACATGCGCAAGGAGCGTGAGGTCACTTGCAAGTACCTGCATGCACCACCTCTCTGGGTTGGTTGTTTTCTTGCCTTTCATCACTATTTCATGATGCCGTGGCTAGGTTGACATGGAGAGGAAGAAGAGGGAAGAGGAGCAGGCGCTACCAATGGGGAAAGTTTGCCATGCTCATGCCAAGAGAGACCACTGTTTGCAATCTGAATTTCTTTATAGTGCTTCTCATTGCGAGGAGATGGACAGGAAGAAAGATCTGATTCGTCAGATTCGCGCACTGGAAAAGGTGCCTGTGGAGAAATTCAAGCAACTTGGTGACAAAGTACAGGCAAGAGCATGCCACTGTTCTCGAATGTTTCGTTACATATCCTTCGAAACCCTGGAAAACTGAGGGTCTTCGATCCTGCAGAGCCGCCCTGCCAGGCCGGGGGCCGCTCTCCGGAGGGCGTTCAGAGAGCAGTTGAACGGCGGGTTGAGCACATTTCTACAAGCGTATTCTCTCACAGATGATACGACAAAATGTGTGTTCTATATGATAATGTAATGTGACGTCATGCACCTCGTACTCCGAAGGGCTTGCTGGAAGAGATGTCCCTGGCCGAGCTTCGAGAGCGCTTGAGAATCGTGCGGCGCCGAGACTGGCTCTTTTGCCTTTTGCCTTTGCACGAGACATGACTTTGACAGGGAAGCATGGTTGACGTGCACGTGCAAACAGGTCGAGGCTCAACGTGAGAAGGAGCTGGATACAAAGCGCGAAAGGCCCGCATGTGTCATAAGTGTGGTAGACCGGGCGCACAGTGTCGCAGGCTTTGTGATGACAAATGACAACTTGCAGGCAACTCGCAAAGAAGCTTGAGAAGCAGGAGGAGCTCACGGAGAAGGCTGAGATGTCGCAGTGCAGCCAGCAAAGGCTTAAACAGAGGGCTGTATGGTGTTTGTCTTTGAACCACGCGCAACTCGATCTGCGCCATGGACAGTATTGATCCTGTGCAGGCCGAACTGTTGGCCAAAGTACGTGAACGTGCGAGGGAGGAGCAGCAACAGAGGCACGAACAGATCCGGCGGCAGAAGATTCTAGAAGAGGAGCAGAAGCAGAGGCACCGAGAAAAGTGCATTGTGGAAGTAGCGGAGAAGTTGCAGCTGAAGAAGAGGCAGAAGAAGGAGGAGGAGCAGCGACTGAAGCTTGAGCTCAAAGAAATTGCCACGAAGAGGCAATTCCTGGCTGCAAATGCGGAGATGGTGGAGGCCAAAGCGCACAACGAGCAGCAGGCAGGCCTGGACCGTGAGGCGCAAAAACGGCAGAAGACCATTCTGATAGAGCAGCGCAAGCAGCATCAAATCAAGATCTCCGAGACGCAGCGCCGCAGGGACAATCAGGACAGAGATATCCAAGAGTACAAGACCATGCAGCAGACGGTTGCTGCACGGATGGATCGTGCAAAGGCTGCCGACTCGGCCCTGAAAGAGGAGATTCGCCAGTCGGTGCAATCAGCGCGAAATATCCAACGAGCCACGGCCAAGCGCAATGTCACAGAGTTTGGCCACAGCAGCAACGCTTACATGCACCGGATTCAGAATCGCATGGCCACGTCGTGCTAGAATGGGTGCAGATGAGGAGCTGCTTGTACACAGAGGATGTTCGTGCAACTGCTTGCAAATCCCTGATCTTCGCCTTAGTTCTTAGCTTTTTCTCCCAGTCTGAAAGTTGATGAGATTAGCTCGAAACCGACAATCTTCATCGAACGGACCGGGCAGGTGCAGAGTGTGGCTCCGCACGCATAGAGCTATGATCTACAGGAAGGTGCCACACATGTGGATGGTCTAGAAAATCTACGCCATCTTTTCCAAAACTGCAAAGTGGCTAGTAGGTTGGAAATGAAGAGTGCCTTGAGCCTCGGAGGTGACTCAGTTTCACCGCTGCATGCGGAGACAGCCTGTGAGCACATAAGATGCCTCAAGGGCTTCTGAAGGGCGTCTCTGATCGATAATGCAAGCCACGCAAAACGTCACACTTTTCCCCGTAGCTTTGAGTAGTATGCTCTTGGCAGCCTGTTGCTGCCGACATGGCTCAGCCCCGCTTCTGGCAGAAAGCTCAGGTGCTTCAAGTGCTCGAGATCTTCTCAAACCAAGCAGTTCACCATGCAGATACGCTTGGCAACTTTGCACTGTTTTGGGCAGCTTTTGTTTGAATGTTCCTTGTGCATATAGCATATAGAACTCACGTGCTCGCACAAACGGCGCACGGGAGGCGCCCGAGAACTCGGGGTTTTGTTGGATTCTCTTCCATCATTGCGGCCGTCCCTGTTGCCGTTGATGCACCGGCTGTTGGACTCAACGCTGCCCGCTTTCATGGAGGAGCCCAGCAGTCTCCAGAGAATCCCTGCGGTGACACTGGGTGTTGTTGGAAGCTGTGAACTACTTCTTGCTGCTGGCATCATGGCCAAGTCTGGAACCTTAGTCTCAAAGTTCGACAAGGGCGGTGTGGGGAATGTGTTGTGTGTCATCGACTATGACGTTACTGCAGAGGGCTACGACTTCAAAGGGCAGGTCAGACGGAAGAACAAGCTTGGGGGAGTTGGTGGAGCTGGCCCGCTCATGCCCCTCACCGTCGCTGTGGACGGAGCTGTTAGTGCTGTTAGCGGTGTTGATCGTTCTGCCTGCGCCGAGTTCCGCGCCCTGAGTGCCTTGAGCCGGCGGCTGGAAGCATCAGGAAGGATTCAGGGCTCCGTGAAGCTGACTGTGACGGAGCCACCCTGCCTTTCGTGCCTCTCAGCCCTGCTGCAGTTCTGCTCACAGCATCCGCAGCTACGAGCTGAGGCCATTGCCAGCCTGCGCATTGTGCAAGTTGTTGCATGTGGTTGTCTTCTTGACCAAGCAAGTCCGTCAGGGTTGGACAGTTGGACTTTGTAGTATGCAAAACAAGAGGAATACAAATGTCAAAGCTTACGGATAAGCCGGTTGAAGTACGGAGGTTCCGGGGCTTTTCCCACTCGATCTTGGCCCAGTGACCCCGGAAACCTCGTCGTCAGGCAACCATTGATGGCTCGCTCATGCGCTACGGTCGCCTGCTGCACATGCACGATGACCAATCAAAAGACAATAGTTGCAGCGGCTAGCAGGACTGATCGTGCAAGGCGCATTGAGATACTCTGAGATGATGAACGCCTCATGCTGTGGTGACGTGGCTCACAGGTAGTTTGTCAACTTCTCAGACTTATACGTGTCCATGTTTCAGCTCTGAATGAAAGCGCCATGTCTGTGTGGCTTCGGATTTCAGAATGTTCCGAAAGGGCTCCACTTGTGTTTGTTTAAACGCAGCAGTGTGAACCACGTGGGGGTAGCTTTTCTCAAAGTGAGGAGCCACAGGCGCCATGGCGAGAGGACTTCGCCTGCAGGGTTTATGGGTCCTGCTCCTGCCGCTGGTTGATGCGGTCCGCGCAGCCCGAGAGGCAAATGCTAAGCCAAGAAGCAAAGCCACCTTGACAACCATGGGGTGACCAGAGTCGGGTGGTTGATAGCAATTGTCGCTGCCAGGGACGTTCCGACCTGGGACTTCTAGAGCTGGAGCATCACACGGAAGAGCAGCGCGAGGCAGCCCGCTATGCGAGCTTGCTGGAGTTTCTCAGAGCCTTAAAGGTGGAGCCGTAGAGCGCTGTATGGTGCAGCATGGCAAAGCATGTCGCCCGAAGTCCCCGCTGACTTTTGTGCAGCATCCACTCGCACCCATCCAATCCATGCATGGTCAGGGTTGGCAGACCTCAGCATGCGGAATAACTCAAAAGCTGTTTTGTGATGCGAAAGCTTACGATTGCCATGTAATGTTCAGAAGTAAACATCCTCTGCCGTGCCTCGGCCTGTCTAGAGGCGGAAAGCTCCGAAAGCCTTCAGCAGCAGACGCTGCTGACAAGCCTTGGGCGGCTTGGATGCAATGATGTACTCAGTAGTACTCATTATGATTCACTGATATTCGCTGTGCACAACTGTGCGTCTGGCAGCGATGGAGGCATGTGGCAAACTCTGCCGCTGCTGGAGAGATGCTAGTGTTTCGCATGCTCACAGGGCAGCCCAAGCAGGACAGGTCTTCGCGTGATGACTTTAACTTTTTCAAGACACTAGGGGATTCCTTGTTCAAGATGTGCTGCGTTGAACAAGGATCTCTGGAGGAACGGCTTGGCCGGGCCTCTGCCCCAGACGATGTCGGGCGCCCCTTGAAGCCGTAAGCCAGAAGCTTTGCAAGCGCTACCGAGGTACAACGTCAGCCGCACCCTGGATGCCTACCACATCAATTCGGCAGGGAAGTTGCAGCAGGCCGGCCCCCGACCTGCTGTTTTTCAGTCAAAGCCAGATCCTTCACAAGAGTCTCGTTCTATCTCTTTGTCCATCGGCTGTGCCAGCCTCTGCGGTGTTTGTGCGGTGCCATATCCACAAGAGGCGATAGCAGCAGCGGCCGACACTCGCTGCATGGGTCGCCTTCTACTTGACTCAGAACACAGGTCCCCGGCCCCCCACGGTCCCCGCGGTCCCCCGAAGCCCTGCAATGATCATGTGAAGTGCAGCTATGATTCGGGTATGGGTTGCAGCTTGTCCAAATGGAGCTCTGACAGGTGCCACAAGGCCTTCCCAGTCTACGACCTCATGCTGACGACGCTACTGGTGATGCACCTTGGACACCACTGTGCCACAACTCAGGTATCTGATGACATATTTTTTGCGTTGAGGGCATCCCAAGCTTGCAAACTCGTCCCCTCGACAGTTCACGGCTTGTGGTAGCTTGTGGTAGCTTGTGGGGCACTTTCTGAGGTTGTTGACAAGCTTGGCTTGCTGTGGCTGCTGCTATGGTCCGTTGGGCCATGGCCCGGTCAAGACCTACGAGTTCGGCATCAGCAAGTCGGACAAGGGGATGCTGCAGAAAGAATGGAAGTAGGGAAGCTGTGGCATGCTGAGCAAGCTGCAAACTGTCGAAGCTGCCCTAGTGAGATGCCTTAGTGAATGCAAAGTTCTCCTGGACAAGGCAGCTCGGCGCCGACAAAAAGGTTGCATAGTTTCCAAAACGAGCCATTGCAGATGAATCATTACCAGCTGCGCCTCCATGTTGTTCCATCGATGGCATCTGCTGGCTCAGACTGCGAGACACGGGGGCCCAGAAATCTCGGAATGAGGCGCGCTGGATTGTTGAGGTATGTTGAAGAGTATTGAGTACTCTTCCCATCTTACTCTGTTGCTGAGTGGCCCATCCTAGCAGCTTGCTGAGTTCCTAGGCTCAGCAGCTTGGTCACCCTGACATGGGCGGCTTTCGCCGCCGCCGAGGAGCCAAAGCAGTGCATAAAGCTGCCCGCATCATTTGTGAGGGCTGTTTTCAAGAGTTTGACAGAGCGAGAGTCGCATTCACTTTGAGGAAAAGATGGTCGGTGAGCATGGCCAGGAGGTTCTAGGTTGCCGCTGCGCAGGAGGCACAGAGCCAGCAACTCACGGACCCACAACTTGGTCTTGCCGCAGTGGAGGCAAGACCACCCATGGCCATTGTGGGTATCACTTCCACTTCATGTCCAACGAGGACTTTGCAAGAGTCGGACACTTCATTGTCGGATGTTGTATGTGTTGTTATGTTGTCGATCTGGGAAATGAGAACATAGCTGCCACAGCTCCAGGAGAAGCCTTGGTGCCGCACGAAGTATGGTCGGGCTGCCCAAGAGCTGCCCTCAGGCAGCTTGATGCAGCTTGAGATCGGCGATGCATTGTGCCCAGGCTGTGGACACTACTCCATAAAAGGCAACTGGGTGTACTGCGACCCACGAGGAGTTGAAAGACGGCGTGCCGACGCCGGCTGCCCAGCCTCATCCTTTTCTGGCCTACGGTGCTTCATGGCTTCATGGCCTTCATGGGACGTAGCGGTCTGTCAACAAAGCATGGCAGCGCAGAGGATGGCAAGCTCTACACGGCGCTGGACTTCAAGAAGTTCTACCCCAACGACCGGGCATCTTGCATGCTTGTCCTGGACCGTGTCTGCGTCGGAGCTTTCGGCGCAGGATGGCAAGGAGAAGTGGACCAACGTCGAGGGCTCGGTTTGGTTGATCCTTGGGGCAGTTCGCGAATGCCGCCATGCCCAAGGCAGCAAGTTACGAGGAAACACGCATCGCCAGAAATGGCAAGGCAGGCGAGGGAGGCGAGGGAGGCCACACAAAACACGGACAGCCGCGCATGGAGAGCAGGCTTACAGGGCCAGCGAGTTCCGAGAGTACTACATTGACTATCTGGGTGAGGCCGAAAGAAGTGTGAGCAGTACTTGTGCTCAAGGAAGAGAGCGTACGCTCGCAGAGGGCAGCCTGTGTACTGTATAACGATCGAAAGGAAGGTTGGATCAGCGAGTGGAAAAGTGCGAAGGAGGACTCGGCCTCCTTCGCGGCTCCGGTCTCTGCTCCTTGTGACAGCTTCGTACTCGCACTTGACAAGGAAACCCGAAAAGCCAACGATGACAAGTTCTACACGTTCGATGAGTTCGCCCCGAGCCTGAAAGGAGTTGTGTCTCAGCAACGACATTTTTGGTGACCAATATGTAGCTGAGGTCGAGCACTATGGCAAGGACAAGGCATGGAAAATGCCGCGGCCTTACAACGTTCTTTTTCATTATGAAAAATACGGTAACTCTACTGCTTAACTTGTTAGACTCGCCACAGGCTGGCTAATCAAGAGGATGGTTTTAGCAGGTTCAAGCTTGGATGAGAGGTGGGATGGTGCTGGAAAGCTTCGACCCGAACTCTGAAGTCTCGCGTTGCCAGTGCTTCCCCGCGAATGCCGCAGCTGTAGTGTAACCCACGCTGAGAAGCGGGACTGCCGAAACGTGCAGAACAGAGCGTTTCGGCCCCAGGGGCCGCTGGCGCGCAATAGTGCGCATGGTTTGGCTCGAATGGTTTAAAAGCTGCGATTCACCCTCAACGCAATGCCTTGGCAACGGATATATAGAGTTGCTACAAAGCATTGCAGTACAGCCCCTATTTGCGTAAGAGTGCAGCCGAGGCAGGTGTGGAACTTTGATTGTTGTGGCTTAGAGTGGCTCAGGAATCATGAGCAGAAAGGGTGGAAAATCAGTAGATACATAAATAACAAGAAATAAACGAATGAATAAGTAAATAAATAAGTATATATATATATATATATATGTACATATATCGATATAGGATGTCAGGTCCGTAGACTCAGGAAATATGCGTGCAACCTTTAACCATCAGCTGGGGTTCCCAAGAAGTCTCCCTGAACACATATTCGGCTCTTGAAAACACTGGACTCACAGCAATGGACTTGCAAGCCTACTCTTGGGCCTGTGGTAGCTCCATACGCTGCCTGGAAACAGAGGGAAGAGAGCCCGAGGATGCGACTCGGGGAGACGTGTTGCTCACTGCACAGGGGCTGGTGAGCGTGTGGGCTGCCGCTGTGCAAGTTGCAGCTGACTTGGGGGATGTTGAGGATGTCGAGGAGGAGCTCGGGCCCTACGCTGCGGCGATAGCGAGTGCCTCGAAGTTGGCATCCCAGAATCGCCAGGGCGAGGGCGAGGGCGAGGAGGGAGCCGAAGCCGCGGAAGCCACGGACATGCGAGCCGTGGAAGACGTGGAAGCCGCGCGGGGGCCTCCTTACCAAGAGGCGTCTTGCGCAGAGGTGCAGGCCCCCATGCTCGCACTTGAGCCCAGAGAGAAAGCCCCAGAAGGCGAAGACAAGCTGGATGGCTTCCTTGGCTTGTTGTCTGCCTGGTCGGATGACGCACCAGCTTCTAGGCTGCTTGAAGAAGCCAGGCTTTCCAAAGCAGGGATCGCTCGGAAGTCCTCGCCGAGGAGAGCTCCCGAGCTGCGCGGAGGGAAGGCGAAGCCGCTGAGCAAAGAAAGCCTTGACAAGTTACGGGAGCGCTTCCCTCACAGTCGAGCGCCCAGCCCACCGGCCGACACACGCCACTGGCGGCGCCAGGATTTTGAGTTGTACTTCGGCCCTGCCCTTAGTCATTAGAAACTTAGGCACTTCGACTCGGCGTCAGGAAGTCGCATCTCTGGCATGTCAGCGCGCACCCCTGCAAGGCAGCGACGGATCCCTGCAACCGCGATCGGAGCCAGCGCCCGACACTGAGGAGCTGCTGGCCCAAGAGATGCGGCAGACCAGCCAGGCCAGCCCTTTGCTTGCGGCCGCCCAGCTGGAAGCTTCCTTGTCCCTCGAACCCCTAACCCTGCACTTTAGTGTACAGCTACATGGCAAGGCCCCGCAGGCCCCTAGTTCAGGACAGGGGCTCGGTACTTGGTGCTGGGTGTTGTTCCTTTGCAGAAGGCACGGAGGGGCACATAGGGGCACGGAGGGGCACGGAGGGGCACGAACACGGAGTGGCACAGGCTGGGCCGGCTTCGCATGAAAGTGTGCTGCCTCTTTGAAGCTAAGGAAATGCGCATGCAGCTGGCACAGGCAAAAATTGCCCATCCGCCAGCGGAGTATACCACTTTCTGCCAACATCTCCTGGAGTGCTGCGGAGACATCCGCACCCTGGAGGTGAATAGCTTGTGAAAAGGCGCTCTGAACATGCGCATCGACCCAGGCAGTATTCCAGCGGGGGAAGTGGTACCCTCGGACTCTGATGTATGCCTCCGTGCTTGCGCGACACATGCTTCGTGGTTGAGGTGCTTCCTGTCCCTCGCTCCAGACGGGCACCTGACGTTCTCAAGTCTCCCATCTGCAGACGACTCAGCATTTTGAGCCCCAGCCCTGCATCTGGCAATCTCCATTGGCAGTGCATTTACAAGAGGTCTTGGTTAGGTCTTACTGTATGTTGGCCTGTACAGTAATTTTAACGCTACGCGACCCGCCTCGGCCCGGCCCAGCGCATCCGCAGCGCCCAAGTCGCTGGACCCAAGCAATAAGGGTTGGGTTTAGGGTTTAGGGTTCCGGGTTTATGGTTTATGGTTTGGGGTTTAGGGTTGAGGGTTAGTTTAGGATTGAGGGCTTAGGGCTCAAGGTTCATGCTTTGGGGTTTAGGGTTTTTTTGGGTTTAGGGCAGAAGGGAAAGGGGGGGGGGAGCTAAGATTTAAGGTTTCGGGTTTCGGTTCAAGCTTAGACTCTTCGGCTCGTGCTCACACTAGTTGAGCCTCGAAAACCGGGGGTGAAATAGGGGGGGGGGGTGGGGGGGGTGGGGGGGGGGGTGGGGGGGGGGGGGGGGGGTGGGGGGGGGGGTGGGGGGGGGGGGGGGGGGGGGGTGGGGGGGGGGTGGGGGGGGGGGGTGGGGGGGGGGTGGGGGGGGGGGGGGTGTGGGGGGGGGGGTGGGGGGGGGGGGGGGGGGGGGGTGGGGGGGGGGGGACCCGGTTTTCGGGGGGTACAAATTGAGGCAAAAAAAAAGGGCCTAGGTTATGAATATGGAAGTAATTATCCGAAAGATCCAACCCTCCGTCTGAACAAATGCTGTCTACCACAAAAAACATCAAGCCCCTCTTGTAGCGTCCATTAGCACTTCGAGCCCAGCCGCTCATGTGGCTTTTTTGGGGAGGGAGAAAAGGGGGGGGAGGGGGGGAGGTGGGGTGGGTGGGGGTGGGGGGGGGGGGGGGTGGGGGGGGGGGGGGGGGGGGGTGGGGGGGGGTGGGGGGGAGGGGGGGGGGTGGGGGGGGTAGGGGGGTCCGGGATGGGGTGAAAAGGGGGGGGGCCCTGCTGGGAAGGGCTGCAACTGCCTCTGGTCCTGGCGAACCATCCGCTTGCGGACCCTGCTCACCTAGGGGGGGTACCCATTTGAGGCAAAAAAAGGGGTCCGAAAAAGGGGGATTTGGAGGGGGGTGCCTATTCTGACTACCTGTACACCTTCGGCCCGAGGCCTCGGCGGATTCTAACGCTACGCGACCCGCCTTGGCCGGGGCCTCCAGCGGCAGGCAACTCAGCCGGAGCCAGGCTCATGTATAGACCGGGACCTCCAAATGTGGGAGGTAAAGCAAGAACAGCAAGCCAGCAAGCACAACCCAGCTCGAGGTACAGCAGGGCGGGTGGGGTGACTCGGCTAGTGAGAGCCTTTCACACGAGCAAGAGAACGTACTCTTCGCCTGAGCCTCGAGACTTCCTGAGTTGCGAATACTTGCACCGTCTCCGGTGGTTGGGCCGGCAGTGAAAGCTTCCAAAAAGGCAAGGAGGCAGCAAACAGAGGCTTCTTCCACTGGTGAACAGGAAGGGTCCTAGCAAGGGATCCCATAACTTTTCGTTTCTTGCTTCACCCCGCTGGCTCCCCAAGCAGTTGTGGCAGCTCGTGCAGGGGAGGCAGGGGACGGGTGACGGGTTGACTTGGTGTGGTGTAGGAGGAAGGGCTCGATTTTCCAAGTGCAAGTGGGGTGTATTGGCCACACACTTGTACTCTGGCAGGCATCGACAAGCAGCGGGGCTGGAAAATGAGGACCGATGTTGCTTCCCTGGTGGTTGGGAACGTTGAGCGGTAGCATTGTACAGGAGCTGGGGCATGGCGTACTGGAGTTATGAATGTGGTCAGGCCGAGAAAGACCATGTCTTGCTCGGAACATTCCCAATCTTCCCCCATGAACTCAGGCAGCTTGCGACTGTTTCCAGCGGTATCCTCCAAGAGCCGGCCCCAGAATCGCAAAGTCGAAGTTCTGCACTCCGAGACTCCACGTAGCTCCCCTTCTCAGGTGCCGACTCAGAGCACAGTCGCCTGTACTTGCGGGCGCGCTTGACCTGTTTGAAAGACAGACTCAACACGATGCCTGCAAAGAACCGTACTGTTGACAAGGCAAGGGTGGACGAGTTTGCGAAGTATGTGAACATGGTTCGGGACCCGGCTTTCTTCATGCTCATGCAGTTCTGATGCACATGCCAGGAATGTCTGTATAATGTCTGTGATCTGTCAGTGGTCTTCAGATAAGTTGCAAAACAAGGGTCCCCGTACGAAAGCGCAAGCAGGCAAGCAGTACGCAGCCGCAGGCGATGCACAGGCACTATGCAGGCAATACGCAAGAGGTAGCAGTACAAAACTCAATCAACTAAGTGACTCAATCAATCTGTTTGTCTCGAGCTAACGAGTCTGGCGCACAGAGTGGGGTTGACAAGTCGTATCACGTGTACGAATCTTGGGGACTCTCTAATCACACCCGCGTCTGGCCATATCAACATCAGGTTCTCCTGCATGAAAAGAGCTCAAGGGGCCTGCGGTGGTTCTTGCTCAGTGCTGCTGTCTCCTCTCGTGAGCTGTCGTTGCACAGATGCGTGTTGTAGATCTCGGCTCACACGCAATCTCTGGTTGTTCGAAAGCATCTCTGTGTGCACAGTCCCTATGCTTGATTCGTTGACTGATGTTGACCAAGCTGCCCCAGCTGTCACCGGAGAATCTGTAGATTTTCAATCGGTTGGCCCCAAACATGACGTTAAGGATTCAGGGTTTTGAGATGTGACTTCTCATGGGTGCACTTGGGGTGATGTGATGTGTTCCTAGAAGAGAAGTGGCAAACGAGACTCCGAAGGCAGCACGAGGTGCCCATAAATTGTTTTTGGGTTTTTTGCTCGGAACTGTATTTTAGTACAAATTGTTAAAGCAATCTTCTTAGGTTTACGTTATACATCAGATATTTATTCAGCATCTTTTCGTTTTCGTTGTATTAGAGAAATATATGATGGATGGTGTTTTCCTGATCTTCATTCTCATGGTGTATCATTTGTCTTTCTTCTTATGTTTCCTCATCTTGGAAGAGCTATACCTTACGCTTCATATCTTTTCAATCCACATACTTGGTTTTCTAGAATTATTCTGCCGAGGGAGATTCTGCTTGCTGAGCCCGTACGCTCGGTCTGTACCTAGAGTGCAAAAAAAAACAACGCCAAGCAGCAGCACTCGAGGTTCGGGACATGGATCCGCAGTGCAAGGAGGATTCACGCCGGCATTTTCCGTGCTAGCCGCTTCACACACACTGGTGTGATTCCGCTATTCCTTTGCCACATCTGGTGCAGGATAACTATCTGGCCTACCCTCGTTACATCGCATGCTGGTACGCCCGTCATGAGGTATGGTGTTGTAGCGGCAGGCCTTCGATCCTTGATCACCTTCGTAGGTCCCCGTTCGGCATTCCAAAGTTGAAGCCACTCTGGGAACAGGCCGCGGCTTCATGAGATACTGATAGTAAGGCAGGATCGAGTCAGCATCGCACAGAATAAGTGCCAGGACTTCAAGTCGGGCCGTAAGCTTTGGGGTCCGCCAGGGCTCAAGGACGATTTGTCATGTGCATCATGTCTCCACGAGCGAGCCTTTTAAGTCGGTTGCCGGAGGACATGTCTGCGAAGTGGTTCGACATGTGCTGCCTAGCTGCATGGCCCTCATTGGACCTGCCATTGTTTCGAAGCCCAACTGCCATCTAGTGGAGGTTGGGCTCATCTTTGAAACGGAGCTTGCTCAGCAGGACATTTCTTTGCTAACTTTGCAATTTGCTGACAAGAACAATCAACAACAACTCGGCTTTATAAAGCTTTAGTCTCAGCTTGTAGATCTCGAGTTTGCCGCAAGGACACATTGCAATTCGGGCCGTGCCGGCTTCAGTTTTTCGGCACAGAGGTCAGCATGTGCAGATGCGCATGCTGACGACCCAGGCCTGGTACGCTCACAGGGCTTTACGTCGAGGATTGTTCTGTTGCGCCCTCGGAGTGCTCTCAGCTCCATCACGTTGCCTGGAAATGCTTGGTGCTTCAAGATCTTTGCAGGCCCACGTGTGGCATGCCCAAATCCAGGGAAGGCGAATGTTCGCCTTGTTTGCGCCACAGGACTTGCTCTCCCAAACATGCCAAGCATCTGCATGATCGCAGTGTAAGTGCAGAGCAGAAAGCGGTGTTTGCGCATGGCTATTTTCCGAAGTGGCCGCTACATTCTTAACGTACCCTCGTGCCCTCTTCATAATATCTCTTGTTGATCGTGCAAGAAAAGCCGCGCCAATGCAGGAGTCTGCCAACTTAGAGCAGCAATCGCCCGGTGGAGTTGGACCCCCAGATTCCTATCCCAGATTCTAGAAAAGGCGCGCTCTGCACTTTGTCTTGGTGTTGTTTTTGCATCTTCCTTAGGCTCATCCAGACACCCGGAGCCGCAGAAGCCTCTCGACTGCTGCCTGTTTTGCTGTCGCACGCCGTTTTGCAGAGTGTGCGTGTACACTCGGTGGAGGCTCGGTCGACATTTTTGCGTCCAGACAAAAGTGCAACAGGCGGGCAGCCCTGTTCGGACACTTCAGGACCTTGCTCCCTCGGTTGGTTCGGTTGTGGGACCTGTGCCGCAGACTCCGCGACAGTCATGCCCACGTGGTTCTCTTGGAGTGCGGCACTTGGATCCATGTGAAAGTGCCGAAGTGATATCTTGTATTGGAATAGCAAGGCCAGGTGAGACGCTGATCGTTCCAGCTGGCTGGTGGCAATGCAGCGTAGCTCTTGAGACCACGACTTACTGGTTCAAGCGCAATGAAGTGCAAGGGTCAGTTTCAGTTTCAGACTGGGCGGCCCAGGCCGTTTACGACCATGACCAGACGATTCTGGAATAGGTGCCACGTCTGCCACGTTGGCTGAAATTCCGTTCTTGCGCTCTTGCACTGACTGTTTCAGAGGACCAATCGCCTTGGCGTGTGCGATGTGATTTCGGGGCGATCTGATGCTTCGGACCACCATGCCTTGCACTGGTCTGCGCATGTCACGATTTCCGAGTGACACAGCAACCCTGCAGGATCTTGGTCCAAGGCAGAAGTCACATTTGCTTTCGCAGCTCCCTATCCTTCGAGAGCAGATGCAGCAGGCAAACGTCAGCACAATTATTTTTCAGATGTGTTATTTGTTGTCATTTCCAACCTTGTCGGTGTCAGGAGGACATGTCTTCTGGCGAGGATTGACTACCAAGAAACAAAAAGTTTGAGCGAATGGGGAAGACCCTTCTTGCCTTCGAAATCCACGAGAATTCCTGACTGTCATTGCGCCATATGGTCCCAGGGTGGCGATGCCACATGAGAGTCATTGCGCCATATGGTCCCAGGGTGGCGATGCCACATGAGAGTCGCGATTCCTGTTGTTTGGGTTGCATGGATGCCTTCCTACATTTTCTTGGCAGCTGTGTGTGCGTGTCTGCTGTGTGGCCCTTCAGGAAAGTTGTAGTCCGGCTGCGTGACGTAGAGAGCTTCGCCATGAAGCAGAAGGCCACAGTTACATGCTCCCGGCGGAAGAATCGCAAGGCGCACTTCACAGCGCCCTCGCACATCCGGCGCAAGCTGATGTCTGCTCCTCTGAGCAAGGACTTGCGAGCCAAGTATGCTGTGCGAGCGGTGCCCATTCGCCGAGACGATGAGGTGATGATCGTGCGAGGTCACTACCATGACCGCGAGGGAAAGGTCACGCAGGTGTACCGAAAGAAGTTCCGCATTCATGTGGAGCGTGTCACCAGGGACAAGGCCAATGGGCAGAGCGTGCCCATTCCAATCCACCCGTCCAAGGTGATGATTACGAAGCTGAAGCTGGACAAGGATAGAAAAGCATTGCTCGACCGCAAGAACCGCAACGTCAAGAAGGGCAAGTACACAGAGAAGGACGCCGCATAAATGCACACTTTCCTGAAACATGGATCATGTGCTCAGAAGGGTTGCTTTGCCGGACTAGAAAAAATCGCATGGTTTCGCTTTTGTATTCGTGTATTGGTATGTTCTTCTCATGCACTAGTTCTTATTGACATTATATGAAATTTCTTGGTATATCATTGTATTATTATCTATATGAATATATTAGTTGTTATATCTTTCATTTCTAATTTATCATCGCATTATTATCTACTCTATAAATTGCTACGGTCAAACCAGCCCTATGCGGTGCGTCACGCCTCGGAGTGCCCCAGCCCCAAAATTTGCCGGAAATTTCTGGACCCCGGCGAGCAAGCCGCTTTGGCCTACCCGGGACCCAAAATTTCCGGGAAATTTTGGGGCTTGGGCTGTGCCCTTTGAAAGGCTGGGCCTCTTCGACGGCCGCAAGCCGGATTCGCTCCCCTAAATTTCTGAAAAATTTCTGGTTCCGGGTAGCCCGAAGCCTCGGTCCCTAAATTTCCGGAAAATTTGCTTCATCGCTTTCCTAAATTTTCCGAAAATTTACACCCCCAAAATTTTCAGGAAATTTAGGAAACGGATGCAGCCTGATCATGTTCAGAAGCCACGGCCCAGCTCCCTAAATTTCCGGAAAATTTAGGGTGCTGGGTGGCCGAAAATGTCGAAGCATTGTTGACCGCTTGAACCGTTGAGTTCAGGTGTTGATCATTTGCCATGTTGCTGCATGCTTTCATTGCATGCTTTCATTGTTTTCAATCGTGCTTTGTTTTTTTTGGCATTACAAAGCTAAAATATTAAACAGGACTTTTACTTCACTTCCAAGATGAGCGCATCACCTGGCATTACCAGGATATTACGAGCGTGCTTTGTTTTATGGCATTACAAAGCGCATTACCTGGCATTACCAGGTCGTCGTCGTCGTCGTCGTCGTCGTCGTCGTCGTCGTCGTCGTCGTCGTCCGTCGTGCGTCGTCCGTCGTGCGTCGTCCGTCGTGCGTCGTCCGTCGTGCGTCGTCCGTCGTGCGTCGTCCGTCGTGCGTCGTCCGTCGTGCGTCGTCCGTCGTGCGTCGTGCGTCGTGCGTCGTGGGTCGTGCGTCGTGCGTCGTGCGTCGTTCGTCGTCGTCGTCATCGTCGTCGTCGTCGTGGTCGTCGTCGGGTGTCGTCGTCGTCGTCGTCGGGCGTCGTCGTCGTGCGTCGCGCGTCGCGCGTCG